ACTTACCCCCAAACCCCCCCCCCCCCCCCCCAAAAGCCCATTGCCAGGCCCCGGCCCCTGCGGTCTACATTACCGGGGGCTCCTGTCTGGGGCTCGGGGTCCACCCAAAATCACCGGGCACTCGGGACGGGAACCCCGGTCCCTAGCTCACCGTGGCCACTGTGGAAAGCCGCCAGGTGGGGGCCGGGGCCGCCAACAAAGCACACTGGGGTGGTAGTCCTCTACCGAAGACTCTTCCTCGTGCCTTCGGTCATTATGAGAGAGGGAGCACCTGCGCTCCGCACGATTCCCATCGTGCAAATCACAGTGGGGGGGTTCCCTGTCTGGGGCTCGAGGTCCACCCAAAATCCTCGGGCACTCGGGACGGGGGCCCCCGGAGTCGGCGCGAGAGCCTTCGAGCTCGGCAGCCGCGGTCATCGGTAAGCGTTCCAAACTCACAGCTTCTCATTTTGTTTTCACGCCATCCATATCACTAATACACTCCTTCTGTAGTGCCGATCGCGGCTCTGGCGCCAACACTTTTGGGGGAGGGGGTCCGCAATCTTCGATCCAACGATCCGGGGTCTGCCCCCCCCCCACCCCCCCCCCCTCGCCCGTGGTATCCAGTGGATGAACGGAGAGCCCGACCGGGTGGGCTGGAGTAAGGCCGGACGGGGGGTGGGGTGGGTTTGGCCTAGAGGAGACCTTGCGTCGCTCTTCCAGGCGCGAATCCCATCTTGCAAGTCCGCCAAGATTGTGACCGAGGCTGGCGTCAGGTAGCCTCCGTCATGATCTTTGCCGACTTGCATGATGAGTTTCTTGCTTGGGGGCTGGATCAGAGCTGGGTTATCATTAGATGTAAAAACTACAAAACGATCAATATTATCAAATGTACATCTAGCTTGTGGCTTGGTCATCTTGTAGATATGCAGTTGTGTTGTGTCCAATGCCATTTGCGGAAATGGGTATCTTCAACGTGGTTCGAAACAAGATAGACGTACATGTGAGCTTCGAGGCAACCGTCAGTAACAGACAATTGACTGTAGCTTGTCGAATTTTCACCACATTGTTCTGTAATTACCTGCAATACCAGCAGTCTGACTTCAGCTCCTCCTCTGTTCCCCATTCCTCCTGATGTAGAGGGAACAACTCAGCTTCAGTAGGGAGATTCAACATGTAACTCACATACAAAGCGTCACAGAAGTGTCCAAATTAGTCTTGGAAGTGATTGCCTTCTACGGATATGGAAGAGATGATGGAGACGTGCACTCTCAGGCATGAACTATTCGTCTTATTAAACCTGTCTATCGCTGTCCATTCACACAAGTAACAGAAACAACAAAGTGAGACGCTCCATCTAAGGTGCGCTAGTCGTAGTCATCAGCAGGTCAACCCAAGCCCAAGGCAACGCCATCATCCATCCCCTGCTGCACAACCTCAAAACAACACCATCGTAGTCGCATGCAGTCCAGGTGACCTGACCAACACCCTAGGAGAACCTGTTGTTATCATACAAAATCCACGAGTCCTCGTCAACGTCAAATCCCCTTCGCCCGCCCGAGACAAAGTCGCTCACACCTCCTCCCCAGCAACAGCCTCGTAAGCACCCCTCCGCGCCGCGCCACCGCGGCTCCGCATCTCCATGAGCGCAGGGCTCTCGTACATCTCGGAATAATTGACGAGGTCGCCGCCGAGCTGCGCCGCGCCGTTCTCCCTGCGGCCAAAGACGGGCGCCGGGTCGCACCAGAAGTCGCGGCAGTTCGTCACGCAACCCCTCGAGTACGGATTCCTGCTCGCGCGCTTGTTGTGCCCGCCCGCCGCGGCGCCCCTGCCGGAGGCCGTCTCGATGAAGGCGTCGACGCCGAGGATCTTGGACCACTGCTTCAGGAAGCCGCCGTGCTTGTGGCCGTGGCCGTGGCCGTGGCGCTGCCCTCCCGCCGCGCCGCCCGATGGCGGGTTGGCATCGGGGTGGGTCGGGTCTAGGGGAGCGCCGGTCGAGGTGAAGGCAGAGGTAAGGCCGCTGGGCGTGGCGTGGTTCATGCCGACCATGTTCTCGTAGGTGGTCATGGCCCGAGACACCTGGATGAACTGAACGAAGAGTAACATGAGGACCCAGGTGAGCTGGAGAGTGGCCCAGATCGACAGGACCAATGCATATGCGTCAGCGTTAATGACCTTGCAGATGCCCGCAGCGAGGAGGTTGCACTGGTCCGAGGTCGAAGTCGAAGCGGATGTAAGGTCTGCACGAGAGGTCAGAACATGCAATAGCCTGCGAAAGGGGAAACCATACAGTAGTACATCAGCCAGTCATAGAGAACAATGCCAAAGGTCAGGTTAATGAGATAGAGGAAGAACTGCCTGTGGTTGTTGACGCCAATGCAGTTGTAGACCCAGGGGCAATGGCTGGTGAGAAGTTAGTACGCGAGAGATCTACCAAAAGAGGCTGTCATTTGCACTCACTGGTCATGCTTGGCCACACAGCGCTGGCATCTCCTACAGTGCTTGCTCCTGAGGGGTGTTCGAATCATGCAGGTGATGCAGAAGTTGTTGTCGTCAAACTTCCACAGACTGATCAGCTCGTCAATGACAGCCTTTTGCTCAGCGATGCCGTTCATCTTGGGAACGAAGCCGGGATCGTAGACAATGCAAGTGATGTAGAAGTAGGTCGTCAGAGAGAAGAAGAAGGCAAAGGCAAAGTTCAGGGCGTAGTGTGTTGCAGCGTCCGAGGCTGGAGATGGGTCAGTGATGTGCTTAGATCAACAAGTGGGATCGTGGATAGCATACCAGGCTTCCAAGCCGTGTTGGGGAGGACCGTAAAGAGCCAGTTCACGCCGACCAAGAACAGCGAACCCGCAAAGATACCACTAAGCCAGGGGGTCCTCTGGAACTGTCGCATATCGGATGGCGCGTAGTGCAGAATCTTGTTGGCGACCCATTGCAATGAATAGCCAACAAGCAGCGAGAAGGGCAACCCGACATAGATGGGCATGCCCGCCAGGATGGTGAGCATGGCCCAGACCAGCAGGAAGGGCCACAGGAACAAGAACTTGGTCAGGAAACCCCTCTTGTCCTTCATGAAATGGCTCGCACCGGGGAATGATGGCGTCTCTAGGTTCCCGTCCTCGTCGTAGCCGCAGTCCCGGAGAGCCTTGTGCCAGGCGCCGAGGGTGTTGAGTTCCTGTGCGGTGAGGGCCGGAGTCTTACCCGTCGACGTCTTCGCGAACCTGTCGGCACCGTACTCGATCAGCTTCTGCACACAGCCCGCGCTGCCCTTGACGAGGGCCCAGTGAAGCGCCGTGAATCCCTGCTCGTCCGTCGCATGTACGTTTGCGCCCCACCGCAAGAAGAGGTCAACACAGGGCGGGAAGCCCTTGTATGCAGCCCACATCAGGCCGGTGTGGCCAAAGGTGTCGGGAACATCGACAGGAATGCCCTGGTGTAGCAGCAACGTGATGAGGAAGACATTGCCGTTGAACGTGCTGATATGTAGCGTGTTGTAGCCTTGGGCATCTGTGATGAGGGGATCGGCGCCGTGCTGGAGGAGCAGGTGGACGGTGTAGTAATGGCATCGTTGCGCAGCCCATTGAAGAGGTGTCGCGATTGACTCTCCGCCCTTGTGATTTATCGGCGCACCCTTCTCGATGAGGAATTTGCACATCGCGTATTGGTTGTTAATGGCAGCCCACTGTAACAATGACCATATTAGCATCGTGTTGAGGGGAGATGGACATGTCAATCCAAAGTCTGGCCGAGAAGGGCGATTCCCTGGGGTTGGGTTGGAGATGGAAAGATCCAACTCACATGCAGCGGTGTAATCCCCTCATCGTCACTGTAGGTCGCATCGTACTCGGACGACTCGAAGAGCCTCTCCATGGCTGGGATGTCGCCGACACGGGCAAGCTGCATGATGTCGAGCTGCCCGCCCTTGTCGTTGGGCAAGGTGCCCATTTCGACCTCGCTGTTCAGCTTAGGCGCAGCTGTGTCACCCTTTGAGGCCGGCTGTATGGGCGCATTGCCCTTGGCCACCGGGCCGGTGCCATTGTGATTCTGCGCCATGGCGGTTGGCTCTCGTTACCAATGCTGTCTGTCGTCGCACCGGCAGATGGATTTGCAAAGCTCGCTATATGCTCGTGTTTCCTCCCAGGCGGAATGGTCGGCTTTCGTCTCAGGAAGTCGAAATAGTGGTTACGGCAGTCCGCGAACCGGGTGGCAAGGACCGGAAAACAGAAGGACAGAAGAAGAGCTCGTTTGCCGAACACAATCGCGAAACAGGCCTGCAGGTTTTCTCAATCTCGAAGATCAAAATCCACCGTCCGGAGCTGGCGGCGGCCTCAGCCAAGACAAGCTGACGAGGCTGAATTATTTCGAGTCCAGGGGCCAGGACGCGCGACACGCAGCCATGCCGACTCGCCTTTGTCTCATTGGTCACCTGTGCTGGCTGGCCCAGGAAGTGGGCTCAGTGCTGTTGTGGGGTGTGTTTCAGCGGAGCCCTGTGCCCTGCCCACAGCTAAACCCGCCAGAAAATCGGATTCGGCCAGTGGGAAGGGCCCTGAAAAAGTGGCCGCATTGCTGTATTGCGAGCACCACAAATGGTCTGACGTCGGGATCTGAACGACCTCAACACAGCTATCTAATCTGCAAAATAAGGCCAGCAAAGCCCGCGAAAGCTTCGTCCGGAACTCGACCTATCCGGACGACTGACCAGCAAAAACAGCTACAAAAAGGATCAGCTTTTCCGCCCTCGAAGACTTGAAGTATCTGGTCAAGTCAAACGACAGTCCTACGATTCTGGGGTCTCTTTGCTGCTGCACACAAGAGTCGCAGAGATGGGGTCCCCTCTCGAGCAGGTCAAAGACTTCCTCGAGTTCACCCTCACCCCGTCCCCCATCGTCTTCATAGTCGGCATCGCCTTCGTCCTCCTCTTCCCCTTCCTCCTCCACTGGGCCATCGCCCGGGGCTCGGGCTACGCCACCCTCCCCTCGGTGCTGCTCCTGGGCCCCTCGGGCGCCGGCAAGACCAGCCTCGTCACCCTGCTCGAGCGGAGGGGTCCCCGGCCCTCGCAGACGCACACAACCCAGGTCGTCCACTCGGTCGAGCTCGCCGTCGCCGACGACCCCTCCAAGCCGCCCAACTACCGCGACGACCTCGACCAGTCCGAGAGCACGGCCAGCAAGTTCCTGCTCGTCGACACCCCGGGCCACGGCAAGCTGCGCGGCGCCGCCCTCGACCGCCTGCACCGCCTGGCCGGCGTGGCCACCGCCGGCGACAAGAACAAGAAGAGCAAGTCCAAGGAGGCCTCCAAGCTCAAGGCCGTCGTCTTTCTCGCCGACGCCGCCGCGCTGGCCGATCAGGACGAGCTCTCCGCCACGGCGGCCTACCTCTACGACGTGCTGCTCGTGTTGCAGAAGCGCATCGGCACCGGCACCGGCTCGCGCCACCCGGCCTCGGTGCCCGTGCTCGTCGCCGCCAACAAGGCCGACCTGTTCACGGCGCTGCCTCCCGCCCTGGTCAAGAGCCACCTCGAGGCCGAGCTGAGCAGGATACGCAGGACACGCAGCAAGGCGCTGCTCGACTCCGGGGTGGGCACCGAGGACGTCGACGCAGCCGGCGCGGGGGAGCAGGACGACTGGCTGGGCGAGTTCGGCACCGACAAGTTCACCTTTGACCAGCTGAAGGAGGTTGTTGAGGTCGAGGTCATCGGCGGCAACATCGTGGGCGAGGGCCCTGGTGTGGACAAGTGGTGGGCCTGGATCGCGGACAAGTTATAGAAAGAGAAGTTGCTGGTGTAGAAACAAAGTCTTCTTATTCGTAATGCTAATATATCTCCAACTCGTCGAGCGATAAGAATTGATCGTGACTTGTCGACTGTCCATGTCAATATCATCTCCCACCTGATTGAATGCGTTGAGCCCTACTCTAACTACCTATCCTGTATGCTAAGCCTTGACTTGAGACGTTGAGTCTGTCACAAAAAGCCTCCCAGAAACCCCCCTTTCTACTAAACAGAGAAAATGACAAAGTTCTCCAAACAAACGCCCGATATGCCTCTAAACACTACTTTCATCCTTCCTCACCACCTCAGTTCTTCATCTCCTTCATCATCCAAGTCAGCAGGTCGACCTTGGTCACGACGGCCACGGGCTTGGTCAGCCGGTCGCCGGCGTTCTTCTCCGTCACGACGGCCGCGCTGTTCCACTCGAGGAACTTGCTCAGCACCGTCAGCGGCGTGTCCATCGTGATCTCGACAAACTTGCGCTTGCGGCCCGACGCCGCGACCGCGTCGCCGGACATGATGTCGCGCGGGTCCGTGACCACCTCGTCCAACCGGCCAAAGTCAAACATGACCTCGCTGACGGGGCTCGTCGGCTTGGCGCGCCCGCGCGAGATGTAGCTGAGCAGGTTGCCCAGCGTGACCAGGCCCGTGAGCCGGCCGCCCGAGGGGCTCAGCACGGGCAGCTGGTCGAAGCCCTTGTCGCGCATCGTCTCGATGGCCTCGGCGCACGGGCTGTCCGCCATGACCGACGTGACGGGCTTGAGGCGCAGCGTGCGCACCGTCTCGGTGCCGTACGGGTTGCTCGGCCGCCGCTTGCTGTTGTTGAGCGTCTTGTTCTGGTGCTCCAGCTCGGCCTCGGACCCGTTGACCGCCGCGAGCAGGTTGTTGGCCGCCAGCCAGTCGTCGTCGGCAAACTTGGAGAGGTAGCTACGGATGCTGTCGGGTAGCACCACCACCACGACGTCGTCGGCGCCGAGGTTGAGGTCCTTGACGGCGCGGACCATGGCCGCCATGGCCGATCCCGAGCTACCGCCCACGAGGAGGCCCTCCTCGGCGATTAGCCTCCTGGCGAGCCTGAAGGACTCTTCGTCGTCCGTCTTGTACCACTTGTCGACGATGTGCTGGTCCAGAACGTCGGGGATGAAGTCGTAGCCGATGCCCTCCACCTTGTAGGGGATGTTGGCCTTGACGTCATTGAGGCTCTCCGGCAGAGCCAGTATGCTGCCATAGGGATCCGCGGCAACGATCTTGATGTCCTTGTTGTGCTTCTTCAGGCCGCGCGCAATGCCGGTGATGGTACCGCCAGTGCCGGCGCCAGCAATGACAGCGGTGACCTTGCCCTTGGTCTGCTCCCAGATCTCCTCCGCGGTGCCAAACTCGTGCGCTCTCGGGTTGTCGACGTTGGTGTACTGGTCGAGGATGTGCGAGTTGGGAATCTCCTTCTGGAGGCGCATCGCCACACCAATGTGCGACTCGGGACTATCCCAGGCAGCCTGGGTCGGAGTGCGGATGATAGTGGCCCCCAGAGCGCGGAGGACAGACACCTTCTCGGCAGACATCTTCTCGGGAAGCGTGATGATCGTCTTGTAGCCCTTGACAGCGCCGACCAGGGCGAGGCCGATGCCACTGCACACACTCGAGGTTAGTAACAATGGCAGTCATGGTGGGGTGTGAGGAACGGCGTACGTGTTTCCACTGGTAGGCTCGATCAGGGTATCACCAGGCTTGATACGCCCGCTCTTCTCTGCCTCCTCGATCATGCGCAATGCTATCCGGTCCTTGACACTGCCGCCGGCGTTGGCGAGCTCGAGCTTGCCGAAAACCTGCGCCTTGATGCCAAGCGACTGGGGGATCTTGTTGAGGCGCACAAGCGGCGTGTGTCCGATCAGGTCGAGGGCCGACTTCGTGCCAATGTTGTCGCTGCCATCGGGAAGAGCCTGCCCGGCCAGCTTGGCCACGCCGTTGGCGATGTTATTCAACGTCTCCATGTTGGTATCTGTTTCGATCGCGAAGGGAGGGTCTGGAATGCGCGAAGATGCTTGACTCGAGCCGATCTGGTTGACCTGGTTGATCTGGCTACCCGCTGAAGCAGAAAACACTTGAAATAATGGTCTGATTAGCAAAGCAGTTCGGAGCGTCCAAGGCCAAGAGTGCTAGGGAGTCGCCAAGGGAAAAACACTGAAGAAGTCGACGTCAAAAAGGTGCCGGATGATGTGATACCAAGGGCAGAAAGGTTTATCGCTTATCTGCCGCAGGCCAGAATTCAGAATTTGCCCCGCCACCCGTAGGAAGCCGGCTCTAAGCGGCGGGGCCGGCCCTTAATCAAGACTCAAGCATCAGGGCTCAGTCTATTCGAGGGGAAAAAGGCCAGATCTTGGACCAAGCAAAACAGTACTTGGATGGGATTAGCTATCCTCGCTGTAATTTACATATCATGACCATCTGCCCGTGTGTATCTATGCATTGCAGACCGCCTCAAACTCTCGAAGCAACGAGCCAAAGTTGTGATCTGCCAGCGACGCAAACACCGGGTCCTTGTCCAGCTTCAGCTTCCCGACCCTGGGGCTCTTGATGCCAAAAGCCACTCTCGCGAGGAATCTCGGGTCGTCGCGTATATCTGTAGCAGCCAGTATCCTTTCAATAGCGGCGTGGTCCACCGACTTCGAAGGCAGTGCAGGCAGCGTGATAGCTTCCTTGGTCAGACAGAAGCTGCAATGTCCACATGTCTCCTTGCCATCAGGCAGTTCCATCCCAAAATGCTGCGTCAGGGCGAGGGCGTAGCACTGCCTCCCCGTGATGAGCTCAGTGACCTCCTCCAGTCGTCTCAGTGCGTCCTTCTCTCGTTGTTCCAGATCGGCGTGCAGCTTGTCCACCAGCACATCGATCTCCTTTCTCGTCTTCGGCAGCGGTTTGAGGATTCGGTAGCGGTTCTCTACCCCTGATGCTGTCAACTTCAGGGCGCCACAGCTCTCAAAGACGTTCAACTTCTTGACGATGTCGTTGCGTTGTAGTCCCTTGGCCTTGGCCACCTCCTTCACATCGATATGGTGGTACTTGGCAGCCTTGCGCGACCCTGTAAAGATAGCTTGCCCGGCGGGAGACTTGTCGTTCTTGACTATCGGGTAGTACTTCGACGTGGCTTCGAATTTGTATTCCTTGTACTCGGGCGTGGTCGCGCGTATCAGATCGAAGCGTAATTCGAGGGAGGCATAGATGACAGACAGTGGACTGAGTCTGATATCGAACTCGCGAGACTGATCCTGGTGCTTGGTGCCAAATGTCTCTCCGATCGATAAACTGGTGACCTCGTCACTGAAAATACTGCTCAGCAGGCCTTGCAATGAGTGCTTCGAGGGGAGGTCTCCACGCGCAAAGTTCTCCCGGACATAAAAGTCTTGCGGGCACAGGTACAACATGCAGTGACTCGCGAGACCATCGCGACCTGCTCGCCCGATCTGCTGGCTGTACTCCTCGACGGTCGAAGGCAGATCATAATGGATGATGTTTCGTATGTCTGCCTTGTCAATACCCATGCCAAAGGCAATTGTTGCAACAACAATCCTGATCTTGGAGGCCATGAAGTCGTCTTGTATCTTCTGCTTCTCCTCGACCTTCATCCCGGCGTGGAACGACTGCGCGTCGAGGCCCTTTCGGCGGAGCTGAGCGGCGACGAACTCGGCTTGCTTCTGCTGGGTGACATATACGAGCGTCGATCCAGGGTGCTTTTCGAGAAACTTGAGGAGCTTGGCCTCCTTCTCCTCCTTCAACTCTATGGCTTCCGCTGACAAGTGTAGATTGGGCCGGTACGGCGAGGTGCGGAACACTCCCGACTCTTTGATGTTGAAAGCCTTGCAAATGTCCTCGGCAACTCTGGGGGTTGCGGTGGCGGTGAGACAGATCACTCTTTCAGCCTTGATCTCTTGGACGAAGCGGGCGACCTTGAGGTAGTCAGGCCTGAAGGAATGGCCCCATTCCGAAATGCAATGAGCCTCGTCCACGGCGATCAACCGCACACCCCCGGCTACATCCTTCATGCTTTCGACAAATCCTTCGTTGTTGAGGCGCTCGGGAGCACAATACAGAATGCGGATCTGGCCCTTCTCGAGGCCCTGGCGGATGAGCTGCACTTCGTCCCATTTCTTGGTCGAGTCCAGGCAGTCTGCAGGAATGTCTCGCCTCTTCAGGGCGTCAACCTGGTCCTTCATGAGCGCAATGAGTGGTGACACGACGATAGTGACGCCGTGCTCTCCGGCCCCACGAGCTCCGGACTCATTGTCGAGCTCCTCAAAGGCGATGCCTGGGATCTGTGCCAAGTCAGTAACTGAGAGGATTGGCTCATAAACATCTGGAACGAAAGGACGGCAATGCCTGTCACCTACCTGATAGCAGAGAGACTTGCCCGCACCCGTGGGGAAGATGACCAGCGCGTTGTTCCCGTCGAGCACCTGGCCGATGGCGCCCTCCTGCTCATGGCGGAAATCTGGGTAGCCAAACTTGTCCGTCAGTATGCGTCGCGCGAGTGCAAGCTTTGAGGAGTGCCCGTTCTGGACAGTCTCCCCATTTGCAGCTCGTAGCCGCTTGGGCTCGTTGGCATCTACAGTGGCAGACGCGTCGTCGCGTTTCCGCTTGCCATTCTCGGTGGAGCCTGTGCCTGACTCCACCTGCTGAACGGCCTGCAGCATGAGCTCGTCGTCGTCGCTATCAAAGTCGTCCATGGTGTCGTTAAAGGTTGTCAGTGGCTGGAAGTGTTCGTCTAGAGTTGGGCGTTGCTCTATGAATTCTCTACAGTCCAGGTCCGCGATGTCAACTTTGGTCCTTGAGTCTGTCTCTTTGGGGGGGAAGACAAGACGGGCGTCATCAATGATTGATGGATGGAAGGAAACCCGCCAGCTTGGAAATGGACGCGCGGGTAGCTAGCGCCATTCTTGCGGGTTCAGCCCGCTAGAAACGGCCCTAGCGCAACGTGTGCAGGCACTGCCAGGCAGCATTCCGGCAAACGCAGTCCCTGAATTTTAGTGGGGATGGGGCTGATATCGAATGCAGGTGCCCCTTTCACGACGTTTCCAACAGCTGGCTACCAGCATAATCAGTCCTCCCGCACCGCACCCAGCCATGCCCTCTTGCTTGATCACTACTATCTATCCATCTAAACACTTAGCTATTGCACTTCTGGCTTCTTGATCACGCCAGCAATGATGTTTGTAACCCGAGTTCTCCGCAAGATATCTCTTCAGTCCCCAACTTCAACACACGAGAGGTCGGTGTATCTCCCTCTGTGCCGAGTTGACTTGACCGAATGCTGGCTGAGGAGGCCTCTCAAAGCACTGACAAAGACCAAGGAGTACACTAAAAGGCTGTTACGCCTAAACAGGTCGTTTCATGAGGCTCCCTCACTAGTGACGAAGACGGCCAGGGCGTAGAAGCGTCGTCTCCCCATATGTTTTCTTGGTATATCCCTCGGTGTTGTTCGTGAACCTGCCGAGATACTATGATATGTTCTCTTTGAACTGAACGCTGTTCATCGAGTAGTGGACGCTGTCCAGGATGATCTGGGCAGGTATAAAATGCAGGCTTGGAGTGCCATGCCCATCCGAGCTCTTCCCATGTTGCGACTCTCATCTCCGCTTCTCTTCAGCTCGGCTCGAGAATAGTGATTTACCACAAAGCACACACTCCCGCTTGCGTTAAACACACCCTCCACACTCAGCTGATAGGCGCAATTCCCACCATGAGCGGAGGACAGTGCACTGATCCACCCCACGGTGGATGGGATCCCAACCCAAATGATGCAGAGGCACATGTCCATTGGCTTGCTCGCCAGAACTTTCCTCCCCCCAAGCGCAACGAGGAGTTGGCAAAAGTTATGCACATGGAACCCAATTCGAACAATGCCAATAACGTCCAGAAACTCATCACTTACCCACCACTCCGGGACGCATTTCACCACATCTCAACCGTCTACATCCAAGACAAGTGGAAGTCGCGCCCTCCCGGGTTTCGAATCACGGACAAGCTGGTCACTAAAGCACTCAGCATTCAATTAGTGCCAGGGCACCACGAGAGATACGCTCATGACTATACACAGGACTGGGCGGGGAGCGGACCTGCTGCAGACGATTGGTCGGCTGAGGACCACTACACCCAGCACATCTGCCGTCTGCTGCGCTATCTGGAACGCCATAACCCGCCATATTTGGAGTGGCTTACAAGCGAACCTCACGAGAAACAGGTCTGGATACTCTACCACATCATTCTATTTCTCCATATGGAGAAGAAGTATCGATGGTGGAGAGTACGCCGCTGGTATGAGAGCACCTGGGCCACCATCACCTTGCAGGTGCCCAAGAAGCTGAGTCCTTACCACTACCACAACCGTCTTGCTGATCTCCAGTATTCGAGAGTTGTGCGGTTGGCTCGCCGCAAGCTGGTTGCGTCGGAGTGATGAGCAAGAGCCATTGGCTTTTGGCTCCGGGATTTCCCCCTGTTGGGAGAAGTGTGTATGAATGGGCCAGTCATTTCTGCTCGTCATAGCGCTTACGGAGTTGGATATCGGGGGTTTTCTTTTAGAATAGATTAGATAGACTAAAGAGCAATCTTGCCAAAGGATGTTCCTTTTTGGTGTTTAGTGTTCTGACAGAGTGTCAACAAGATGTCACCAGCTTTTGCTCCGACTCGCTAGTCCAGAGATTACAATAAATCTGCATCAGTCATCACTTTATATCCCGTTTTGCCCGCCGTAACGAAATTATGATTAGCGTGATACTGTTCTATTATCAAAATATGCAATACATTGTGAATGCAGGGCAATTTTGTGATTACTTCTCACCTGAATTCTCTTGTCAACGACGAATATCACTACTGACTGGAGGCTAGCGAGCAGGATATCACCAATGAAAATAATTACATAAGACTGTGTGGTCAGGATTGAATGGTCACTATGACTCTCGCCTCGATGAATTGCCACATCCATCCGTTGATATCCAGGTTCCAGTATCCCTCAAAGATTGAAGAAGTCTCCCCGACTCTATTCCCGTAGCGAAAAGTCCCGCGTAACATATCAGGCTCGGGATAGTCCAGCTCAAGTGACGTGCAATAGGGACTGGATACAGGATCTTGGAGGAATCTCTCAAAGCTAGTCTCAGCCCCATTTTATCATTTACGCAATCTTGACTACAGGCATTTACTCACGACGAACGGCTCTCTACATCCAGCCGTTACCTTTTGCCGATCTGTGGAATCTGCCAAGAGCAACCAACGCAAGCCCAGATCTCGACCGCCGGAGCTCTCCTTCCTGTGAGTAGTGCCTTTCCACAGCCCAGGGGAAGCCTTCTGCTGGAAAGTGTTCTTGGCAAGGCGAGGAAACCACATGGTTGAGCCGCGATGGAGGGCACGCAAAAGGCACTGGTCTCCCCCCCCACATTATGCGGCTCTTACCCGCTTGGTAGATTTGCCGCCGGCAACAGAGACTAGCAGCAAGCCGTTGAACTCTAGGAGTTGGTCCATGACTCGACCGCCTAACGGAGCTTAGAAATACACAGAGATAAGAGCAGGCGTCCTGTTTACTCTGCAAGGATTCAAAGTCCTTGATAGAAGAGTTCACTGTGATATCTATGACACTCGCCTCCATGTCAGGAGCCAGGAGCCGTACGACCAGCCCTGGATTATAAATGCCACGACCTGTTAACGTGCATCTACAGTCGGGAATGTATGTCATGTCCCAATTTCCGAAACTCTAATCGGCTGTTTCAAGAATGAGGAAGTATCTCAATGTTGACGTTTCACATGTCTACCATGATGGCTCTTCCAACATACAGATGTCCTGTTAGGACAGGCCGTCCACCCAATACAACCACACGTCCATGTTTCGCCCGCCCAACTCGCCGCCCTCCACATCATCAACGAAAGATACCCGAGCAGCGACATGGCATAGATTTGGCCCTTGTAGGCTCCTTCATGTCATATACACTTCTCCCTTGCACACGTAAATCTGAACAACTGGGAAGGAAGCTAGCTGGCTGCACAGATATTTGTAAAGCACGAACCATACACCCAACTGCAATGCCTGCTCGACACTACGCGCTACGCTCCGGACATTTTATTCCATGCTATCGCCGCTATCAGCTTCTGGACTGCGGACTATCCTGTACAAGCCAGCTCATAGACCAGCCAGCCATGAGACGCTAGCAGAAGGACCATCCGGCGTTCGAAAGACGACGTTAGTTCCGGAGCTAAGCCCAGCGCCACTCGACCCTGTGGCTGTCTTTTATAAGTTGTCTGTCTCTGTCCGGCATGCCTCTCCTGTTCTGCACTTTGTCTCGACTCTTAACTATCTTCAATACTTTGTCCTTCCTCTTCTGAGGTCCAGTTCTTGGACGATCTTAGTAAACCCGAGCGCTTAGCGCTTTTGAAAACCTGCAATTCCCGGCTTCCTGAGGATGAAAGACACAATATTCCAAGGGTCACGTCTGGCACCTCGACAATAACGTCCGAGACACAGGAGAGCAGAAGGGAGATCCACCGCTCTCTTCACAGCCTCTTTTTATTATCTCTTAGCAATAGTCGCCCTTCAAATGACTGACTTGCAGAACATATATCGCAACACACAACAAGATAGATGACAACAAGTTCGGAAGAGACAAGCCTTAAGAAGAAATGGCAGCCCCCGCTTCCTCCAACATGAATCCCAACGTGGCGCTCCCCGCCACGACTTTCCTCGGCATCGCGCTCTACAACGTTCTCGAGCTGACGTGCCTCATCTTCCTCTCCGGCCGCCACCCCGGCCGCTGGCGGTCGCACCACCCGGGCCCGCACTCCTCCCCTTCCTCCTCCTCGTGGCAGTGGCAACAGCAGCACCACCGCGCCCGCGGCCGGCACGCCCGCCTCTTCTTCTGGTCCTTCCTCATCGCGACCTGGGCCATCGTCCCCTACGCCGTAGGCATCCTGATCAAGGGCCTGCAATTGGTGCCCCCTGACCGCAACGCTGCCTTCGCAGCGCCGGTGTTGCTGGGCTGGGGCCCCATGATCACGGCCCAGGCCCTCGTGCTCTACTCGCGCCTGCACCTCGTCGACCGCAGCCGCCTGCGCCTGCGCGCCGTCCTCCTCATGATCATCGCGGTGGCGACGGTATGCCACGTTCCCCTCGCCGTACTCTTCGTCGGCGCGACCTCAGCCAATCCGGCCCGCTGGGTCGAGCCCTACGTCCTGGCCGAGAAGACGCAGGTCGTCATCGTCTTTGTGCAGGAGCTCGTGCTCTCCGGGCTGTATGTCTTCCACTCTGCGCGGCTGCTGCGCAGCCCGGACAACGTCTCTGCGTGCGTGGGCCGGCGGCGCGACGAGGTCGCGGCCTTGCGGCGGCTGGTCTTGGTTAACGTCGTGATTATTGTGCTCGACGTGGGCATCTTGGTGCCTGAGTACGCGGGCCGCTTCGATCTGCACGCTGCGTGCAAGGCGCTGGTGTACTCAATTAAGCTCAAGGTCGAGTACGACATCCTCAACCGCCTCACCGACCTGCGGGGTTTATCGGCGTCGGCGGCTATGCCGTACCCGGGTGTCCCCGAGGCCGGCAATATGGTCAGCGTTGATGGACAGCCCATGCAGATGGCGGAGCATCACCTGCACCACCAACATTTCCATCACAGGTGGCAGACGACGACGGATCAGCAGCCATTGTCGTTCGAAATCTACGATGGCAGCCAGGACGTGAAGTTCCGGGGAGACGGAAGCGTGCTAAGCCAGTCTCGCGGTGAGCTCCCGAGTAATTTCACCACATGCAATGCGTTTGCCCAAGGCGGTCGCCTCACCCGAGTAAGCAGTGTGGGTGTTACCCCAGACAGCGGGATCATGGTCAGGACTACGACCGATGTGCAATCGGTTCATCAATCCATCCGGACGGATGTGGAATAGGGATAGAGAGGATGGGTTGTGGAATGTAAAAGTGGAACAGAGAGACCAAGTGTCCTCTTACATTACTCGATGATTTGTATGTTCTGCGATGGCGTTAAGTGTTGAGCTCCCTCATCGGGCCCACCGAGCAATCAACTCTTCCCGTTTGGCACTCGGTCCCTTCGCCTTAGCCATGTCCTTGTCTGCGCCATCCAGTCTGGTCGTAATCTTGTCCACCTCCTGAGCGAGCACTTCGATCGAACCGTCGATGCCCGGGTCAGTCAGTGTGACGTCGCCGTAGGTGCTTTCGGCGAGCAGGCTTTCTCTGACCTTTGCCACCGCCTTGCGCATGTCGCCGAGATACGTCGATGTGGTCTCCTCAAACGCTTCCTGCACGTTGTGAGCGACGTCATCGGCCTTGGCGGCGCGTTCACGGAGAGCTGTGGAGAGCGCTTCTATCTGCGCTTTGCGCTCCGCCTGCGAAGGGGAGGGGTTATCTTGCTCCGGCAACATGAGGGCCAGCGTCTGCAAGATCTGCTCCACAGGTGGGATGTCGATGTTCAGACCGCCGGAGGAACGTCGACGGGAATGGGGCATGCCGCGAACGCGTACGGGCGAGGTCGAGGGGCCGTGGACTGATGATTTTCTTCGTCGGGTCGGAGAGGTATTTGCCGGTCGTTGCGACTCCTTGGACGACGAAGGCAACGGTACGGGGGTCTCGAGTTCGCGTCGAGCCATGGTGGCCAGTGTGTTGGTGGCGGCCTGGTGCGCTTGGAAGGCTTCGAGTCGTTGGGACAGTAGGCTGATGTGTTCAAGGAGGAAGTCCATGCAGTCATGGATCTGGTTAGTGTCAGTCGTGATGTGAAAAGTGGCCAAAGATCTAATAAGAGAGTTGAGTAAAAGTGATAAACATACGTAATTGACAGCAGTCAAGGATCGACCCAGACTCTGCCCATTCTTCCCAGAGAGAGACTTGAGCGACGGCTCGAGGAACTGTTGCTCAACTGACATCTGCGCAACTGGCAGAATTTCGGCAAAGAGCGATTCGAGCTCTTCCTGCAGGGCTGACAACTCGTTCTCATCTGCGATATTGGGGCCCCGGGATCGTTGGCTGGAAATGAGGGCTTCGAGGTACACTCTATCGAGCTTGGTCCGGATGGCTTCGACCTTGTACTTAATCAATTGTGCACAGACCTCGCGCAGCCGGACGATATCCTTTTGCTCCTCGGGGTTTTCCGTCTCAAGTTCCCAGCCAAGCTTTTGCAGACTGGCTAGCAGCTTATCATCAGATTGGAGAAGGGTCTCGACGCGCTGCTGAAGATCTTTCCCGATGCCCTTGCTTTGATGCTCCAATTCCGTGACATAAACAGAGAGCATCTGGGTTAATTCCTCAATCTAAAGCCATCGTTCAGCAAGGACAGGGATGGGAAGCGATGCGGTGTGTACGTACCGTGGCATGCAGCTTTTGCCGTGCAGATTCACTGCTCTGGTGCTGTTTGGCTTGCAAATCGCGGTGGCGAGACTCCTTCGTGGCTTGCTCTTTCACCAAGCGCGACAGGGCATCCTGCTGTAATCGAAGACTCTCTGTGTGCTTGGAGATAGCCTCGGTTGAACGATTCAGCTCATCGATGGCGCGCTTCAGGTCGACATCTCTCACGGGGAGCACCGAAGAGCCGTCATCTCGCGCGAACTGCTCTGCCTGGCCAGACTTTTCCAAAGCGTTGTATCTAACGCACGGGTCAGTATGGTTGGGCGGAATGAGATGGGTGAGAGAGACGTACAAGGCGAGCTCGTCAGGAGACAGGACGGTGTCAATAGTCAGGTAGGTACTGATCCACTCTGCGAAGTCCGAGCCGTCCTCCTGTTTCAAGGCAGATCGAATGGATTCCTCGTCTATATGCGGGCCATTGGTTCGGAGATGCTCAAGCACCTCTTCGACCTTTGTATTTGCCGCAGCTGGCATGTTCACACGCACTGTTTGCGACGTGCGCCCTTATTGAACAAAGGGGTTATCACGACCCCGTGCAGGCGTAAGGCCGAAGATTTGCCCTGCTTAATAGCAGATATCGAAATTATCGTGATGCGATGGGTGTCAGACGGCTCCAAGACAGCACCGAGGGATGTGATGCGGTCAGGTCTTTTGTTTACTTTGCGATCTCATTTGAGTGGATTCAGGGCTCTGATTAGGCGGTCAAAACTGGCGACGCGGCTCATCGCTAGCCAGAGCATTCAGGGTCCACAGGCGGGAACCTTGGGCCCAACAGCGTGCCGCCGTCCTCTTAGGCAACCCCGCAGCAGCCAACTTTGAACGAACGACCTGCGATCATCAACCATTCCCGGCATCTGGGCAGTGGATTGTCATGTTTTCCAGCAAACTCAGGTCCTTTTTGGCCGGGATGATGCGTGAAAACGAAGACACCTGAACCTTGCATTCTCATCTAGTCCTAGAATGGCCCCTCGGCGCACTCCTACAAGCGGTGCTGGGTACCATCCCCCGTCCGTCGGATTGCTCGTCCTCCTCATCCGGTCAGCCAGAATCAAGGAACATATGCCGGCCAGTCGAACAATCAAATCTAGAGGCCTTGATCATGGAATATGGCCGCGGGAAAGCTCCCAGACATTGACGTCGCCTACCTGCAGCCTTTTGCTGACCGCTACGCAAGACCGACGTTGAAGTATGCACAACATCGCCGTCCCTTGCAGAACGAACCCACCCAAGCAGAATCCTCGAGGCCAGATGGGGGACCAAGCTTATCGAACACGGGGATCCTCGCTGATCTTGGCCTACTCTATGCTGGTCGAGGAAGTCCCTGAGCACGGTCTGTGTCCCCAATGCTGTGCCTCTACATATATGGCCGCCGGGAACTCGAGAGGGATCAAAATGGCAATGCTTAGCGACGCCTTCACTCTTCAGCCAGCCGGCTCCCATCCTCGCCGAATGTGGTGAAAGGCAATCCGGCCGTTTCAACAAGCGAGGGCCAACAGGCGGTCAAGGAGCAGACCAGAGGCATCACAGCATGACATATATATTAGCCAGCAGGTGTCATTCAGCTCCCGTGGAGCATGTCGTGCTCTGGAGCTTGCATTCATTCTGGTCGCTGCCCCTCCGAATACTGAGCTCAACTTGGCTGACCCGCAGGTACGATGACATCTACAGAAGGGCCGACGCATCGGAGCCACTCAGAGCTTGCAGAGTGACCTACCCAACCCTTGCAGGATTTCCTCTCTAGGTCCTGGACTGGGATTTGGCCGGCACTTGCTGGCTCGTACAACCACACTTCCTCTTTGAGACGAGGGCCCCGTTGCCTGTTTTCCCTTCACGGGTTTGCAAGATCGACCCGGTACTCGAACACGGCCCAAGAGCATGCATCGAAACCGGTGTTGCGCCACCAATTGACGCATACCTCTATTGGTGTCCTGTTCGGACGAAGTGAGTCCTGTTTGTGTGGCAGTTCGGCGCAGCAGTCTTTGTCAGCTCGAGCCCTAGGGCTCACTTGTCCTCCCAAAGAAGTTGAAAAAAGCGTCTGGTGCCTGGAAGTACAAGTGTATTCCTTCACTTGTTCCGACCTGGTTTTTTCTTTTAGCTTAATTCCATTGTGTACCTCGTTTTCCAAGGAAAACAACGTGCCCGACCCGAGGTGGTTCAAGGCTTGCTGTGCTGCCTCCCACACACCACGCAGCTCAGATCACCTGGTGGTCGGGCTTAGTTGGAGCGCAGCAAATCCTATCATTGTTTCCGACGCGGCTGGCTGCAGGTCCTACGCCACAAGTGTGCCACTGCAGCCCTGTGCGCCCATGTTTGCTGGGCGAAAGAGGCAGAGCTAATGCACAGCTGCGCTGTCGTGTCCGGAAAGCCCTCTGTTCTTCCTCCCGGCGTGCGAGCACATTGGAGCTTGGGCCTTCAGGGGTCAAGTTTGCACAGGTGGATTCAGACAGGTCAGAATTCTGGGCAAGCTTGCCCCCCCTTGCGAGCTGTCTGCCTGACTCGAAGTGGATTGAGGAGGCGGACGGCACGGGAGAGATGGTGTGAGTGCCGTGAGCTGGCTGCCGCCTCTGATCTGACGCACAGCTCCCCGTCCCCTGCTCTGGCATACTGCCATGTGCCTTGACACGGGGGAGCAGCTTTCATTGGAAGGGGAAGACGGCTCTCACGTCCCGGACCTGGTTGGCGGCACGTTTCAAACGTCGGCGCGGGCGCGCAAACACCGGGTACCGGGAAGGCTAACCCCCAAACCTTGGCCAAAAGACAGACGTGGCCTGCAGAAATCAGATATATGACAAGTGAGCATGTCATTCTGGGTCTTGCATGGAAAAGGCATGATTGTGTCTTCGAGTCTGGTCTGGCTCCCCTTGTCTGGCTGGGTCTTGTGGCCTCTCGCAACCCGGTGCGTCCCGCCCTCCCGTCTCTGATTCACCAATCGTCACGAAACCGGGCACACAAACTTTTCTTTGTACCATAGAGTCCAGAGTGACCTGGGGCGTGTGCGATGCTACGGACCGTATTTCGATCCTTCTTGCCAAGAACTGGTCTGCTTTGCTTGCTGCTCGTTGAGGTGCAGCGGTCCCTCTCCCTGACTAAAGGGGGCTTGCTGGCAGAGTCACGCAACGATGGAGATCTTGCTGCACGGTGCACTGGTGTACACGCACGTCGCCTGTCGACCAGAATAGCTGCATTGCTCGCATTGCCCAACGTCTAACTGTTTCTCATCTGCCTCTCCGTCACGGCCATCAGCACCCGCATCAAGATGTACTCACCCCCCTTTCACTACTAAGCACGGCGCCTCCGCCTTCCCTTCAACGCGGGGTCCTTTCAGCAGGCGGCCTTCGGGTGCGGCTCTGGTTGCCGTCCGCATCGCTCTTATGCACGGCGACCAGCGTTTGCTTCCTCCCCCCTTCCCGCTGAGGAAACTTTGCCAAAAAGGAGCCTATTTTAGCGAGTGAGGCGTTTGCAATGAGCGCTAGCTGGGCCAGACGACCCATCTTCCCCCTTCGGATGCAAGATGCAAGATGCGCGATGCCTGTCTTTGCCTGCTCGCATGACCGGCTCTGGCTCCCGGCAAGGGAGGTAATCAACGGGTGCTGATGCCATGGCCGCGTCGAATAGTGCTTCTCCATTGCATCCGCCGATGAGTCTTGTATTTGCTTGCATGGGCTGTGTCCATCTCTTGTATGCCAGGGAATTACAAGATGATGTGAGAGCGTGTGGTGTACTTCCTAGTCACCGCCTCCGCCCACGCCTTACACACGCCTTGCTTGAACGTCTTGAACGGAGATTCCTGTGAAGCCATTAAATTGTGGACGCGAGGTCTCACTTTCTTTCTCCTTGTCCCCGGTCCCAGAGTCTTGGTCTCATTGCCTCTTTGCCCTTGTCGCCAAACATACACACAATACACAGACACATGTCTCTGGTTCACAGCTCCCCCTTTGCCGCTCGCCTTGCTGTCTCACTTGATCCTCTGAACCGCCAGAGGTGAGGCGAAACGGCCCTCGAGTCACTCGCTTTTTATTGCTGTCTTTGTTGTTGCTATTCGCCTTTTTGCTGTACCGGCTGAGACCTTTGTGTGAGGTTATTCTCCGGGTGTGGGTGTGTGTGTGTGTCCTCGCCACTGGCCTGGCCTGCCAGTACTGAAGTTGTCTTTACCTGGCTGGCGAGGTGGAGTGAAACCACTATGACATCCCCACGGCGACCGAGCGGCTGCTGGAGGGGAGACCCGATGCGATGGGTCTCGAGGATCCCAGTGTCTTATGTCGACAGTCTCGTAGCCGTGGCGATGTTCTTCGCCTGCCAACTTTTGATATGCGCACTCCATCGCGTGGGCGAGCTGCTCAACGACTTCCCGGCAACGATCCTGGCGATGTTGCTGGTAGCTCTCGTGATGCTGGGGATGAGCTGGAAGATTGGTAAGGGGGTCGATGAGTTTTACGAGAGGCGTTTGCGAGGACCTGTACGTGCCTACCATCATATCTGAACAGGTTGATTGCACCCTAGGCTAACATTCTGATGCCTCTACCAAGACTGATCTGCTGAATCGGCACATGTCCATCGGCTTCACCGTGCCGTTCATGATGATCATCAAGAGCCCGGCAGCCAGCGCCCGAGACATCGGTCTCATTATCGCATGTTTCAGTCAGTCCAGATCTCCAGCCCCGTGTGCACCGGTTCTTGCTAACACGTCCATTCCGACATCCAGTCCTCACCGGGGTTCTGAATTCGGGACTTGTATATATCATGGCCCACTGTCTCCAGAGACTGGCCTGGGCCATGGTGGGTGTTCCTCCCAAGCAAGCCCTCGCACCATCGGCGGCGCTTCCTGAGCGAAATGTCCCACCCATCGTCGTCGAGCCGCCGGGCTCCCCCGCTCCGCGACGGTCCGTCACTGCCGATGAACGCTTCAGGAAATGCCTCTCCAACGCCTCGACGCTCACCAACACGCCCGCCGGTCCCTCCCCAATTATCCGACCCTCCGAGCCCGAAACGCACAATGCTACGCCTCCCCTCCCTCCGCTGCCCGAACCGACTCCCCCTACTCCCACCACCAGGACCAGGACCAAAGCCCTCGACGTCCTCATATCCAACCCAGTCCTCTACCTCTCTATCCTCGCCATCCCCATGATCGGGCTGCCCATAGCCGTGACGACAGGCAACACCGCGCCGATCGACACGATTGTCCTTTTCCTCCTCTGGACAACCTTCCTCGCCACCCAGCGCAAATCCCGCTCCACACCAGTCCTCGCGTCCCAACCCCGCTGGCGCACCTTCCTCTCAGCGGCGCTCAACGCCGTCCTCTGGACCGCCCTGGGCATGATAGCCTACTGCGCCCTGAAATCCGCCCTCAGCCACCACCCCTCCGCCTCGCTGATAGACACCCTCACGTCCCTCTCCACCGGCACAACCCTGTCAGACCTCATCATCGGCAGCGGCACCCGTCCCAGCATGGGCGCAGGCGACGTCGCCGTGTCGATCCTCGACGCGGGCATCGTCTCCTGGGGCCTCAAGCTCTTCGAGTGCCGCGCGCAGCTGACTTCCCCCTCGGGCGTCACGACCGTCGTCACCGCCTTGGCCGCCGCGGCGCTCAACGTCGTGTGCGGGCCGCTGCTGGCGCGCGCGCTGGGCCTCCGCCTGCCGGGCTGGTGCCTCGCGTTCGCGGCGCGCAGCGTGACGCTCGCGCTCGCGGGCCCGGCGATGGGCAGCCTCGGCGGGGACGTGGGCGTCAACGCGGCCATGGTCGTGTTCAGCGGGATCGTGTTCCAGGTCGGGCTGGGCCTCGGCGTGGGCGGCTGGCTGCGCGGGGTGTTTGCGGCGACGACGCGAGCGTGGGCGACCGGCCGTGGCAGTGACGGCGGCGGCGGCGGCGGCCGGAAGGACCGGGACGTGGAGAAGGGGGCTGCTGTGCGACTCCCCACTGCTGCCACTGCTGGTGGTGACGACGGCAGGCTGAGGGATGATGAACACCAAGAAGATGAAGAGGAAGAAGAAGAGGAAGATGCCGACAGTCCGCTGACCGTGGCGACGGGCGTCATGGTCGGCGTCAACGGCGCGGCGATGGGCACGGCGCACCTGTATGACGCGGACAGCCGGGCTGCGCCCTACGCCGCGCTGTCGATGACTGTCTTTGGGGTCATGACTGTCGTGATGACTTCGTCTGACCGCTTGGTGCACTGGCTCGTGGCGCAGGTCGCCTCATAAATGGGATACATGCGGTATGCCGTGTCGTGTGACGCGACGGCGGCGGCGATGATGACTCCTGATGAACCGAACTGACTACACGAGGAGTTTTACATGGATTTTGGGGAAATCTTTTTGGTGTGTACATGACGGATCTACTGGCACGATACCCCCTCGGGCTCCTGGAGAGCTGGGACGAAGCGCTGAGATATACCCAGTCGATGAGGCAGGGTGGAGTGCATATGCTGTTTGGGAATTTTGTGTGTTTTGGTTCTGCTCAGTTCTGGGATATGATGATTTGGGATAATGAAGACTTACGACAATGGAGTTGGAGCAGTACGGTACTTAAGAAAAGTCCTGGTTTACGACGATGCGCTGGTGCGGCATCAGGGCATTTAGATGGCTCACAGACAAATAGGATCCACCACATTATCAAAGGATCTGGAAGTACTTGCAATCCGACTTTTTGTTGTTTTGGAGCGGCAGCTTTTTTACCTCTCGAGACGCGCGATATGTCTGCCATCGCCTCAGTGCGCCATGAAACGACGCAAAATACAACTTTAGTCCAACCTGTAAAGCACGGGAACTCGTCAGTCAACTATCCAATCTCGCCGAGGGTGCAAAATTGACAAAGACAAACCTCTCAATAAGATGCAGGCCGCTCGCCGTGTCGACGATACCACTGATCTCTCCAGGCTTGAGCGCAAAAGCAGCCTCCTCGAACTCCTTCTGCATGTCACCCTTCCCAAAGTAGCCCAGGTCGCCTCGCTTGCGGGCGCTGCTGCAGTCGGACTCGGTCTGGGCCAGCTCCCCGAGGCTGATCTCGCCCTTCTTGATGCGCTCCTCGTACCCCTTGAGGATCTCTCGCGCCTCCTCCTTGCTCCGTGTGATCTCGGCCTGGACCGTGTGGTTAGCCCCTCGACTCCATCCAGCGCATTCCCGCCTTTCCTCAGGTTGCCATGTCCACTGACCTCTCTCCAGCTCATGGGCCGCCGGCTGCCGTTGTGCTTGACGAGCAGGTGGGCGGCGCGGATCTTGCCGGGCTGGCCGGCCTCGCCGGCGACGCTGCCGCTGCCGGAGTGGTACTTGGCCATGTAGACCTTGAGCTTCTCGGTGTCGGTTCCCGGTGGGGGCTCCCAGCGCGAGTTCTTCTCGACGGCGTTGAAGTAGTAGGGCAGGTTCTTGCTGTTGCTGTGGCGCACCTCCCAGTTGGGGGGGAGTCCGGTCTCCGTCTGCGTGATGAGGGGAATCTTCCGTTAGCATCCAAGGTTTTATAGAGCTATGCGACAGGGCTGCGAGACCACCTGCGACCCCCTGGCGGGAGCATCATATGATGGGAATGCCTTTCCCGCGCCGTGTGCGTGTACGCGCGCGCGCGCGCGAAAGGAGAGGCATAGCATTTGTGCCGCAGCGGGGAAGGCAAAACTTGAGGTAAGAGCTTACATTCTGATCCGTTGCCATGGCTGCCTTTGCTTTGGGTATCAATTCGAGATCAAGGAATGGTCTTTTGGGCGGGAGGTGATGGGTAGTTGAAGAAGCTCGGCGATGTATATAAGATCTCAATGTTTTGGAAAGGGACCAAAAGCGAGAATACTGAAGATGAGGAGAATGGAAGAGGAATGACGGAGCTTGTATGTACCTTGGGTGGTCTCGAGGCTGAGCCTGGTCGGTAGATCAAGCCTTTCGGTCCTAGTCGCGAACTCGTTGAGCGGGGAACCAATTGCAGAGAGCTCCAATGCTGCTGCACTCCAGTTGGTGTGGGAGGGCAGAGGCGGGGGGCATCGTAGGGGAGAGGGGAAATCAATCACAGGGCACTTCAGAGGGTGGGGTCGGCGAGATGCTAGCGCCTGCCGTACAGTTAGTGCTGTCTGGTAGTGGAGGGTGGGCCGCAGCTAACTGGATTGCAGATAGCTGCAGGTGGGCAGCGATCAACGATGAACAGTCGAGACCACAGCAAAGGGGTTTCCCACTATGGGAAACAGAAATTGACACCGAGACTTGGAAGCGAGTTTCTCGATCCGTTGGGGGGTGGCATGGAGGGTCAAGTGACGGAAAGCAGTGGGGAGTAATCTAATCCATCGTGCATCACGGGGGAGCTGTCGGGAGCGGAGTGGAGGGTAGCAGTAGCTCCCGAATCGCACATATGCTGCGGGGGTTTCAGATCACAATTCCCAAGATTCCAAGCGGGCGAGTAGCATGACGTGACAGGCCAGTGGGTGTGTGCCTGAACATTGAACCGGGTAAGGCAAAACACAAGAGCCAGTCGGCAAGTGAACTTGGGTTTCTGGTCAAGCAAAGCAGGCTTCTTGTCCGGGCTGAGTGCCTTGAACTGGAAGTAGAGCATGGTTTGTAGATACGAGGAAAGCTGACAAAGCTGACAAAGGCGACAGAGGCTCCCGAGGCCGACCTTTGTCTTCCGTGTTTGCGCACCGTAAGCAGTGTGCTCTGAGGCTGGCTGAGAAGGAAGCCCTTGAGTGGGCACCTGTTTCAAAAGCCACCCTCTGGAAAGCAACCAATAGACGTGGGAAGTACCTAGGTAATAAGCAAAGCTCTTGTTGAGCTGCTGGCCAGTGATATGCGATACCTGAAGAGACACAGAGACAACGGCGAGTCGGGCTGACCGACAACGACGGATGTCCAGCCTGACTAAGAGTCCATTTCTATTGTTGGGCACCTGTCTGCTACCAACCTCCCTTCCTACCTACCTACCTAGGTATTGTTCTTTGGCCATCGGACGAAGAGGTATTTAGGCACCCGGACAACTCATGCCCAAGGCCCAGTCTGCAAACAGCGTTGAGTCAGGCTACCTATCTACATTATCTATTGTACGTGTAGGGTGCCCTTCTTTCTTCTTTGCCTCCATTGTTCGCCTGCGAAACTAGAGGAGCCAATCAACGACAAAGAAGCCACCACATTCGGCCCCACCCACCACCACCTCAAGTACCACTGTACCAGTCGCCTCTCGACCCGCTACCTTAGTCTTCTGCCTCCGCGACTCGACAACTTTTTCGTTCAACGCAAACCGCCATCTGAACGACGCGCATCCGCTTCAAACACTTCTTCTCCTCCTCATCGTCAACATCGTTCTCGCGATCGGTTTCTGAAGAAGAAGCTCCCTGCATTCAAAAGCGCAGACTTGGCGAATCCCAACATCTTGCCACTCTCACATCACCTCACCTTGATCATCACTTTGAGCCATCATTCAACTCACTCCCCCCTACAATCGCAATGGCTTCTCCCCAGTCCACCACCTCGCACGACGACAACCGCGTCAACTCCAAGAAGAACCTCGAGCAGATCACCTTCCGCTTCTGCTCCGAGTGCTCCAACATGCTCTACCCCAAGGAGGACGAGGACTCGCACAAGCTGCAGTTCACCTGCCGCACCTGCCAGTACACCGAGGAGGCCACCTCGACATGCGTCTTCCGCAACGTCCTCAACAACGCCGCCGGCGAGACGGCTGGCGTCACTCAGGATGTCGGATCTGACCCTACGGTTGGTATCCCCTCTCCCTTCTCTCCTACCACTGCTGCCTCCTGCAATATCCTCCTCTGCATGGTCTGCAGTTGTGAAATCAAGTGCAGCGTCTGTGGGGAGCACAACGCTGTCCAAGTGGCCCGACCGAGCGATCTCGAGAGCATGACCACGGCCACCACCGCCGCCGAAGACGACGACATCGAGGATCTCTTCGATTACCCCGACCTCGACGACCTCAGCTTCGACCTCAGCTACGATCTTAGCTACGATCCCTGCTATGACCTCAGCATGGCCGACCAATATGAGTTCGAGTACGAGATGGAGAAGGGCAACAGAGACGAAGACATCCAGCCCGACGCTGATGTCGTCATGGTTTAGACCATGCCTTCTGCAGCACATCGATCTCTGTCGCGGGCGCGACAGATCGATCCACTCCGACGACCGAATTTGTCGACGACTCTCACGAGATATGCCGCATTGTATCACACTCAGCGACAGGTATCACTGTGGCGGGACTGCGTTGGAAGAGGGGAATGAATGCCTTGTGTTTTTTACGCAATCGCTGCATCTTCATCACCAGAACCTGCCGCTGACACTGTCTTTCCTCAACTCTTAGCTTCCTCGATCCAACAAGACCTGTCCGGTCTGCCAGCACGAGGAGGCTGTCTTTTTCCAGTCGCAGCAGCGAAGTGCCGAAACCGGAATGGTATGTGGCTTTTTGTGCCTGCACTTGATCCCGACTTCCTTCTTCCATTAGTCACTGACCGCGTTCCCAGAAACTGTTTTACGTGTGCTGCGAATGTGGTCACATCTTCCAGTAGACTGTTCCGCTTCTTGATTTCTGGTGATATAGAACGGACTAGAGACTCAGGTTCTTTTGCATGGCATGGCGTTGGAGGAACTGGTTTGCTTTTGCTTTTTGATTTCAATTTTTATTTTATTTTTGGACGCGCCTTTCCCATGTTAGGCGGCGACTCTCGACAGCACGAGGATTGTGCTTGGAGATACCACGTGGCAGACGGCTACATACTTCATTCTCATTAGGACAAGGAAAACCATTTCACATTAAACGGCATGCTCGTTTTGCCGCAAAAATCTTGTTCCCAGTTTGACTTTTGCGATGATTATGGATGAACAAGAAAATATGGAGATTTTGTATGTCATGGCGGCTGCGCCTTGTATGTTGATAAATACGGCTGCATCCTCGTTCTACAACTCCGACGCCATTCGTGATGCTTTCGGCCCAGCGTAGTGGCCTAGTATGATACATGATATGTCAGGCTTGATGTTATACACGGCCATCCGCCTCCCTACCAGACGACGGACCCCTTTCCTGCATTGTGATGGTTCTTCTTCCGCTGCTTTGGCCTTGTCTGTGCGTGCTCCTCACCACCTCCCAGTTGGTTTCAACGTTTCATTTCTCTCGTCCTGCAACCTGTCCTCAACCATTCCTCGTTGTCATCACCGCCGTCATCGCCGGTCCTCGGTTACGCGTGCATGGGCGCCATGCTGAGAATCTTGCTCCACTTCTTCCTCCTCAGCTCGGCGCCGACGACGCCGTTGACGCGGGAGCCGACGGGGTCACCGGCCTTGTTGATGAGCACGCAGGCGTTGTCGTCGAAGCGCACGACGCTGCCGTCGGGCCGCTGGACCTTGTACTTTGTGCGCACGACGACGGCGTGCCGGATGTCCCCCCGCTTGACCTTGTTGCCGGCCGACATGCCCGCCATGCCCTCGGCGAGGGCGCCGCGCTGCTTCTGCACGACGACGACGATGCGGTCGCCGATGGAGGCGTGGCGCTTCTGGCCGACGATCATGGCGCACTCGACGATGGCGGCGCCCGAGTTGTCGATGCAGTTGAGCATGGACTGGACACAGGCTTTGGTTAGCTCGGGAGGAATGACGAGGAAGAGGAGTTGAGGTGTACCTTTAATTGAATCATCTTGGCTGTGTGGCTCTGGCCAGTCCAAGTCTTCTTCGTCGTCTCCCTCTCGTCGATCGCTGGCCTGATATCAATCAATCAATCGTCGCCAATGCGAAAAAGCTATGTCGGCCCTGGCGTGTCGTTCCAAAATTCCCAGAGATGGCCCGTGCTTTCGAGGTCTGGCTTATGTCAGCCTTCTTTGGTCCATTGGTCTCCCAGCCAATGGAGAGCGAATTGGGTCCCGGTCGCGCCAAGCCAGGAACGGACATGGAGCCCTGGCCTGGAAGGCCAGCTCGGAAGCTTTCACAGCGCATTGGGCGGCGTGCCAGCAGCTGAATCTCAGGGCGCCGTCGCCTAGCCACCCTATTTTCCAGGGGGTTCCAGCGAGAGGGAATGTCAATATGCAGGTCGGAGGAGGCGGGTCCCACCGTGTAATGTGTGTGCTTTGTATGATGATTGATCCTCTCCATCTCTCGTTCTCTCTCTCTCATTTGCTCCTCCTCCGGTTCCCCATCGCTTGGCTGGCTCTCGAGGTGAAGAAAGCACGCCCAGCTGCATCGAGGAATGGGACGAGAGGACGGAAACTCGCGCGCGCAACTCCTCCATTCCTCGACGACTCCTCACTCTTCCTCACCCTGCCTTCGATTGCCTTGTGAGGAGCACTCTCCCGAGCCTCGTGGCTACGCTACTACCTAGACCCTATTGTCACTAATCAATCTATTGTTTCCCGACCCATCCATTCATTCAGTCAATTGTTCATTCATCCAGGGCCTCATGTTGCCTCTCTTCTCAAACCATCGACTTGCATTCCCACCATATTTTATCTCTCACAAGCATCTACCGTGATATTCTTACTTTCGCATCTCACCTTTTCGAGCTTGAGGCATATTGCTTTCATCAAGTCCATCAGCTCTCACTGTTGCAGATCCCTGCAAATGACGACAGCAACCGCCCAGCCGACGAACGAGAGCTAAGGAAAACCGCGCCGCTCTCCCTCGCTTTCACTCCTCCCCTTTCCCCAGCTTCCTCCCGCTTCTTCTTTGACCGACAACTCGAGGGGCTGAGCCCGGTCAGCACAGCGCAGCGCAAGGCAACGCTACCCACCTTCTTTTTTCAAACGCAATCCGTCAAAGGCCAGACTGGTGCATACGAGGCAGGGGTGGTCGTGTGTGTGTGCCTGTCTGCCACGAGTATCCCATCCGCTCCTGTTCTGGCTGTGTCTCACTCCCTGTTGACTACCCGAACTCTTGCTCTACTCGCACTTCTTGGCTTGCGCATCTGGCAGAACCGAATCGACGCCAATGACCTAGAGCTGGTGATCCTGTTTTTGTGCATAGCCTGGTCGCAATGGCGCCGCCGACAAAGCTGCAGCGCGCGCAGCAGTCTGCCAAGAAGCAGCCGCTGACGTTGGCGCAATTGGCTTCCTACGACGACATCTTGACCGATGCGCTGGTCGACCACGTAAGCCGCAAAGAGAGACCTCGAGTTAGCAGCGCGCAAAGTGTCGTACTAACAATCCGAGCAGGTTTACTACTGGACCACGATCCCCAAGAACCGACCGTCATACCACCCGTCACGAGGAGTCAGGGAGGAAGAGATCACCAAGCTCATCCAAAAACACCTCATACTCGAGCCCGACGTCAAGGTCGCCGAGGAAAAGCTGCTGGCCACCGACGGCCTTCGCAAGTTTTGCAATGCGCTCAAGACGGACAAGGAGAAAGACGACTTCCGCCGCCACATGCGCCGCTACATGAACCTCTACCTGCCCGACTGCCCCTTCGAGGTCTCGTCCACGAACCGCTACACCATCTTCACCCACGAGGCCAGCATCACCGCCCGCCGCTTCATCAAGCGCAACGAGACCATCAAGTACCTGTGTGGCATCCAGGTCGTCATCACTCCGGAGGAGGAGAAGGAGATCTCGCGCCGCAAGAAGGACTTTAGCATCGTCGTCAGCTCCCGCAGCAAGAGCACCAGCCTGTTTATGGGCCCCGCGCGCTTCGCGAACCATGACTGTGGCGCCAATGCCAAACTTATGACGTCTGGCACGGCCGGCATGGACATCGTGGCCACGAGGGATATCGCCGTCGGCGAGGAGATTACGGTGACCTACGGCGAGAGCTACTTTGGCGAGGACAACTGCGAGTGCCTGTGCCAGACGTGCGAGGGCAACCTCGCCAACGGGTGGGCACCGGAGGATGGGCAGACGGTCGTCAAGCGGAGTATTGAAGAGGATGCGGCAGCTGCCCAGGGTTATTCGCTCAGGCGACGGAGGACATGCGACAGCGCCAGCGCCAGCCGATTTCTATCAGATACACCCTCGGTCACTCCAGATATCCGGCCGAGGATACGCAAGACCCGTATCAAGGACGAGGGCCAGCCGTCTGCTGCAGACTCACCCGCCCCAGGGGTGCGCGGCGGGCTGCTCTGGAAGCGTAAGCGAGGACTGGATACCCCGGCCACGCCTCCTGTCACGCCTGCCAAGAGGCAGAAGACGACACAGTACGAAGTTGAGCCGATAACTCTCCCCTCCAACTCGCGTGGTAGCTCGGCCGATAGTCTCGGTCGCACCACCTCGACGACCGGATCTACGACGGGCGAAGCTGCTCTCACAGATGCCACTACGCCCGAACAGGAGACGCCGAAACCCGTCATCCATTCGCCGAAGCCGACACCCATTAAGCGAGAGATTCAGGTGCTCAAGCAAGAAACCGAGGCGGGAGCGGCGACGGTCTCGTCCGGCGGTGACGGGCTGCCGAGCCCACGACCGCGGCGGAGGACGATGCTGAGCATATCAGATCTTCTCCTGCCGTCGGACTCGCCGCCAATCAAGGCTATTCCGTCACCACAGGGCGTGAAGGTACCCGCCATCCCTCTGCTGACACCCTCGTCCTCCATGGTCGAGTCAGTCGAGGCGACAGGTAGTGCAGCGGACGCCACCCCAGTGGAACCAGTACGGCGTGGCCGTGGACGTCCCAGGAAACACCCCATCGCCCCGGCGAACAACCCCGATTCTCAGTCTACATCCACCAAGAAGCCTCACGAAATACACCAGACGATCCATGACGAGGAGCACAACGAAGATGACGACGAGCAGGACCCCTCGTCGCCCGACGGCAAGGCCAAGAAGCGCCGCGTGCCGGGCGACTACACGCTGACGCACGTGCTGCTCTCGGAGCCCGAGTCGGCGTGGATCTACTGCATGATCTGCAACTCGGCCTTTGTGCAGCAGAACGCCTACTACACGCGGTCGTCGTGCCCGCGGTGCGAGCGCCACTCGAAGCTGTACGGGTACATCTGGCCGAAGCGGGAGCCCGAGGGCAAGCACGACCGGGAGGAGCGGGTGCTGGACCACCGCACGATCCACCGGTTCCTGGACCGCAGGAACGAGCTGAAAGTGCGGGGCAGGCAGATTCCGGCGGATCTGGAGGACAAGGACGAGGAGGGCCCGGAGGAGGTGGAGCGCGGGGTGGTTATGAAGCGGGAGGTCAGGGTCACGAAGACGACGAAGACGACGATGACGACGACGACGACGACAGCTGCGAGAAAGATGGCTACGGCGAAGGGGGCCAGGGCTGCGGCGGCGAAGAAAACTACTGTGAGGGTTGCCACCAAGACCAAAGCGAGCAGTGCCACCACCGCCAGGAGCAGGGCCGCCGCGCTGCGCAAGACGCAGTCCATGCCGGCGATGAAGCAGACCGTCATCGCGACGACGGTGTTGAAGCGCGGGCGGGGCCGGCCGCCCAAGAAGCGCAAGAGGGAGGACGAGTACGAGGTGCCCGACGACAGCAGTGAGGAACAGCAAGAGCTTGCTGCCGAGTCTGACGAGGAGGAGGACGAGGACGACTCGGACGAAGAAGAGGAGTCCGAAGGGGACGAGTACAAGCCCCGGAATACTGCTGCCGCCGGCGGTGAGGACAGCAGCCCGCGGCGGAGCGGTCGGGCGCGGAGGGCGAGCGCCAAGGTCGCGAGGGCGTTTTAGGGGAGTGTAACAGTACTTGCTGGCGTTTACCTCGTTCCGCTTGCTCTTTTCTTACCTTTCTTGAGTTGACGATATCTCGTCATCGTCGGGAGGGGGGAGGCTTTTTTTTTTTTTTGCAACTACATATCTTGCGTCGGTGTTCTGGATGTGAGCGAGGGGGGGGGTTGGTTATTTCTCAACGACGAGAGTCTTTGTCTTACTTTGTCGTTGGTTTTTTCATATAAGATGCATGATGGATGGACGAGGATGCGAAGCGGGATTCTTGGTCATCTTGATCTCGATGTCTATATAACAGGAACCCGCGACATTGCCCTTAGATGATACCTTAGGTAGTAGCATCGTGTTTTGATCCAAGAGCAAGCACGACGCTCGCAAAAGAATTGAAGCGAAAAGCAGGAGCATCAACTGCCGCACCAAAAACTCAACATCAGGCCTCGAGTGCTCCTCTTACCGCAATACTGGGATTAATATTGAAAAAGTTTTCCCACGTTTCTATGCATTACAAAACTACTAAATGAAGACCTTACAACAAAAAAAGACCTGGGGTGGTGAATCATGATTCGGTCACATTATAAACAAGTACTAATTTCATGTGCCTTTTCTTTCTCTCCTTTCTTGCCCTCCCATATCAGGGGGGGGAGAAGGCGGCACTGTGGTATCATGATGACAGCGATGGTGTACGATGCGCCGGAAAAACAATGCGAGCCAGAAGTATGCGAGTATGTTGTGTGTGTGTGTGTGTGTGGATGTGTGGTGGTTGTTCGAGTCTCCCACCAAAAGCAGTGCCCTCGAGTCGAGGCCGAAACGACGATGACAGAGCACCACCGCATGTTAGGTGTTCCCCGCACCCATACACCAGCGCGAATCCTCCCTGCCAAACACACCCACACACACACATCTTCCTTCTTCCTCTCTCCTTCTTGCACTACCTCCTCAACCCGACCGTCGGCACGGGCTTCTCGAGCCGCAGCGCCCACAGCAGGTAGTCCTCGACGGGCAGGAAGACCAGCAGCACGCGGTTGCAGACGTAGGCCATGGCGACGATGAGGGCGGCGACGGCGGCGTCGGCAAAGTAGTGGTTGCCCGTGGCCACGATGGCCAGCAGGATCAGGCTCGGGTACGAGAGGCCGAAGAAGAGGAAGAAGAGGCGCGAGCGGAAGGAGCGCTTGCGCTCGACGCCCGTCCTCGGCGCGGGCGTCGCGAGCGCCGCCGCCGACTCCGAGTGGTAGCAATAGTCGTCGTCGAGCTTGAGCGCGCTCTCCTCGAGGTCGTCCCTCGCGCCGCCGATCATCAGCCGGCCGCCCTTGTTGAGCACGCCGCGCAGGAAGCCCGACTCGTAGACGAAGACGCAGCCGATGCAGAATGCGTAGCCAAAGTGCATGCTCGGCATGGCGGCCAGCTTGTTGACGTACTGGCCCGACATCCAGACGCTCTGGGCGTCCTCGGCGTTGACCGTGTCGACGAAGCCGAACTCGCTGGGCAGGAAGCGCGGCGGCATGCAGGGGTAGCCGAGGAAGATCAGAAAGGCAAACATGTTGACGAGGGACATGGTGCGGCGGACGGTGCAGAAGCGCACGTGCGAGGGCGCGAACCAGTAGTAGAAGGCGATGAAGCCGACGGTGCCGGGGATGTGGATCAGGGCGTAGACGCGGTTGAGCACGGTGAGCCCCACGCCGCGCCAGTCGGCGGCGTCGGCGCCGGCGAGGAACCACTGCTGGATGCGCCACTCGGCCCAGCGGCGCGTGCCCTGCAGGCCGCCGGCGCCGAGGGCGACGGCCTCGAGCTCGAGGATGGCGATGGCGTGGTCCTGCGCCACGTCCCAGAGGCCCTTGGTGCCGCCCCACCAGACGCGCGACAGCACGGCCGTCAGCTGGTAGAAGAAGTAGGTGACGACCCAGTAGAACATCTCGACGAGGAAGGGGAACTTTTGCAGGACGCGGCTGTGGTAGTGGCCCGCGAAGCGCGACGAGTTGGGCGTGCGGATGGTCCAGAGGCCGAGCAGGCGGCGCGTCTTGGGCGGGTGGGAGGAGGAGGAGGCGAGGTTGTTGCGCAGGCTGGCGCGCAGCAGGGACAGCTCCGAGTCGCCCGAGGCCAGCGAGGTCGAGGAGCGCGGCGAGTCGAAGGGGCTGGCGGAGGAGGGGGGCGCGCGCGAGTAGGCGGGCCGCTTGGTGTAGGGCTCGCCGCTGAAGATGGAGTAGTTTCTCCGGCGGGTGGCCAGCATGGCCGTGAGGAGGATGCCGACGATGCCCTGCGTTTGGGAGGAAGAGGGAAGAAGAAGGTCAGCGTGTATGCTCAGGTCGTGATGTATGCATGTGAGAGCTGTAGAGGGCACCGAGTAGATCAACTACGTACCACGGGCTCGACCCATTCGGGCATCTTCCAGACATGGCCGCTCTGCCATTCAGGCGCTGACTCCAGCCCCGCGGAGTCCATGTTGGTGTTGGCTGCGGAGGAGTCGAGTGGTGGTCGTCCCGGCTTTGCTTGGTTGAGGGAGGGTGCGAAGCTTGGTACGGCGGTGACGTCGAAAGAGAGGGTCGGGAGCTCGCAGGCAGGGAAAGAGGGCCAGCTCCAAGCTCCAAGCTCCAAGCTTCTGGCAGGTGAAGATGACAAGCAAGCAACCCGGGATTGACGACCTAAGGAAGCTTCGGAATTTTGCTGTACACTGCAGCTGGACGGCCTACCGTGGAACCAGGAAACCGCTTCGCTCGGTGCTATGTACGTCGGATCGACCAGTCCCAAGGTTCCGGCAGCGCTGGGCGGGGATGCAAGAGAGAGGGAGAGGAACGCCCGGTTTCTGGCTGCGTCGCGTGCTGCGCCCCAGGGTAAGGTTAAGGAGGGTAGGCTGGGTGGGCGGGCAGCTTAAGGGAGAGAAAAGAAAGAATCCGGGGAAGAGAGAATCATTTGTAAGTGTCGAGAAGGGAGAGACAGTCTTGGAAAGAGTGGAATGGTGGAATGGGGGAGAGAGAGAGCACAAGACGGACGGGACACAGACACAGGCAGGGCCTTGGGTGATGGGTAACTCTGCAAGGAGCATGCATGCATGTGGCTTGGGGAGTAGCATCTGGAAAAAGAAGCATATTTGATCAAGAAACAGCCAAGAAATTACAAGTGGACATCTTTTTGCGAGCAGGAAGCAAAGGCCCTTTTGCTGCTCCGCTCCCCGTCTCCAGATGCGCATCCATCATGCCCACACACAGCACATCGGGATCCATGCCACCACTTATTCCTACAAGTAGTACATGTCACTCACTCACTACTCGTACTTGTACACGCCATGGGTCCCGGGCTGGAATAGGCATAACTACCTAGGTACCTAGGTAATATTCTGTGTGCCGTTGGTCCCGCTGGTGGGTGGGACCTCGAAACAACAGGGACAGACATTTCACAATCCGTTCTCCTCTCATCGCCTCTCCTCTTTTTGCTGTTTCAAGTTCATCTGATCTGCGTGCGTGTACCTGCTTATGCGTACGTGTGTTCGCTGTGTAGCTACCTACCTAGGTACTGTATCAATGTTCGGCATATGTGCTTTACGTACTTAAGCCCTGAACAGCCTGTCGTTCGCCCAAACTCAAAAACCGTCAAGGCTAACTATCGACCATCCATCACGAGCACCGGCGGCCGTGACATGACCTGATCCCTTTGTGCTTTAGCTCCGGCCCGGCAACAAGCCACGATGACTACCGCTTTCGCACCCAGATTGCGCCAGCAGAGGACGCTCTAACGGCGGCTGAGCTAGCAGGACCAGCCCAGTTCAGAAAGGCCAAACAACGGCGAGTCAATACAGCAACGCAAGATGGTGACGACATGCCAGAGGGTTCGTCCTCGGCACAAGCGCAGCAGCATTTTCAAACTTGATCTGGTTCTGCATTGGCGGCTCATCACGGTGCTAGACTGCTTTTTTGACTTGTTTCCTGGTGTTCCGGCGTCTCATAGAACAAACAGCTCTCGTCAACATGGCCATTCTGCTGCAATGCTGCCCAGGCTGAGAAGCACAAGTATAGCAGCTGCATCAGCCTGTACTTGCGCCTTGGACGCCCTGGAACAGAGCACTACAGGAAAACAGCGCCCAGGTCTGAAGCAAAACAACAGTCAATCCACGGATGCGGCAACCAATGCCAGGAGTGATTACGCGGCACAAAGGCTTGGCGTTGAGTTTTAAAGTGGGCAGTGTCCTCGCGATCAGCATCCCAATTCGGGGCTCGCTAATCGCTACCTAGGCCATATCCAAGAAGAAGCCCCACGCCGCCTCGGATGGACTTGGATGGGTGTGCCAGCCTTTTACTTGTAGTACCGCTCGGGGCAATTTCGATGTCGCGTGCTCCCTTTTCAGAGCAAGAGACTTGACCCCAATGCAAGTAGGCAATCGTAGCGACAAGCAGCACGATCACGTAAGATGTTTATTTCTACAGCAATGCTTGCCGTGAGGGACAGCCTGACAAGCACGCGACAGGCCCGCCTGATCAGGCATTTACTTGTATTTCATTTCTTGCCCACCCATGGATCAATCGCAGCTAACTCGACGGTGCAACGGAATGCCGAGACGGCTTTGGAGAAATGCGACACGCCGCTCCGCCGAGTAGCCAAGGCTGTGAGACTCGGCCAAGATTCTCAGCATCATCACCAAGCCCGCGCTGACCAGCCCGTCGAATGTCCTTTTTTAGAACGTCTCCCTTGTCAGTTCCTGTTCGACCGAGTTCTAGCAGTGCAATGTCATGCATGTCTGCATGTGCTGCACCAGAACAACACCGAGGCTCTCAGCTCCCGCGGCAGGCACCCAGATCCCCTCTGATGGTCCGACACCGTTGAAGTCGAATTAAAAATCTCTGGCATCAAAATTGACAACAGGCGGGCAGTCCGGAACTCGGCACCTGAGCCCCCTGCTAAACGTTTTCTGCCCAGCCAGCGCCCAGGGGGGCTGCGCGGGAGGATTGCGCCGCGGCGGGACTTTGCTTACAGGCCCCATCAGATGCGACCGAATCAGAATGGAACAACCCCCTGGCTCGGCGCGGTCACATTGCCCTCCTTCCAAGACTTTTCTAGAGTGCCCAGACGACCGCAAACCCCATTTGATGTGCTGAGGCCCGACTGGGACACTGCTAGGGGGGTTTTAATTACCCCCTAACAAGAGCCCTAAAGTTAACTCTGTTTAGCACCGGCGATCCGCCATCAATCGCTGGAGGACACTAACTAGCTGCCGCACCCTGCACAATGACGTAGCGGCGGGGCCTCCGATTTAGCCTCATGCTCGCATTCTCGTTCGTGAATAAGAACATTCTGGCGATATCTGATATCGAATCTATGCTTGCGAGAGTGTTTTCGAGGTTGGAGTGCACCACAAGAGTTCTCCTGAGAGGGAAAACACAATACGCGAGGTTTCGTATTCCAAGGGGTGCCACCAAAGGAGCAAGTCCCAGTGAGGTGAGTTCCTGTATGATCAGCTGTGCACTGCTCCCCATTCTGCGCCCGGGATTACGGTTCCGCTTTGCCAAGACTCAGCCAGCCCGCCCTTCTTGTCTCCCTTTCTGGCCCCAGCTGCAGAGCCCCCTTTTCAAGAAAACTTGTGGGTTGGGGGGGCTGCCAAGCCGAGGAAGCTGATGTCGGGTCGGAGAAGAATGAACAAGAAGTGCGTTCCGTCGGGATGCCGTATGGAGATCAACGCGATTGGTCTGGCGGTCGCCCATGGAGACTGTGCTTCTTACTCCGACAAATGGCTCCCACAAGTCGCTACAGACCGAAGGCATGTAACTCCGCGCGTGCGGCCCAGGATCGCCAGGGCAAGAAAGATCCTGAGCGCCTGGAGCACGCGACACGGCACGGCCGGTGGACGGGGCGAAAGGTTGTCTCGGCAAGTTTGAGTTTCCTTGAAACACTAGCCTAGCTGCGACTTTCGTTTCTGCAATCGTCTCTTAAGAGCTGCAGTTGCATGCCTCCATGATAACGTATTGTTCTGGTCAACTTTACCGCCAATGGACGGTCACCAGTCTACTGGTGACAAGGCCTGAAGGAACGAGGCCGTTTCGATGATCTCCATCTAGGTACAAGCTTTCAATCTCTCCACAACCCGATTCTCTCAGGCAACTTCCTGGTCCAGATGGAACTCGGACGCCAAGATCCGGACTTGGACAGGTGGATCTTGCTTGCTACCGTCGATGGAGACCCTGAATAGGCACCAGCATTCTGCTGGCTGTCGTTTGCCCTCAGTATATGCACATCGATTTAAACTACTCAAATATCCAGGCTATTTCCGGGCTGATATGCCAGTGTAGACTTGGCAAGTAGGATTGCTAGGATCAATGTTCCCTCTATTTTGCATGGTGTTTTGGTGTTGTGGTGTTATCGAGGTTGCCTAAATGCCAATGGACCAGGCAGAACTGGTTGCAAATGCTCTCAGCAGATAACGTCAGCAAATGGTTGCTTAACCTATTTGTCTTCTTCAGCAAAGTGATATGGCGGTGCCCAGTGGCAACCTAGACATAATCTAGGCTCTCGTCGACTTTCGCTCTTCCGAGTGAAATCACTATTCCCACGCGCCTTGGTCTGGACGTTGCCATCCTGTGAAAGTGTGTCAACTTGAGTCTCCCTTTTATTTTTGGATGGCTTTGCAATCCTTTACGCAATAATAACCTATCGTCCGCCGAGGCTGTTGTCAGGTCTGAGAGAGCACGATAGATCAATTGTCTTGGCCAAGGATGGAGAGATCAAGTGTATGCTTGCAAGAACGCTGGGTCACTTTGATCATCCGTTGAAACCTCGCATTATCATCAATCTGTATTTGCGTTATAACCACTCATAAACATTAAAATATCAGACGTAATTCGAATGACTGCATAGTCGTAAACACGTAACTTTCCCAGATCTCGCTCATAGCGTAAACACAGCTTACCCATTACTCCCCCAGCTTGCCAAGCAGCATATCCAGAATCTCGTCCAGATGGTTCAGAGCCACGCTGAGATGACCCTCGTCCTCATACCTGTGGTACTCGACGTTCTTGAGCACCTCGACCGCCTTGTCCGCCATCCCGATCGGGACATTGACGTCCTTGCCGCCGTGCCACAGCGCCAGCCTCCCGTCGACGGGCACGTCCTCCAGCGCAAAGTCCCACGGCCGCGCAAACAGGCCGCCCTCGCAGCCGACGCCGGCGCTGCCGTGCTTGACGCACTCGCGCGTGCTCCGGGCGAGCGCCTTGAACAGCTTCCCGCCGTTGCCAAAGATGGCCTCGCGGTCGACCTCGGGCCAGGACTTGAACCCGCCGGCGATCATCTCGTCGGAGCGCGCCTCGCCGTTCTTGAGGTCGGCCGCGGAGCTGATGCCCAGGCCGAGCAGCCAGCCGACGGTGCCGGGGATCCAGCGGTTGAGGTTGTGGTAGGCGCGCAGGTGGGTCGCCATGCCGGCCGTGCCGAACGCCAGGGGCCACATGCCCGACACGACGGCGACGGCGCGCAGGCGGTCGGCGGGCAGGGCGCGCAGGCAGGCCAGCGCGTAAGGGCCGCCGCCCGAGATGCCCAGGACGGCGAACTGCTGCACGCCGAGGTGGTCGGCCAGGTGGAGCACGTCGGATGCGAAAGAGGAGAGCGTGCGGTCGGGCTGGGCGGTGGAGTCGCCGAAGCCGGGCCGCGTCACGCCGACCAGGACCGCGCCGCACTTGGATGCGGCGTCGTGCACGGGGGCGCCTTCGCTGTGGGTGCCGGGGGAGCCGTGGAAGTAGAACAGGACCGGCTTTCCCGGGGTGAGCTCGGCGCCGTAGGTGGTGTAGCCGAGCTTGCGCCCGTCTGGGAGCTCGAAGGTTGGATCTTCCGCCATTGGGTCCCTAGTAGGACGCGACGCCAACACAGCTTCTGCGCTTCTTTGGGTCTTTGAACAGAAATAGCGATCTCAATTGAGATGGCACGGTAGCCCAAGAATGATGGTTCTGTCTCGGGAGATAGTCGTTGAGTGCATGATATTATGGTCAGATGCGGGGCTGGCGGACGGTTGCCTGTTCAATTGCATGGCAGCAAGCAGAAACGTGACAAGGATGCTCAATTGGCTAGGGAAGAATGGGCAGCACCATTCTGACAAACAAAGCAAGATGCAGTCACAGGTGTTTTCTGCTGATGGCAGCAGTTCTGGTGAATTGTAATTCGTGACAGTCTGGATGGAGATTCACTACACCGTACATACCTACCAACATTGCCTATCTGGGCATATATATAGTTACACAGAGCGAACAGAAAGAAAAAAAGTCGACACCTGGCGCATCAGGCATCCACACAGCTACCCCTGTCCGTCCCAGCCTCCACACTTTTGAGCTCCTGCAAATCGTCCAACCTCCGACCTCAGTCCAAAGTCCAGCAGCTTCCATTCATCCCACCAGACTCACCATTGTCGGTCCTTGTCACGCAGTCCAAATTCCAGTTCCATTCCTTTGGGATCTCTCAGACCAATTACGCTCGTTCTAATCCTGCGCCAAACTCTGATTCATCCGCCAATTGGTCGACATTTCATCACTCTCTCAGATTTCCCTCGCCGACCAGCACAAACCCAATCACCCGCCAGACACCAAATTTACCTCCGATAAGATGGCTGATAGTGTTCACGACGAGGAGGTCCTTGCCGACGCGCCTGCCAACCCCACCCCGGAGGTGGAGATGGCCGGAGACGGCGAGGGAGAGGAGGAGCCCTCTGGTCGCGCCGCTCTGCCATTCGCCGAAGCCGAGGTTGAGGAGGGCGAGACTCCCCGCCCGAGCTTCACCAGCTTCCTGACCAGCCCCATCGTCACCCTGCTGGTTGGAAACAGCGGCCAGGAGACCGTTATCACCGCTCATCAAGCCCTGTTGACTCAGAGCCCTTACTTCCGCGAGGCATGCGCCGAGTTCACCGACGACGGCAGCGTATGTCCCCCACCCTTCAGGCTTGCGCCAGCATCATGCTTTTGCGATCTAAGCTCACAATCCTCTACAGCCGCGGCAGATTGACCTGGCGGACCACGACATCGACGCCATGGGCTGCTTCCTCGAGTTCCTCTACACCGGCGACTACTTCCCCAAGAAGATCCCCGGCCAGCGCCAGCTCGAGACCGACCCCTCCCTCCCCAAAGTCGACGAGACCGGCGACCAGCTCCTCAAGCATGCCCGCGTGTACACCCTGGCAGAGAAGTTCCAAATGCCGCAGTTAAAGCAGCTGTCCTCTTCCAAGATTCACTGTGTCAACTCGACGGCAAAGGGCGAGATTGCTTATGCCCGCTATGTCTACGCCCACACCCCCAAGGAGGACAACTCGATCCGCGCCCCTGTGGCCAAGTTCTGGGCCATGCGCAGCCACACCCTGCGCGCCGAGGCCGAGGAGGAGTTCCGAGCTCTGTGCCTGGAGCACCCCCAGTTCGGTTACGACGTTCTCAGTAAGTGCCGCACTCTCTCACGATCTGCTCCCGCATCGCAAGCTAACCGCGGACTCCAGCCCTCGTTCTGGACGAGAAGCTCAAGCGCGAGCGCAACGACAAGCTGGCCCCGGCCGTGGGCAGCGCCCGCAAGCGGGCACGCCACAGCAGCAACGCCTGAGCGGCCATTTCTTCTTGTACATCATTTCTGTTTTGACTTGGATGGGTTTCATTGGGGACATTGGCGCAAAACTCGGGGAGATGGATCCCTTGTGTAGCTCTGCGACGAGTGCTGTATATTACTACCTAGGCAAGGGGGCTAATTGTAAATATGTCCGGAAGAATACGGGTTTGCCAGAGACGGGCTCACTGGGCAGTCCAAGTGATGTCTGTCCAAGACGGATGTGATTGCTGAGAACGGGGATTGCAGAATGGTAATTATCCAGATGCCTGACGGCCATGCTGTGAGGTGTGTCGCCAGAGGGCTGTCTTGTCGGTTCTCCGTGAGGAGGTGCGAGTTCGGCGCATGGAGGCAGAACAGGCTCTCAATATCCGGGAAGAGTCCGAGAAACAACTGGGCAACACTCTTCGCCCGTTCCCGCCAGATCCTGTTGTTGATCTCCAGTTCGTAATCGGAGAGACCACGCGACTAGCTCGCCGTGGAGAAGCGGCCACCCCTATCAACCTAGCTGCAGCCGCAGCGGAGGACTTCCAAGCCTGGTGTGCTCGTCTCTTGTTGTTTCACTGTACCGGGTGCTACACCTTCCTTCGCACGGAGCATGGAGATGGGCTTCTGAGGCATGTTGCTTGACGGCTGGGCCTCCCCACTCCGGTTCGGATACAACATTCGCAAGCCCAGGTCCAACAGCCGTCGATTCCCCGCAGCAGAACTCATATCAGGAAGGCAAGGCCATCATGGCCATCTGGAACGGTGTCATGGAGACGTATCCGGACCACGACATTGCGCTTCACGTTCTGCTCGACGACCCAGAGACAGAGGATGCAGGCGTCTTTTATGCACGAGGCTTCGTGAGTGACGGCACCTTGGAGCACCTAAGGGACCTCCGCTTCGAGAATTCGGAATGATGTGGGCATAGTATTGCTCGGCCGAAAAGAAGCAAGAGGCCTACAGAACGTGCAATCGCTGACAAACACGGAAGAACCCCGGTTTCACGAACTCGTGGAGTCGTTTGGGCGCCAGCTCCTCCAGCTCAAGCCTTCCTACTAGCTGCAGAGCACATGAGTGCTCTATCTATGTGCGAAAGCCAACGGAGTATGAACGATGGAAATGGTTGACGGTTGCAAGGGGCAAGATCGCTGTACTGCGTTGTTATACAGGGGATGCATTTGTCAAGGAGACGGATACTTGCTTAAGGACTAGCTTCATGTTTGCGTCAACTGTTGATATCTATTAGAATCAGATTGTTTTCAACTTGAAAATTATGGTCACATGGGGAATAAAATAAATGTGCCACGACCGGACGAGCAATGATTGCTGGTGACGCCCATAAGTGACCGAGTGACTCCCTTCTTCAGACTGCTATTGCCTTAATCTCAGCTTTCACCTGCTTTGGCACCAAGACTGTCATTCCCTCTGACTGGGCGCCAGGCAGACCACCTCATCGCCATCATTTTGACCACCCTCCCTTCAACGTATTCCATTCCTGCCCAGATTGGAAGAGGTCATCGTCTTCCTTTTCTACAACACACACATACCCGCTTTGCCTTACAGGACCTCCAGATCGACTCAGAGTGGCATCGCTCAACAGACATGGCACCACCACGAGCTAGCGGTGGCAGCATGTTGGCTCCTTCACATCGTGATGGGCGGTCTTCATCCCAGTCTGCCCACAACTCTGGCAACATCGCGGATGACTCTGAGGAAGAGCAACCATACGATGGCACACTAGACTCGATCAAGACACAGAAGACATCTGTCCGCCTACCCTTACGCGCTGATTACGGTCAGTGGAGCACTATCCAAGCCTTTCGGGAGCTGATCCAAAACCAGTATGTATATTTCATCGTTCCCGTCTCCTGAAAACCATGTGCAATGTACTCATCAGAACAACCATTTGCCTAGGCGCGACGCCATCATTGCCAGCTTTAATATTTCTGAGACCGACTTTCATGTCCAACACGAAGGAAACCTATTCAAGATTCCGGTGCCCGGTCCTGATCCAACGGAATTGGCTGGATACATTAGTCACAGTGGCCCTGCTGACTCTGGACTTATCGAGATTGTCAACCACCGAGCAACTCTACAGCCTAAGAACTTCGACTTTGGTTTGAGTGGGAAGAGAGGCAATCTAGAGCAAGCAGGTATATACAGTGAGGGTCTCAAGATTGCCATCCTCACCCTTCTCCGGCTTCCTTAAAATCATCATATTAAGTACTATAGCAGTAGATGGTCCTGGACTCTCAACTTTAGTAAGGACAATCTGCTTCTGATAAGCCTTTATAAGTTGACCTAAAAGGGTGAAGCTGGCTTTTATATGAATGTAGAGAAGCGACTTATAAAACACAAGATTCCCTTTCTTCTAGACCTGAACAAGGATGTTATCTTTATTATTGGAGATAAGGCCACATATTAGAGGGATAAGAATGGCAAGGATGTGACCAGCATTGGAGTTAGTGTGGCTGAGTTCCAGGAGTAGCGCGGCTGGCTGAGACAAGTCGTGGCTAGAGAAATCCGCCTCAGCATAAGGTACAAGTGAAGTTGCTTCGGCGGAACCGCTGTTTGGCGTGTAAGGCTTGAGAAAGTCAGCTTGATAGACAGATTGCGTTGGACGTGTGACATGCTTACGGGAGAAGCTTGGCGGCCCTGTACTGGATTCATTCCCGCGTCTGAGCCTTTGGAGTCCTCCGAATCATCGAAGTAGAACTCTCTGCCGTAGTCTTCGAGGTGGTACTAAAAAAGGGAAATTCACCCAGTCAGCAAGGGAACCTCACTGGTAAGTCTTACGCCAAATCCCTGAAAGTGTCTATCTAGCCGTCACCGGCGTTTCCTGTGTCCCTGAATTGCAGTGCCCCGTTAGGTAATGCGCGACCAAGGATCCTCCACGAGATCCTGTGCAAGGTTGCTTTGGTTCCATGGCCAAGGCCATAGTATTTCGTTCCAACATCAAGTGAACCCTGCAACATCGCCAATCCACCCCAGAACGACGAGCGAACAACTGCCGAAAGTCGGCTTGCAGCTCTGGACACAGGAACATAGAGTGCCCCTCCCACAACTCGAGCCCCGATGAACGTGGCTGAAGGTCGAGGTCGCCGCCTTGCCGAGATCCAAGGATCATCGGGTCGACTGTTCGTGGCAACCAACGGTTTTACATGAGAGGGCGGTGATGGTGGCTAGATGGACGGGGAAGTGACATGCTGGGAATAGACTTACTCCGGATATTGGTGATCGCTGCCTGACTAAGTGAGGCTCTTGATGTGAAAATGGCGTTAGCTTGACTGTGTGTGAGAAAGAAAGAGATAGGCAGTAGAAATGTTTGCAGAGGGAAGAGGGAGACAGGACTTACTCTTGTGATTGAGGGAAATAGTGGGATGAGAAAGAGGAGCCAGAGTCTAGGCGAGAAATAGAGAGTGAAAGAGGCAACTAGATGGGATCTCTATAGTTGATAGAGGGAGATAATAGGAGGTGGAGGTAAACAAGGAGAAGATTTGAGAGAGAAGAGAAGTGAAGAAGAAGAGAAGAGCCCCTTAAAGTTCTGAGAAGGTGTTGGAATAGAGAGATGAGAAAAGGAGAAGTGGATGACAGAAGGGAGAAGGAGACTTAAGAGAGAATTAAAGAAGAAGTAAAGATCTATTTAAAGCCTTAAGGTGCTGGAATATATAAATAAGGATAGGGGAGGAGAAGAGGATGGGGGAGGAGAAGAGGATGGGAAGTGAAGGAGGGGAGGGGCGCTTAAATAGAAACTGGCTTGACGGGTTTCTGCGAGCCATTTGCGTACCTTTAGGCAGTGAATCACTACGAAGCGAAAAGTCTCAGGAAGAAGGCTGTCGAGGGCGTCGGGAGAGGGTCGGGAGAAGGTCGGCATAACTTAGCCTCTCGTGATAAGATGCGAGTGACGATGCGCTCGAGCACGTGTTCGAAATTGGCAGAGAAGTCTCCAACACTTTGACCTTGAAACCCAATAGCTAAACCAATTGAGTCTGCCAGCGGCCAACCCTTCTCTTGTCACATGGATTTTCGACATCACAAAGTTGACTGTCCAGCTCACGACACGACAAGAACAACCCGCAAGATGGATTTCTCCAGGGTTAGTATCCCCTTCCACCCTCACGTTGCAAGTCATGTCACCACCCTCACTTTCTCCAGAGGCTGATCCCTGTGGCAGGATGTTAAACATATCAAGAATCGAGTTTTCTACGACGGAGATCTTTGCAACCACTGCAAGAAGGCTCGCCGCCTGGACCTTTTCTTCATCGCCAACATCGCCGTCGTCCAACTCATTTTTATGTGATACTTCACTCGGAAGTAGCTTCGGGCACGGATATGGCTGGGCCTTTCCACTACCTGGCAAAGACTCATGGCCGGTCAGCATTTGTCTACTGGCGATGCATTCGAGGAACTGGGAGAATAGGGCATTTCTACGACAGCCTTGGGACGGGCTTTGACACTTGCAAGAGAGGTCGAGGGTTTCGAATTGACCAGAATGGCAACTGCTTTCGCACAAGTCTTCTCCTTTCCTCTCGCCCAAAGGCCATGTGTGTGACTGTTGAACATTTGATACATTGATACAGACTTCCCTGTCTACACCGACCCAGTGCAATGTTATCATCAGGGATGAGAAGACTTGAAGGCACATCAGCAAACCACAACCAATACCTCCGCCACTACTACAGATAGATCATCCGCCGACGCGACAGCATCCTCTCAAATAGCAAAGACGTAAAGGCGGTTGAAGTTTGAAACCATTCACTGGAACACTGGCAGCCAATCATAACCCAGGTCGCCAGTAGTCTCGACCGCCGTGGACCAGTCGGCAGTAAGCTCGGCGTTGAGGTCGAAATTGGCAAAGGCATCGGACCCAAAGGGCATGGCTCCAAACTCGACGGCCGGGAATGCCGTGGTCGGCAGACCGGCCACCTCGGCCACGGGTGCCGGCGACGGCGGGTCCGTGTCCTGGTCAGCAGGAGCATGCAAGACCTTGATCCTCAGCCGCCCGAAGAACGGTATCGTGACGTCGCACTCGGTGGCCTCTATGTCCTGGTACGGCTGCGACATGTCTTCGCGGATCAGCGCGACGAGTTTGCCCAGCACGTCTGCCGCTTGGCCAGCGACGGTGCATTCCTTCAAGGTGGACGCGTGGCGCAGGGCCTCGACGAGCTCGACGAGCAGGCTCCGGTGGGGGAGAAGCAGGTAAAATGTGTCGATCTCGTTGACTGCGGCGCGCAGAATCCGAATCGCCATGACCACGCCTGCCGAGAAGGCTTCAAAGTCCATCAGACCGCAGGGTGCTAACTCCGGTCCCGCTCCTCTATGGAGGTCGAGATAAGAAATGATGACTTCGCGTGATGCAACAAGGCATCCGGTCCGGCTCAGAGGGTAGTCGTGTACCTCGGGAGGAACTAGGAAGAATGGCAGGTGGATGTCTTTGCCCAGCATAAAGAACTGGATCTTCACCGTCTGCCGGAGGTACAGCTCCTCGAATGTCAGACCAGAGGGTGGCGGCGAGCTCCAAAATTCGTCAGGCATGATGCTCTTGCTGCTTTCCCACCTGTGGCCGAACTCCATGGTCCGCAAAATCGATGACTTGTCCTCGTTCATGGCCTGGTTTCTGTCCGCGATACCGCCGAAGATGATGGTCATCTCGTGCATGAGGCGCTGCAGAGGAACCGAGTTGTCCGGTTCTGGTATGAGGGACTTGTTTAGGCTCGAGATGGAAGATGGAAGGCCCAGCACCACACAGAGCTGGCGTTCCGAGTGCAGTAGTATCCTCCATAAATTCAATCCGCGGTTGTTCTCCGGCATAGTTCGGTGCAGGCCGAGTAAGAGGGACGAATTGATTGCTTGTCGAACAGCCTGCCACGCCTGTCTTGGCCGGCCTAGATCAATGCACAGTTTAGCTTCTAATGCAAGTGTTTCGATCTGGTCAAGGGTCTCGCCAGACTGTATGCGAACCGCGAGGAGATGCCTTGACAGGGACAGGAGGGTGTCGATTAATGCATCTGGCTGCGCAAGTTCTGAGAATTGCTGCACCCACGCGCGCGGTAACTCAAAGATGCAGAGCGCTATCCACACATGGACCTTGGCGTGCATAGCCGTATCAGTGGAGCCGATGGCTGTCGAGATGAAGTCAGACATCTCGAGAACGGTCATGTTGCGCAGTGGGCGGCTTCCAAAGAAGCAGGGAGGCCAGATGCCCCAACACCTTTTCGTCTTGTCCAGTATTTGCTCCAGGGTTTGCTTCGATAGGTGATCGAAGATATTTCTCCTCCTGTCGAAGGTCTCAATCCCTACTTGAGTATGCGTATTGCTAGGTGTGGGGATGGGCGTGATAGAGGACTCTGGATCCTTCTGCATCAAGGACAGTGCTTCCTTGAACAATCTGAACAATGGAGAGTTGTTGAGTACATCGAGGCGAGCCGCATCTCCCGAGCCTTCGGAGGCGCCTGGACTGCTTGTTGGTTCAGTACGTGCCCAGCCATTGCTCGGCTGGGTTGAAGGCGTGTCAAGGCTGGGTCCTTGGAACTGGTGTTGAAAAGCGGATGATTGAGCATCGCCCTGACCTTGACTCGACGGCGTGGAGACCGAGAGGTGATTGGCACTCATCAAGTTCTGCTGATTGGCACTCATCAAGTTCTGCTGCTGTCGGAGAAGTGCTTCGATCTCGTCAAGCCGTCTTTCCAATGCGGTACCATGCTCCAGGTCGCGCCTCTGGCTCCCTGGAGGCTGCTGGGGCCTGCACTCGACGCCATGGAGAGCACAGCCTTCGCACATCGACGCTTTATCGGGGAAGACGCATCGCACCTTGCGGCGGCGGCACTCTGCGCAGCTGCGGGTGCCGAGGCGCATTCGCTTGGGCGGCGCCTTGTTTGCGCGACCCGCGCTAGCAGACATGACAGGTGCTGTGACAGGGGCCAGGCAGTTTCCCCGGTCTCCCGATAGCTCGTCACTCCTCAATCATTACTTTGGGCAGCTGGAAAGGGAGTCAAGAAGGAGATTGGTAATGGTTCGGAACAGATGCATGGTCCTCGACGGCCGGTGTTATCGGACGACCCGGGCATGGAGCCGGGTTGTCGTTGGCCATGACATAATCTCGCACCAACTCGGACCAAAATCCCGCACTAACTCGCACCAGACCGCACCAACCACTGAAACACCAGCACCATTCACGCCGTGATGGATACTCGGAGCCACTTATTCGACCCAAAAGAGCAGTTCGACGGATCCCGTTGTTGTCACCTCGGACGAATTCATGATGCTGGCAAGAAGAACTCAGAGGACTTTTCGTCTATATAATGGAGGATCCGGGCTGTCGAGTGACCGATAGTTGACTAGGTGTAGGAACAAACACAAATCATCAACACTAGCATTCACTCGACGACCAACAAAGAACCTCACTCTTCACTTCACTCTACGACATCGACCTTCTTCCGAAAATGAGCCTCGCTACCGAGTTACAGCAAGTCCTTGCAGGCTTTCAGCAGAATGCGCCTGAGCCCGTCAAGGCCATGATCACGGCTGCCAAAGCCCAAATTGAGGCGGACTTCAATCGCGAAGCTGCCATCCACGAAGGGGACAAGCTCCCAGGGTTTACACTTCCCAACGCTCTGAGTGAGGAGGTGTCCAGCAGCGACCTTTTGAAGAAAGGCCCTCTCCTGTTCGTGTCTCTGCCAAGTTGATCAAAAGTTGTCGCTCCGACTGACCGAGGCCCCAAGGATCACGTTCTACCGCGGGACGTGGTGCCCCTTCTGCAACCTGGCGCTCGTCCATCTCCAGAAACACCTCACAGAGTTCGAGGCCAAGGGAGTCACCCTGGTGGCCATCTCCCCGGAGCTGCCAGACACGTCGCTCTCCGAGTCAGAGAAGCGCGGCTTGAAGTTCCCCGTGCTTTCGGACGCCGGCAACGCGTATGCTCGCAAGCTCGGCATTGTCTGGAAGCAGCCCGACTCTCTTCGACCGGTCTTTGACTCTTTCGGGCATAACCTCCCCAAGCGCAATGGCGACGATTCCTTGGAGGTGCCCATCCCTACTACACTTCTGGTCGATGGCAAGGGTGTCGTCAGAAATGCCTTCATCGAGGCCGACTACACCAAGAGGCTGGAGCCGGCTGTTGCTCTGGAGTGGGTCAACAAGCTGGATTGAATTACAAGTAGAGTAGGGCGCTTGTTAGCATGAATGAGAATTGCATAGCATGTTCGGCCTGTTGGACAGATGGCGCCCATTTGTAGGCTTGGCGAAGGTTGCATCCCTCATGCGACAAAGTTGATTGGGGAAGCTGAACCGACATGATGCGAAGAGCTAATTCCAGCCCAGTGGAACAAGTGCGAATTTAGCACGTGTAGAGAGAATAATTAGCTGTCGGTAGCTGGCTTGGCGAATGCGCAGACCGGCAGATTTAATTATGTTAACGGACATTTCGGTCTCTGATTACCCTTTTGGGATAGATCGTCCTGGGGTCGAGGCCGAGTTCCGGAAGTTCAAGCACCCCCTAGCATGGACGCCGTCCTCCACAACTCCACACTTTATGACTCCCCGAGGGGTCGCCTCGACCCGGCCGACCTCACCGATACCCTTGTGGGAATCTGGGGTTTCGGGGAGCTGCAAGCGCCACGATCAAATTCTCCAGAAGAGTCTTGAACAGCGGCAAGGCGTCTCTGTCACCCCGCGATTCCAACATAAATTGAGCTGCCAGCCTCATATCATCGGCTTGCTCGTCAGCTTTCCTTCCGGCCTTCACCTCACCATTGCATCGCTCGCCTCGAACCTCTTGCAACATGGCAGCCTCGAAGCTCGGCAGACTGGGCTCCAGCGGGAGTCACAACATTCTCAAGACAACTGTGGCCAAGGTACGGAGAACACGAGAAAGCAGCATCATCGGGACTCAACTAACTGCATGTCAAGGCATGGTATGCCCTCATCGTCTTTAACTTTGGCGCCGTCTTGTTCGGTTACGATGTGGCGATCTTCGGCTCCCTTCAAGTGACCAAGTCCTGGCTCGGCACCTTTGGCAGTCCCAATAAGCAAGGCGTCTACTCGATCACGGCAACTCAACAGTCGCTCCTGAACTCGATTCCCTGGCTAGGAAAACTGTTTGGCATCTTCCTCTCCGAGCCTCTGAACGAACGCTACGGATACAAAACGTCGATGGTTGTGGCTTGCGCGCTCCAGTCCACTGGAGTCGTTGTCCAAAGTAAGATCATCCCTAGGACCATCTCGGGAGAGTATCACAAGCTGACGTGTGCCATATAGTGGCCGGGAGGCACTGGGGTATCTTTTGCGCTGGCCGAACTATTGTCTACAGCGCCATAGGCTGTATGTATTATCCCTAAGATTCTGTGGCTTCCCAATTGTCCTTTGCTAATGACATCCACCGACAAGACATGGAGAATATCGTGCCCCTCTACGTGGGCGAGATTGTCTATCCTCAGTCAAGAGGATTCTTCATCGCTTGCTACTCGCTCATCATGTCGGCGGCGCAGATCTGGGCCAATGGCTCCATCCAGGGCATATCGCATTATACGACCGAGGTCGGCTGGCTGATCGTGTGCGGAATGCAGCTGATTCCCGTCGTCTTCATTCTTTCTGGGGTATGACTGAAACGCTGTTCTTTCTGCCTTGTGCCTTGTGTGCTAATGTTCTGGTCTTTTTCAGATCCGATGGTGCCCCAGCTCCCCGAGGTGGCTCCTCCAGAAAGGTCGCCATGACGAGGCTTTGCAGGCCCTTGCTAGTCTTCGCACCGAGGAAGACAACCAGTCCGGATGGGTCGACATGGAAATCCGCAGCGTTCAGGAGGCGATTGAGGCAGAGAAGATGACGGTCAACAACAGCTGGCTCGATCTATTCAAAGGGACCAACTTCCGTCGTACCCGGGTAACGCGACTTGTCTCTTTCAATTGTGCTAAAGCTAATTTCTCCGAAACACCAGATCGCCGCGTTGTCGTTCATCGCCAATCAGTGGACTGGCAATCAGTTCGTTGGGTCATACGCTCCGACACTATACGTGCTGCTTGGCCTACAGTCACAAGCCTTCCTCTACACTCTAATCAAATCTGTGGTCTCGCTCGTCGCCGTCTTCTGCGTCATGCTGCTGGTCGATAAGATGGGACGGCGGTTCTGCATCATCTCGGGCTGCTTTATGCAGTGTGTCTTTCTGTATCTCCTGGCTGGGATGGGAATGGCCGCGAATCCCAGCAAGGCAGAGCTCAACACCATGGTTGCGGCAATCCAGCTCTTCACCTTCTTCTGCCGCTTCTCTGTCAACGCGCTGGCCTTCCTGATCCCAACGGAGGTGTCCTCTTTGACACTCCGAAAGAAGAGTAAGTCCAACTTCTGCCACATGTATATAACTCGTGTTTCAGTGTGCTAAAACACCATTCTCTAGCTATGGCTTTGGGCTGTGTGGTGGACGTTATTGCTGCTTTCGTCGTCACATTCGTCATACCTTATCTGATTGGCAAGCAATACGCCAACCTCTCCTCGAAGGTCGGTTTCATCTTCGGAGGTTTCACGACGCTATACATGATCTGGGCCATCTTCTGCCTTCCTGAGCTGAAGGACCGCTCGCTCGAAGAGGTTGACGAGCTTTTCAACAGCAAGATTTGGGCCTGGCAGTTCTCCAAATACAAGACCAAGAGCTTGGCCGGTATGGTAGCGCATCATCAAGCCGGTGATGTACTAGGGAAGGCTCAGCAGGAAGAGGTTGAGGCGACTCAGACCCAGGAAATCAAGAGTGGACAGTAAGGTATTATCGATGGTGTTCTCAGGATACCAAAATGGCCATTGACAGTAGTGTTTCATTCATGTCTCTTTCTCTCCCGGAGATAATTAGGCAGGGATCTATGACATTATCCTGAATACCATCCGCATCTTGTGAAATCTGGCACAAGTTCCCGTGTTTCTTCACTAGACAAACCCCTAGTCCCACTCCGGACAGACCAGTCTCGGCTTGCCACCTGAAGAGGAGAGGTAATGCCTTGGGCGCTCCCCCTCTTGCTTAGGCGACTCGCCAAAGACCTTTCTGGCAAAATGAGGACGCGCCTCAATTTTCGCCTTGGTGTCTTTGTCGAGAACCAGCAAGTCTCCGTATTTGGAGAACAGGTACAGAAAGTAATTCTGCATCCTATGTGCAGGACGGTCCTCGCGGAAGACAATGTCAATGGCCCTGAAGAGGCTGTCCCGGTACCATGTCGGGAGCTTCAAGCTCCCGATAAACTCCCGCATGATGGGGTGATTTGAGGACACCGCCTCCCAGAACTCCGGTATTATGTACATGGGTAAGTGCCGGCCCAGCTTCTCCGCGGCGTAGCTGACGAGAGTTCCCACAGCAAAGTAATCTGCGATGTCGTGCAGGAGGACGATGCTGTGGGGCACCCGGATGCCGATCAAGTTGAAGAGGGTCTCGGCTAGACAGAGAACGTGTTAGCAGATCAATATTGGACTCAACAGGGGTGGAATTCAAATTCAAGACGTACCTTCAGTGCCATAGAGATACTTTACGACCCAGTCAAACTGCACCGGGTCAACTTCGTGGAGGGTTATCTTGCGCTTTCGTGACTCCTGAAGTCAAATTGTTAGCTGTGAGAAATGTGTAAAAGGTAGTACTGTGCTTGAAGATGGACTAGACTCACAGCGAAATCACCCTCGAAAGCGGCCTTGAACCACCGGGATCCGGCTTTCAGCACATCTTTGTGCAGGTACCACTTTCGACCTCCGCACTTGATGATGATATCATAGCCGATGCCTGTGTCAAGCATGCTAAAGCCAGATTAACCTTGGTGAAATGCACCCAAGGAAGCTATGAGGACTTACGCTGTCAGGACCTCCTGTCGTGGCCAGCCTCCCATCTGATCGGGATGGTAGTAGAATGGGTGCTGACCGGTCAGGTCGGCAGGTAGTGAGTTCATGATCCTAGCCCGCTGAAGTTGTGTGCTTGTATAGGTGTGTTGCAGAATCAGGAGTTAGCTGGTTTCTGTTGAAATCGGCTGACTGTCGGAGAGTTGAGTTTAGTTTGTGGTAGCAGAAACACGTCAAGGCCTGGCATGAGATTAGATTTCATATGATGGGATCTCATTTTAGTTAAGCCAACATGGCAAGTGAATAGGTCTTGCTTGCAGGAGCCGATGAATAGCCGTATTATGGTGGAGTCTGTCGGGGGTCTTCCTGTCTTCAAGTGAATGTGATTATCATTTAGAAGCAAGTGATTATGGGTGCCACAGTTGAAGAGTCTCAAAGACAGACGCACAGCCCGTACTGAGACATTTTCCCTGCACTGGCCAGACTGGCACTCGCATGTGAAGGTCAGAACCGCATTAAGAATGTGTTTTTGATGCTGCAGTCACACCTCCCCATATAGGTTAATCTTCAGAGTTTATCAACTGGCCACAGGCGGTTCACTCACAAGCTATGATGTCTCTTGCATATCATGCAAGATGATGATTTGGTATTTGACGAGCATAAGTAAGCATAGTTAGGAAAGTAATTGATAGCATTTGTGATATATAATATAAAAAAAAACTAACAAAGTCTGTGTTTTGTTAGGTACGCTGGGAAGAGCAGGGTGTTGAGTTCCAGTGCTATCCATCTTGAGCCGAGGTCTATGCCAGACGCAATATAAATAAAATAGGTCATGGAGGAACTTTGTGTCTGCAGACTGGATGGTAAAAGCAAAGCTAGACGCCTGTAGTAATAGAGGCATTCCCATGAAAACATGTCAACTCGCAGACCCAATTAAGATTACCTAGATCCCTCTGCAGTCCAGACAATAGCCAGGAACAGCCTCACCTAGCCCAAATCGTTCTAGGCATGAAATCATTCCTACGATATCAGCAACATCAAAGTGAGCACGCTCTGGATGTTTAATCTTGCTGGCGGCTAAATGACCACAGAGTTGGTGGATCAGAGAAGCCCTGCACATCGGGCAAACGGCTTGCTCGTCGACAAGGTCTTGCATCCAGAAATCCATGCAGTCCACACCCACGAAGTGACCGCAGTGCAGGACGAACGCATCTTCCAAGTCTGGAGTCGTGCCTGCGACTCTCGAAGTACCGTACACCTTGAGTCCCTTGCTGCAGATCGGGCAGTTGACAACAAAGCTGCAGCCCTCCTTCCGGGCATCGAGGTACTCCCACCAGTAGTGGATCTCATCTGGCTCCTCGTCGTCCGCATCCGGAGTTTCTGAGTCTGCTTCTTGGGCAGTTTGGTTGTTCTGCGCAGAGACACTGGGTTCCGTTTCCACTCGGGCAGGCTCTGGAGGCGTCGATTGTAAACCGTCAGTGCCTTGGTTACCAACACCGCCAGCTTCGGTGGCTGGAGCACTCGTTGGAGGACGTGCATACGGCCAGTGTAGTGTGAAATCTAATGGAGAAATATCCAATCGTACGGGTAACGCGGCGGGATGTTCGGTAGCCATTTGAGGAGCGTGATTAGTACGGATTTCGGAGGTCGGAAACGCTCCCGGAATGGGTCCCCAAGGAGGTTGTATCTGGGAAAAGGACGACACTGTCGGAGAGGCCGAGAGCATGCCTGTACGGATTTCGGAGGTCGGAAACGCTCCCGGAATGGGCCCCCAAGGAGGTTGTATCTGGGAAAAGGACGACACTGTCGGAGAGGCCGAGAGTATGCCTGGATGTACCTCCAGCGAAGGCTGGAAGATGAGTGATAACCGGGTACCAGCTGAAGGTTGTAAATATAGGGTGCTCGATAAGGCGCTTTGTGGAACGGGAGTCGGTGTGAAAGCAGGCTGCGGAAGTTCTGCTGACTCCGCGTCACGCTGGGCGGTATGACACATGCAATTCGGGTTGGAGGGACACATGGTATAGAGAGACCAAGTGTTTGGCCTGGTGACATCTCTTGATTAAAAGAAGGAATACGTTGGCATGCATAACCGAATGAACCTCAGATACCCATTTTATAGGTCGTGATGTGATGAAAGGTCAACAAAGACCATTGTATGCGGACTCAGGACCTTGCAACAAAAAGCACATGCTTTGTTGGTCGTGATCATTTGGCAAAGAGCGTCCAAAGGGAACAAGATGCTTGTTTGGAACAAAGTGCTTGTTTGATGGCTCATACTGTTTACTGACTGCAAGTGAAGTGATGACGTTGGCCGATTGAACGAGAAAACTCTCTTGATAATCAGCACAGTGACTGGTGACTGCAAATTACCTGACTCACTTTGGGCACAATGTTGTAAACAGGTCACACTTGTGATTACCGCCCAGTGGCAATTGCCAACAATCAACACAATTCGCTTGGTTCCAAGTCAGTCATGCCTTCTTCCAATGCAGAATTTCAACATTCTTTATCGGGTAAGTCGGATCTGTTGCGCAACACAAGGACTTTGAACACAAAGGCTACCTATTTAATTATTGAATTCGAAGGGGATCATCATGTTTATATATCGGTCTATGATTGTCATGACAAAGGACTTAATCACAAGGACTGTCAAAAACCAATTTAGGTGATTCATGTATTCATCTTTCGATCAGCAATCTATTCCCTAAACAATCTGATGCCCACGCACTCTATTCCCCACGCGAATTGTTTTCTAAGCAATCTGTCCGACAAGCTAACTGTTTCCTTGGAAGTGTGCGGCTGTTGCGCGGTTTATACTTGATGCACAATGCATGTGACAAAGGCAAAATCTTGATGTGATAGTCCACTTTGCGCGTTGAGATATCAGCACCCTTCTAGTGCCTGCCATCGAGAGAGGAGACGGTCAGCATCCCGTTTAGTATCAGGGGCGAAGATGCCGGCAAACTGACGATTCTGCGAGGCTCTGCAGACTGGACAGATGGTCTTCCGCCCCGGCGTCTTTTCGTCCCATTTCAGCTTACAATCAATTCCCACGAAATGTCCACATTGAAGGACGAAGGCGCGTTCGCGCTTCTTTTGGGCCCAACGGCCTGTGCCAAAAGTGCCCCAGATCTCGAGAGGCTCGGTGCAGATGACACAGTCTGTCACAGGCTTCTTCTTGCCTTGCGGCGACAACAGATACGCTTTGACGTCAGGCCAGTAGTTTGTATGCTCTCCCGGCTGGTCTTCCCGAGAATCACTGGCGGCTGAGGTTCCGAAAGCTGAAGCGCTGAGCTGAGAGGCACCCGAAGTCCGAGTGGCCGAAAATAGGCTCCGTGCAGCTGGAGGCTTATCCTCAGGGGTGAACTCCATGTAACTTGACCATTCTTTGATAAAGTTGTAAAGCTCAGGTAGATGTCCGTATTCTTCCAATAAACGGCCGAATGCCTCGATAGCTTCTGCTATCGGCTCCCGAGAGGAGGGACGACGGTCCGCCTCGGAAGTGAACAGGTTGGGGCCGGATCCGAGTTCCAATTTAGGACATGTAGGTTCGATGGGGTCTGAATTGGATGTTCCAAAGAGACTTGTTCCTAGATCGGGTCGAGTGGATGTAGTCTGAGTCGATCTTCCGAAGAGACCCGGTGCAGTAGATGCGGACGATGGTCCGAAGAATAGACCCGGTGCAGTGGATGCGGACGATGGTCCGAAGAGACCCGGTGCAGTAGATGCGGGCGATGGTCCGAAGATGTTCGGTCTAGGAGATGTAGATGATGGTCCGAAGAATAGACCCGGTGCAGTAGATGCGGGCGATGGTCCGAAGATGTTCGGTCTAGGAGATGTAGATGATGGTCCGAAGAATAGACCCGGTGCAGTAGATGCGGGCGATGGTCCGAAGATGTTCGGTCTAGGAGATGTAGATGATGGTCCGAAGAATAGACCCGGTGCAGTGGATGCGGACGATGGTCCGAAGATGTTCGGTCTAGGAGATGTAGATGATGCTCCGAAACCCATAGGAGATGCTCTATCGAAGCCCGACACAGAAGGTGCAGTTCGAGCGGATGTAGTCTGAGTCGATCTTCCGAAGAGACCCGGTGCAGTAGACGCTCCATTGGGTCGAGATGGCTGAGCAGGGCGGTGCTCCGTCCATTCGAAATTTTCGGCCTGATTAGCCTGCTCTCTGGCCATTCGGCTACGGCGAAGAAGCTCGTCAAGCTCAAACAGTGTCTGCTGGTCTCGGGGTATGATGCGGGATGGGGGGCCGGCGCTTTCGCTACGAAGGAACTCTTCAAGCCAAAGCGGTGTCCTCTGCTCTTCGGACATGATGGGGGATGGGGGGAGGTTGGAGAGTATATTAGTCGCGCGGTGTGGTTGCTCGAGGAGGTTAGGCTTGTCCTGAAGTGGACGATGAAGATGAAGATGAAGAATTGAAAGTGAAGCTCAAAGTTTTATCCGTGTCGCAAACTCTTTGGGACACGACAGGCAGCCAGAGTGGAAGAACTCGTTGATTTGGTTGAGAGGATACAACAGTAGGATTGGTGTTAGGAGGCTATGTCCTGCTGAAGTGGAATAAAATCTAATGTATCTTGTCAACCGGTGTGGATGAGTAGGTTCCTGAGGCTGAGCTTACTGGATACAGGCTTCTTCAAGCCAGGCACTGGGAGGTAGTCTCTTTTATACGATTGTATGCATCATGCATCGGTATTTGGAACAAAGATCTTGTCTTTGAACAAGACTGTCATTGTGGAAGAAACACAAAGGTCTACTATACTAGGGATGACTCTGAGCACCAAGACCAAGTACTGAAGGGTCGGGGTTTGAAACCAAGATATTGGGTATTGTTCTTCGGCACTGTTACTGAGATGAAAATAGAACAAGGATTCATTGTAAAGGAGAGGTTTTGTTTATCGTGAAGCGAGGCTCCGGCATTGGTGACAAAGATGTTGTGACTCGACGGTGAACAAAGAACAAAGATTGATTGTCGGGGAGCCAGCCCCTTTGTTCCCCGGATCGCTAAGCTTGACCTGTTGGGTCATGTTCACTACCATGGACTTGCAGGGGTGAGTCCTCCAATGTTATCCAAGTGGCTTGGAAGTAGTTGACCAAGCTGCCAACTCCATCTGGCTTCGGGGCTTGTCCTGACCCCGACCTCTGATGAAGTATTCACTCCATGAGTAGGAAAATCAAATAGATGCCAAAAGCTTGGCGCAAAGAGCCTCCAGCTCGGTCCCTGCCGTTTCCACGGCATCGAGGTCCAACAATACTCCCTAGCGACTCACCTCATGTGTTGTGGCGTTTCGGCAATTGAAGGTGAAACTTTACTCCGCCGAGAGCCTCATGGTAGACCTTCTCCTCAGATTCTGGGACAAGGTAACTTCTCCAACCATCACGATGCTGATCCCTAGAATCTGAACGCACGCTAACATCCGAATCCATGGGGTTTGAATACCACTCATCTAAATGGCGCCATCCGTCCCGCGCTGTAAGGTCGGACACAAGCCAACTTAGTACGTAACGTACTGTGTGTTTTGACGTTGATCTTTCCTAGTCGAGATGGGAGGTTTGCCATAGATGTTGGGTTGGACGCATCCGACTACACACCGCAAGATCTTGGCTTGATTTCTTATCTCAAGATGGCCCTTAGATTGGGAGTCTCCGCGTCATGAAGCGGCCTCGAATGCAGCATAGAGGCCAGAGAGGCCAGAACCCTCCGCGATCGGCAGTGTTTACTTGAGACAGCTCTGGCTAATTAGGGGTTGAAGTACGATCTCGCAATCTAAAGTTGTAGTATTCACTAAACCACAAATGGCCATCGGAAGCAGCGCAATAGATCTTGCCGTGGTAGGTATTCGAGGCTGTCAGCCATCAGCTCTTGTGACTGATGCTGTCTGATCTGGATGTGCTGGGAGGTGGTTCTCCGGGGTTCGCAGGCAGATATCTGAGCTGAGCGTTAAAGCTAAGCTTTACCGCATTGGCTTGGCACGGGTGAGGACCCGGAAGGCCGCCGTCCTGGAACCAGTGATCTCAACCTCAGAAAAGGATCTCGCCGATTTGAAAGACTGAATACAAGTGGTGATGTCTGTGGCACTCGGAGAATCGAATCACAGATGGGCGGACTTCCCCCATATGGCACCTGGCTGGCTGTCACGGGGAGGCCAGTTCTGGAGAGTTCAATCGCGATACGGCCGAGACGGGACGGTTCAGAAGCCCGGTCAGTTACTTGCTCGACTACCTGTTTGGTTAGCAAAGCAAGCAAAAGTGCATCGAGTTACTCCGTAGCCATCTCTCTCTGGCTCTCTGTCTCTCTCTGTGCAGCTCGCGGCGACTACTGGCGGCGATGGCGGTTCGTGGGGCGGACAAGATGTTGGGGACCTGCGGGTGTGCGATGAGAAACCAGTAGTCTACTTTAGTTACGTACAGTGGTGGACCTGCGGGGGGCGGCGCTAAGATTCGCCTCTGGCCCCTACAAGCTCGCTAAATCTGCACCCCCCTTGGCCGCCAATTTTTTTCGGGTCGTCAGGGATGAGCTTTTGATTTTTGCCAGCTTCTCAACAATTGGGACAGCACCGCTTCTTCCCCTTCTTTGCGCCGCGCCGGCCGCCCACCTCCCAAAGTTGTGCATTACCGACGATCGCGAATTCAACACCGGAGACATGGCACACCCTGTTTTTGGACTAGGACGCCAACCCTCGGGTGCTCGCGGGACTGTATGCAGTGACGTAGTTAGGCTCGGGATGCCGGACCCCTGCACGAACTTGCAGTTCACAGTTCAGCAGCTCTTATCGGCGCTGCGATAAGCCCAAAAAGGTTGAATGACCCAGTTGTTGAGGTTTCGAACTTTCAGGCGTACCTTCTCTAGCGCGGGTTGCATTCCACTCCCCGACCTACTCCCGGTATTCCAGACGTCCTGTTCTCATCTTCGGGCCGTTGTCTACCAACAGTGATGCAAAGGTTAATTATACGTTTGTTGCGGTTGTTGGATGGGTGAGGTCTCATTATCGTGAGAATCAAATATTGAGATGAGATCGCTGGAGTCGGATCGGACATGCTCGGAGTCCGGTGGTCGTCCAGTTCAATGTTGCTGACACGCATGGCTTATGCAGGCTGACCGATTGAGGTTGCGTCTTCGGGACATACCTGAACTGGGTTGCGGCCACGATGATGATATTGGTGCGCACTGGCTGTCTGCTTCTCTCTCGACTTGAGCAAGTAGAATACGACGTATACTCGTTTCCTCTCTTTTTTTCAGGTTCGAATGTGTTTTGCAAATTGACCAAGTTGAGGCTGTTGCAGCGCCCAATTTACCCCGTAATCAGTCAGGTCCCAATCTGGGACGTATTTTGCAGGTACTCCGCGATCTTGACGGCCTGTATCAATCCCGAGACGGATCTGAGTCTGGTGTGCCACTCGCTGGTACGTGCACGATACTTGACCAGTCGGAGAGGACATACATGATTGATATCAACGATGAGATATCACTTGGCCCAGCTGAATGAATCCCAGAGTCTGATTCCTACCTCGAAAGACAGCCCCCACGATCTTGAGCGATATGAAGGTGCCAGATGTACCCTAGAAGTACTTGTGGAGCCCACTCACACCTGTACTTGCCCGTTTGGGGAGCTTCCCCAACATACCAGTAAAAATTTCGGTGAATATTTGTGATTGGCTGGTCCTGCTGAGTTCGGCTGGGTGAAATGGCCGTTGACGGGTCCCGCCTTCCATCAGCCCGCAGGCCAATTGGCCGGGCTTGGGCGGGCTGACCTGTAATTTTGCATCGATCTCAGCAGTGGTGATGCGCTAACGGAGGAAGCACAGGTACCCACGTCTCCCCGAACCGTTGCGGTTTTTTAGCAGGAAGGAGAAGAAGACTCCTTTGGACATCGGCATTTTTCTGAGGCGTAAGCTCAGCAACTTGAGGCATGGATGGGAAACTGCGTGTGTCTGGGGGTGTGTTCTTTTTGGTGTGGTGGTACCTGGCTGACCTGGAAAAGTGACCTATGAGCCTTGGATCATCCCAATTGAATCTTTTCCCGCCCATACGCCCACGCCCACACATCCCCCCCTGCAGTCTGTCCCCAAAAGACCTACTGTACCTAGCAGCTGCTGTTCCTTTTTCATCCCAGAGCTGCCACTCCCGTCTTCCGTCCGTCTCCCCTCCTCCTCTTCCTCCCATAGACCTGCATTCTCGTGAAGTTGATTTTTCATATTCACTTCTGTTGCATCACCACGAGAGAGGAGTTGTTCGGGCTGCCTTACCTAATTCTACCTCCCTATGTTGTACCCGTAACTGCTCTCGACGCCTGCCTCCTCTCGTCCTTTGATACCCCTGTGGCGTCGCGTAGCCATTCTGCCACTCGTACCCTTCCAACGGCAGCTTCACCTCCAAAACGAATACGCTTCCTCTCCTCTGGATCTTCCAACATCCAGCAAAGACCCTGCGCGGTTTCTGTCTCCCCTAGAAACCGGCTTTCGTTGCTTACCGTAAGCGACGATTGCTTGCCCGTTCCGCATCCGGTACTGGGTCTTCCGAAATCACATCCTCAACGAGCTCCCACCCTGACGACTGGAAGTCGGTCATAGCCATTGACCATGGCGGAGATCAACGGTGCTCAGACCAAGAACGGCGTCACGGTGCCCAAGGTTAACGGCAAGGCCTCCTATGCTGAAAAGCACAGCATTGCAGACCACTTCATTGGTGGCAACCGACTCGAGAATGCTCCCGAGTCCAAGGTCAAGGACTTTGTAGCCAGCCACGATGGACACACCGTCATCACCAACGTGAGTGTTCCTCCCCGCCCGATTGACCCTCCCTAGGTCGCCCGCCGGCGAAATCCCGCATCTCAGCTGACTGTGGTATGCTTCAGGTTCTGATCGCCAACAATGGTATTGCTGCTGTCAAAGAGATCCGATCGGTTAGGAAATGGGCCTACGAGATGTTTGGCGACGAACGCGCTATTCGCTTCACTGTCATGGCGACGCCCGAAGATCTGCAGGCCAACGCAGAGTACATTCGCATGGCCGACCACTACGTCGAGGTTCCTGGCGGCACCAACAACCACAACTATGCCAACGTCGAGCTGATTGTGGATGTGGCGGAGCGCATGAACGTCCACGCCGTCTGGGCTGGATGGTAAGCCGGCAACCTCCCTTGAAAGACAGTTGGAGCTGGGAGACGAGATTTGCTAACTCTGGAACGAAACAGGGGCCACGCTTCCGAAAACCCTAAGCTTCCCGAATCCCTTGCTGCCTCCCCCAAGAAGATCGTTTTCATCGGCCCTCCGGGGTCCGCTATGCGATCACTCGGTGACAAGATTTCGTCTACTATCGTTGCACAGCACGCCGAAGTCCCCTGCATTCCCTGGTCAGGGACCGGAGTCTCAGATGTCGAGGTTGATTCCCAAGGAATCGTCACCGTCGCCGATGAGATATACCAGAAGGGCTGCGTCTCTTCGTGGCAAGAAGGTCTGGAGCGAGCCAAGGAGATTGGCTTCCCCGTCATGATCAAGGCCTCCGAAGGCGGTGGTGGTAAAGGTATTCGAAAGGCCATGGGCGAGCAAGGTTTCGAGCAGTTGTATAAGGCGGCGGCGAGTGAAATCCCCGGCTCTCCCATCTTCATTATGAAGCTCGCCGGAAACGCCAGGCATTTGGAGGTCCAGCTTTTGGCCGATCAGTATGGAAACAACATCTCCCTCTTCGGCAGAGATTGTTCCGTTCAGCGACGACACCAAAAGATTATCGAGGAGGCTCCTGTCACCATCGCTAAGCCTGACACTTTCAGGGCCATGGAGGAGGCCGCTGTCCGTCTGGGTCGGCTAGTCGGCTATGTCTCCGCTGGCACGGTCGAGTACTTGTACTCGCACGCCGACGACAAGTTTTACTTCCTCGAGCTCAACCCCCGTCTGCAGGTCGAGCATCCCACCACTGAGATGGTCAGCGGTGTGAACCTGCCAGCTGCTCAACTCCAGATTGCCATGGGTCTGCCTCTGCACAGGATTCGGGATATCCGACTGCTGTATGGCGTCGACCCCAAGACCGGCACCGAGATCGACTTCGAATTCAAGAACGAGAGCAGTGGTTCTTCCCAGCGCCGCCCGACCCCGAAGGGCCACACCACCGCCTGCAGAATTACCTCTGAAGATCCTGGCGAGGGCTTCAAGCCGTCCAATGGTGTGCTGCACGATCTGAACTTCAGGAGTAGCTCCAATGTTTGGGGTTATTTCTCTGTCGGTACCGCCGGTGGTATTCACAGTTTCTCTGACAGTCAGTTCGGCCATATCTTCGCCTATGGCGAGAACCGTTCGGCCTCGCGGAAGCACATGGTCGTTGCGCTCAAGGAGCTGAGCATCCGCGGTGACTTCAGGACCACTGTGGAATATCTCATCAAGCTTCTTGAGACCGAGGCTTTCGAGGACAACACCATCTCGACCGGTTGGTTGGATGAGCTCATTTCCAATAAGCTCACCGCAGAGCGGCCCAACCCTGTATTGGCTGTCATCTGCGGAGCTACCACCAAGGCTCATATCGCTAGCGAGGCGTGCATGGCCGAGTACCGCGCTGGTCTCGAGAAGGGTCAAGTCCCATCCAAGGACATCCTCAAGACGGTGTTCCCTGTCGACTTCATCTACGAGGGCTTCCGCTACAAGTTCACCGTTACCCGCTCGAGTGCTGACAGCTATACGCTATTTATCAATGGCTCGCGATGCTCCGTCGGTGTTCGCGCCCTCAGTGACGGTGGTCTCCTAATCCTGCTCAACGGCAGGAGTCACAACGTGTACTGGAAGGAGGAGGTTGGAGCTACCCGTTTGTCTGTTGACAGCAAGACTTGCCTGCTCGAGCAGGAGAACGACCCTACCCAGCTGCGCACTCCTTCTCCCGGAAAACTCGTCAAGTACTCTGTTGAGAATGGTGAGCATGTCGAGGCCGGCCAAGCATTTGCCGAGGTTGAAGTCATGAAGATGTACATGCCTCTACTGGCTCAGGAGGCCGGCATTGTCCAGCTCATCAAGCAGCCCGGTTCCACTCTTGAGGCTGGTGACATCTTGGGTATCCTTGCGCTTGACGACCCCAGCCGTGTCAAGCAGGCTCAGCCGTTCCTGGATAAGATCCCGGATCTCGGACGCCCCGTCGTGTCCGGTAACAAGCCGGCACAGCGTCTCGCTGAGCTCCACAGCATTCTGAACAACATTCTGCTGGGTTACGACAACCAGACCATCATGGCTCAGACCCTCGGCGACTTTATTCAGGTCCTGCGCGACCCTGAGCTGCCATTCAGCGAGTGGAATGCCCAGTTTGCTGCCTTCCATTCCCGCATGCCTCAGAAGCTTGATGCTCAGCTCACGCAGATCGTCGAGCGTGCCAAGTCGCGGCCGTCAGAGTTCCCCGCTCGCAACCTCGCTAGGGCATTCCAGAAGTTCCTCGATGACCACGTTGCTCCTGGCGATGCTGAGCTCTTGAAGTCCACCCTTGCTCCTCTCACGGACATCCTGGCCCTTTACGCCGATGGTCAGAAGGCTCGTGAGCTCAACGTCATCGCTTCTCTGCTCAGTCACTATGCCGACTCTGAGAAGCTCTTCTCTGGTCGTCGCTCGCAGGACGAGGAAGTTATTCTGAAGCTCCGTGACGAGAACAAGGACAACATCACCAGCGTCGTGCAGACCGTCCTGTCACACAGCCGTGTTGCAGCCAAGAATGGCTTGATCCTGGCCATTCTCGAGGAGTACCGCCCTAACAAGCCCAATGTTGGCAACGTTGCGAAACACTTCAAGCCGGTTCTTCGCAAGCTTACCGAGCTGGAGTCTCGCCAGACTGCCAAGGTCTCGCTCAAGGCTCGTGAGATCCTGATCCAATGCGCCCTTCCTTCTCTCGAGGAGCGTCAGTCCCAGCTTGAGCTGATTCTGCGATCATCTGTCGTCGAGTCCCGCTATGGCGAGTCTGGCTGGGAGCACCGTGAGCCTAGCCTAGAGGTTCTCAAGGATGTTGTCGATTCCAAGTACACTGTCTTTGACGTTCTGCCCCGCTTCTTCGCTCATGAGGATCCTTGGGTGTCGCTGGCAGCCCTTGAGGTGTACGTCCGTCGTGCTTACCGCGCTTACATCCTCAAGCAGATTGATTACCACCTCGATGATGCTGGCTCGCCTGGATTTATCTCTTGGGACTTCTCCCTGAGGAAGATTGGTCAGTCCGAGTTCGGTCTGCCGCTGCAGTCTGCAGCGCCATCCACTCCTGCCACTCCCAACGAGTTCGGTATGTCGCGCATCAGCTCGATCAGCGACATGTCCTACTTGGCCAGGAAGACCGAGGACGAGCCCACGCGCAAGGGTGTTATCATCCCTTGCAGATACATTGATGACGCCGAAGAGCTCCTCGCCAAGGCCCTGGAGACACTGCCCTTGCCTGGACAAGCACGCAAGCCCCGCAATGGCTTGATCCCGAGCCTGGAGGGTAGGCGCCGCCCTGCTCCTCCTCGCTTGGATATGGGTGGGGACGAACTCTCTGCTGTTGTCAACGTCGCTATCCGTGATGCCGAGAACCAGACCGATGTCGAGATCCTCAGCCAGCTGAAGCCGCTTGTCGAACAATACAAGGACGACCTGCTGGCCCACCGCGTGCGCCGTTTGACTTTCGTCTTCGGCCGCAAGGACGGCTCTTACCCCGGTTACTACACCTTCCGTGGCCCTGAATATCAGGAGGATGACAGCATTCGTCACGTCGAGCCTGCTCTCGCCTTCCAGCTTGAACTTGGCCGCCTCTCCAAGTTCAAGATCAAGCCTGTCTTCACGGAGAACAAGAACATCCACGTCTACGAGGGTGTTGGCAAGGGAGTTGACACTGACAAGCGGTACTTTGCTCGTGTCGCGGTTCGACCCGGCCGCCTCCGTGACGAAATCCCCACGGCGGAGTACCTCATCTCCGAGGCTGACCGTGTCGTTACCGACATTTTTGATGCCCTGGAGATCATTGGTAACAACAACAGTGATCTGAACCACCTCTTCATCAACTTCACTCCCGTCTTCCAGCTCCGCCCCGAAGAAGTCGAGCAGTCTCTGCAAGGCTTCCTGGACCGGTTTGGACCCCGTGCCTGGCGGCTGCGTGTTGCTCAGGGTGAAATCCGTATTATTTGCACGGACCCTGATACTGGCATGCCTACCCCGCTGCGTATTCTGATCACCAACACCTCTGGATACGTGATTCAGGTTGAGATCTACGCCGAGCGCAAGTCTGAGAAGGGCGAGTGGGTGTTCCAGTCGATTGGTGGCACGACCAAGATTGGCTCGATGCACCTGCTTCCGGTCTCTGCGCCTTACCCGACCAAGAACTGGCTGCAGCCTAAGCGCTACAAGGCCCATCTTATGGGTACGCAGTACGTTTACGACTTCCCTGAGCTGTTCCGCCAAGCCATCCAGAACAGCTGGGTCAAGGCTGTCAAGAGCCGCCCGGCGTTGGCTGAGCGCCAACCTGCTGTCGGCGAGTGCATCGAGTACAACGAGCTCGTCCTTGACGACCATGACAACCTTGCCGAGGTTTCGCGTGACCCTGGAACCAACACTTGCGGTATGGTCGGTTGGCTCATCAACGCACACACGCCCGAGTATCCCCGCGGCCGGAAGTTCATCATTGTGGCAAACGATATCACGTACAACATTGGTTCGTTCGGCCCCAAAGAAGATAACTTCTTCCACAAGTGCACCGAGCTCGCGCGCAAGCTTGGCATTCCTCGCATCTACCTTTCCGCCAACTCTGGTGCTCGCCTGGGTCTTGCCAACGAGCTCATGCCTCACTTCAAGGTTGCCTGGAACGACCCCGGCAACCAGCAGCAGGGCTTCAAGTACCTGTGGCTTGACGATACCGCCAAGGAGCGCTTTAACGGAGCAGTCATCACGGAGGAGGTCACGGAGGATGGCGAGAAGCGGAACAAGATTCTCACCATTGTCGGAACTGAGGATGGCCTGGGCGTTGAGTGCCTTCGCGGCTCCGGTCTCATTGCTGGTGCTACTAGCCGTGCTTACAACGACATCTTCACTGTTACCCTTGTCACTTGCCGCTCTGTTGGCATTGGCGCCTACCTTGTCCGTCTTGGCCAGCGAGCTGTCCAGATTGAGGGCCAGCCCATCATCCTCACTGGTGCTCAGGCTCTCAACAACCTTCTGGGCCGTGAGGTTTATGCTTCCAACCTCCAGCTCGGTGGCACCCAGATCATGTACCGCAACGGTGTCTCGCACATGGTTGCCAACGACGACATGGCTGGTGTGTCCAAGATTGTTGAGTGGATGTCGTTTGTCCCCGACCGACGCAACAGCCCTCTGCCTATCAGCGTGTCTACCGACACGTGGGATCGCGACGTCCTCTACTGCCCGCCGCAGAAGCAGCCTTATGACGTCAGGTGGATGATCGCCGGTAAGGAGGAAGGTGGCGAGTTCCTGCCTGGTCTCTTCGACAAGGACTCGTTTGTCGAGACTCTGGGTGGCTGGGCCAAGACTGTCGTCGTGGGTCGCGCTCGCCTGGGTGGCATTCCCATGGGTGTCATTGGTGTTGAGACACGCGCGGTTGAGAACATCACCCCCGCCGATCCCGCCAACCCCGACTCGATCGAGCAGGTCATCACCGAGGCTGGTGGTGTGTGGTACCCGAACTCGGCCTTCAAGACTGCTCAGGCCATCAACGACTTCAACCACGGTGAGCAGCTGCCGCTGATGATCCTCGCCAACTGGCGTGGTTTCTCTGGTGGCCAGCGCGACATGTACAATGAGGTTCTCAAGTACGGCAGCTACATTGTCGACGCTCTCGTCAAGTTTGAGCAGCCGATCTTTGTCTACGTGCCGCCCTTCGGCGAGCTCCGTGGTGGTTCATGGGTCGTCGTCGACCCCACCATCAACCCCACCGCTATGGAGATGTACGCCGACGTCGAGGCACGCGGTGGTGTGCTCGAGCCTGAGGGTATCATCGGTATCAAGTACCGCAAGGACAAGCAGCTGGATACCATGGCTCGCCTCGACCCTACGTATGCTGCCCTCCGGAAGCAGATGGTCGCGGTTCAGAGCAAGGGTGGCAGCGCCGAGGCTCAGGAGGAGATCAAGAAGAAGATGGCTGTGCGCGAGCAGCAGCTCCTCCCCATCTACGCCCAGATCGCCGTCCAGTTTGCCGACCTGCACGACCGCGCCGGGCGCATGAAGGCCAAGGGCGTGATTCGGGAAGTGCTCGAGTGGCAGAACGCGCGCCGCTTCTTCTACTGGCGTGTGCGCAGACGTCTCAACGAGGAGTACATGCTGCGCCGCATGGCTACGGCCGCCAACCAGTCTGGCTCGGCTCAGGCTGCCGATTCTGCCAAGCTGCGCGAGCGGCACCTGCAGCTCCTGGAGGCGTGGTCGGGCATCACGGGCTTCAAGAAGGCGGACCGGGACGTGGCGGTCTGGTACGAGGAGAACAAGGCGACCATCTCGCAGAAGCTCGAGGCGATGCGGGCCGAGGCGGTCACGGCCGAGATGCGGGAGCTGGTGCAGCAGGGGAGCGGCGGCGACTCGGCGGCGTGGAAGGGCGTGCGGGATATCCTGCGGGTGATGCCTGTTGCCGAGAGGGAGAAGGTGATGAAGTTCTTGGCTGAGCAATGAGAGTAGGACACGTTAGTGTACCTAGGGCCTGGGGAGGAGGATATGGGTGTCTGCGGGTGTGTTAGAGTAGAGAAGGGGCTTTCTCGACTGTATGTTATTAGATATGAGATGTCCTACTTTTTTACTGGAGTTTAGGGAGGCATCTGTTATGAGTTCTACAAATTGTATCAATGTTTTGCACTATGTCTGGTGTCTAGAGCGCCCGGAGTTCTTGGGTACGCAATGGAGTGATTGTCTGTCCGTGATCGGGTGCTTGGGCATGGAAGCAGCGGGCTCGATTTGCGGGCTTGATTTGTGATGTCTGCTGGGTCTAAGTGAGGATGGTGATGGTGGTGAGCCCCACACGTGATCGCCTGTGGTGGTGACGACGCCGGCGGCAACGGCAACACACTCCATGATCTTGTACAACACACCTCTCCGTTGGAACCCAATGCCGATATCAGATCACAAGGTAGCCGTTTTAATAGGATGACAAGTTCGACCCGTCGGCGTTGCAGGTGACTGGCCGCTCGCATTTGACATTGACGCATGGACACCCACTCGATCAACAAGATCAAGCGCAAGCCCCTTCCCACCGGAGGAGCGGCGCGTCTCGGAGCCACGGGACCGTCTCCGGATCCTCCGGGATCAGCACAGATCGACGGGTCACCTCCACCGAGGTACTCTGAAGTCGTGCGAGACATCGGCTCGCTCAATCTTGGCGATGGAGACGGACAAGACGACGGCCAGGAGCAGCCGCCTGGACTCGCGGAATACGTGACTTCCAACGCCGGCATTGTTGCGAGCCCGAAAGAGCTCTCGGCGGCCTCATCCAGAGCGACTACTTTCCCCCCTTCAGACTACACGCCGCCGACGACACAGAGCGGAGAACTCGCGCCTGGTTCCCCTCCTGTTTTGGTCCCGGCTACGGGATCTACCGAGGATCAGCAGCAGCAACAGCCGTCGTTTTGGAAGACGGCGCTCGACGAGACGCGCCACTTTGCCGGCGGGCTGCTCTCGCACCCGCACGAGTCGACCAAGCACTACACCATCCTGCGGCACTCGCCGGGCGTCGTGCTGTACCGCGGGCCCGCGACGAGCGTCGCCGTGTCCGTCTTCTCGTCGCCGGACCGCGGCCCGCTGCCGGCGGACAGGACGGTCTGGCTCCAGCGGCGCGGGTTCTCGGGCGACGCGGGCCTGCGGCTCGGGGCGGCGCTGGCGGCGGGCGGCGCGCTGGGCAGCTGGATCGACGTGACGCCCGAGGCGCGGGCCGGGCCGGAGCAGGTGCCGCCGGCGGACGAGCGGGGGTGGCAGCGGGATATCGCGCGGTTCCGCAGGAGGGCGGGCAGGGAGGGCGGCGCGGCGGCGCGGCACGTCCTCCGGGAGACGTGTGTCGTGCGGATACCGGCTGCGGCGGCGGATGGGTATTTCCGGCTCGTGCTTTGTACCGGCGGAGGAGGAGGAGGAGGGGAAGACGGCCGGCAGGACGAGAAGGAGAAGAGGAGGCGCAAGGCGCTGTGCGGCAGCCCCGTGTTCCGGGTCGCGAGCACGTCGACCGAGCCGGGCGTCGTGCGCGGCGCGAGCCTGCGGAGCATACCGCTCGAGGTGGGCATCAAGGTCGCGTCGGCGGTGGCCAACAGCGCGGCGGGGAACCTCGTGTCGCCCCTGACGGACCGGCTGCAGCAGTACCAGCCTGGCTTCGTGGCGCAGGAGGCCGGGACGATGATGTACAGCCGGTACGGGCTGGAGGACAAGGTGGAGAGCGCGCAGGAGGGGTACGGCCGGGCGAGGGAGGAGCAGTACGGGCGGCTTGCAGCAGCAGCCGCGGACGAGGCGGGAGCGACGCCGCCGGAGGAGGAGGTGGTGGTAATAGGGCCGGATGCGGGGCCCGAGAAGCCGTTCCCGATCAAGTTTCAGGGGAAGGTCGTGGCCGGGACGGGCCGGGGCGGGAGGGAGATGGGGATACCGACGGCGAACGTCGAGGGCGTGCCGGACGATATTGTCCTGCGACTGTCGGGCGGGGTGTACTTTGGGTGGGCCGAGGTGCTGCCGCACAAGGAGCTGGACGAGCGGGTGTCGCGCGACTGGATCGAGGCGGTCGTGGCTGTGGGCCCGTCGCCGGTGTATTACCCGGCTGCTGCTGCTGCCAGCAAGGCGAGGGTGGTCTCGCGAGACGTCGTCACGGCACGCCTGCTGCATGATTTCGGGGGGGCTACGTTTGTCGGGGCCAAGCTGAAGATTGTGGTCATGGGGAGGCTGCGGGGGATGAAGAAGATGACGTCTACGGGGTCTACGGCTACGGCTACGGCTACCACGGCATCAGAGGAGAGTCAGCTTGCAGAGGTGCTGGAGGCGGCGGCGCGGGACGCGGAGGTGGCAGTAGCGAGCCTGAGCCGCGGGGCGTGGGGCCCGCAGGAGACGCTGGGCCGGATGCGGACGGAGCGGAGCGGGCGGTCGCTGGAGGAGAGGTACGTCGACGCGCGGAGGGGCCTGCACCGGCGGGTGGACAGCGTGCCGGTGCACTGGGCCGGGGTGAGGACGTCCGGGGCGGAGCTCCGGGATAAGGGGCTTGGGCGTGGGGGGTATTGGGTCCGGCGGTAGCCGGGTGAGAGGGAGGAGATGTTTGACAGGGATAAGGGGATGGGATGGTTACTGGATGACATATACGAGGGGGTTTCTCGCTCTCTCGGGAGTTGTGTACAATAGTGTATCCAAGACACGAGTTATGAGTTACAGATCTTTTGGGTATCCGGGTAGCGAGTTGATGTGCTCTTAAGCTTGCTGTTGAGGGGAGGTATTCTCTTGAGATATCTTGCCAATGACTCTCCCAAGCACGACACCACCTACATCTCCTATGTTGGGCCCCAGCTGTTCGTGATAGAGATGCCTCCTGAGGGAATCTCCGCCCGGCACAGCGGAAATATCGCATCTTACACGACAGAGTGTGTATGGTGTACAGCACAAAATGTGAGATGAGACACGACGGTACGCAGGATGCAAGTCAGGAAAGGAAATCCACAGGAAGCCAGGCAGCATCGTCTTCTTTCATATGAGCAGGCTTCACTGTCAACACAAAAATCTCCCAGGATATATTAGTTAATTAGCCTTTTGGTCGTCTAAGCTGGCGGAGACCAGGGACGAGGTTTACCTCTGGTGGGGCCAGCTGGCTGGCGGATGTCCGCCGGGCGGGCGCGATTACGAGGAGCGGAGCTGCGGCCCTGACGTCGTCAGCTTTGGGCGTTGGCGGGGCATTCGAGACACCTACAAGTACATAGCCGGGAGCTACTTCTGACACTGCAACACTCAACCTCATAAACTCCCCAAGTCCCGCAACCTCGAGAACGGCTGGCACCGTTTCGCAACCCACCCTCTCGCTGCGTCAATTGACCAGAGACAGAAAGAAGACGCCCGCACAGAATCATCAACCGTTCCGCCAGACCGCCCAAGATGCAGTCGGGAATCTCAGGTAGGCCGAACTCCACGCCGCCGCACATCTCCTGACCCAGAGCTGACACTTTGGCACTCCAAACCAGCCTCCCAGGAGCTCATAGAGCAGTTCAACACCCTCCTCTCCGACGGCTCCCACTTCGGCCTGCTGGCCACCATCTCGGCCGAGTCCCTCGTCCCCGCGGGACTGCTGACCCCTCCCTCGGCCGGCGCCTCCTTCGCCGACAACCTCGACGCCCTGCTGGCCCCGCGCCTCAAGCCCGACGAACCGCTGTACGCCCTGCTGCGGCGCCACGACGCGCCCCCTCGGTTCGTGGCGGTCACGTACGTGCCCGACGCCGCCAAGGTCCGGCAGAAGATGCTCTTCGCGTCGACGCGGCTGGCCCTCGTGCGCGAGCTGGGCACCGAGCACTTCCGCGAGACCATCTTCGCCACCAGCCCGGCCGACCTGACCCCCTCGGGATTCGAGAAGCACGACGCCCACGGCGCGCTGGCCGCGCCGCTGACGGAGGAGGAGCGCACGCTCGGCGACGTCAAGCGCGCCGAGCAGGAGGCCGGATCCGGGACGGGCGCGCGCGAGATCCACCTTAGCAAGAACCTCAACATGCCCGTCGGCGAGGACGCGCTGGCGGCGCTGCGGGAGCTGGGGCAGGAGGGCGGCGGGAAGAGGAATTTGGTCATGCTGGTGAGTTTGATGGCGCGAGCCCACCTTGAAAGTCGGATGGATTGAGTTGGGATGGGATGGCTGACCGTCGGACTTTTATTGCCCCTTTCAAAAGAAAATCAACCCCGAGACCGAAAAGATCGAGCTCGTGCCCGACGCCTCGTCGCCGTCGTCCATCGCCGAGCTGACCTCGGGCGTCATCTCGCCCACCGAGCCGCGCTTCACCTTCTACCGCTACGCGCACGAGCACGCCGGCGCCTCCTTCGCGCCCTTGCTCTTCATCTACACGTGCCCCATGACGCAGGGCAACAAGGCCATCAAGTTCCGCATGATGTACCCGCTCATGAAGCGCGCCGTGCTCGAGATCGCGGGCCGCGAGTGCGGGCTCGACGTCGACAAGCGGTTCGAGGTCGAGGAGCCGGCCGAGATCACCGAGGAGGGGGTCCTGGGCGAGCTGCACCCCAAGGTCGAGGTGCGCAAGGGGTTCAGCCGGCCCAAGAGGCCTGGTCGGTGAGAGAAAGGGGGGGCTGGGCTGGGTTGGGTTGGAGATAGAGGAAGTAGACAATCCTGGAGCGTAGACAGAGACAAGTTTATGATGAAAAATGGGAAATGATATCGAGGTTACCGTGCCATCGAAGAGACTGAAGAGACTTGAAAATCGATTTTTGACATCTAAAACCAAAAGGGAAATGATGTATATGTCCTAGATATGCAAAAAACTCCGCAGCCGGATGATTTTTGGAGAAAGAACATTGTTGCGCAATGTGTGAGCGTAAATACAGAACAGAAAGTGTCATTTTTGGCCTCCCTCTTCCCATCCCTCCGGGTCCATGAAGTCGGTGTATGTGTGAATGCTGGATGCGTTGGTCCGTCTATTTGCCCCCCCCCCCTTTTTTACATAAAAGGAATATCTCCCCATTCTCTGCCACACTCTCTCGCCAGTCTCCCGCGGATTACAGTACCCTCTCTCTTCTCTCAGCTTGTTCCGTCTTTTCACTCCTCAAAGTCGCCGCCGGACAGCGAAAAGGGGCCGCGCTTCTCGAGCTTGCTCTTGAGGAACTCGTACACGGTGAAGGTGACGGCCTGGCCGGGGGCGACACGCATGATGCGGGGCGTGATGCCCTTGTAGAACGCGTGGAATCCTTCTTGCCTGTTGTTTTTGGGTTTTCATCAGGTTAGCCACAAGACTGAACCTTTTCTGATCTCGGTGGAAAAAGAACAGAAAAAAAAAAAAAAAAGAAACTTACTTGAACATGTCGCCCGCGATGACCGTTATCCTCTTCCACGCGCTCGTGCCGGGCATGGCGGGCGCCTTCTGCAGCCTCGTCTTGATGGTGTCGATGGGCGCGTTGCTCAGCGGGCCCATGGCGCCGCTCACGAGCCCGATCAGCGTCGTCTGGTAGCCGGGCAGCGTGGCGCCCTCGAACTCGGGCTGCCAGCGGTACAGCGCCTCCTTGAAGTACGTGTAGGCCGTGAAGTTGACGGCCTGGTTGCTGCCCTGGCGCAGCGCCGTGAGGGAGACGCCGCGGTACAGCGCGCCGAAGCCCTCCTCCTTGACGACGGTGTAGAGCGCGTGCGCGGCGTTGCGGTACTTGGGCACGTCGAGCGGGTCGGCCATGCTGTGGTGCTGCGCCTGCAGGCGGATCTTGATGACCTCCATGGGCGTCACGACGGCCACGGCCTCGGTCACGCCGGCCGCCAGCCCGGCGAGGAAGATGGCCTGGCCCGAGATGGCGCCGCTGTGCTGGTCGGCCAGCAGCTGCTTGTACCACTCGAACGAGGTGAAGCGGATGGCCATCTTGGGCACGATGCCCGTCAGCACGGCGCCGAGGCCCTTGTACAGGCCCAGGGGCGTCTCCTTGCGCACGATCTCGACGCCCGTCTTGATGAAGCCGCGCTTGGCCTGGCCCGGCTGCCGGCCGCGGCGGGACAGCTGCATGCGGACCTTGATTGTGTCTGTCGTCGGCGCATTCTTGTTAGTCTCTTTTCTTTCTTGGAGATGATCTTCCAATTCTTTCTGTTTGCACCCGGATCGGATACTCGGAGGGATTTCCGCAATGCAAAAGCAGTTGGCAATGCCCCCCCCCAATTGACGCGACTGGTGATGGGATGCATCCTCGGAGCTCTCTCGGGATCTTTCTTCTCGGGACCCCCAGCCGCGGACCGGGGTTGCGGGTGAACGGGGGAAGGGCGCACAGAGGCGCACACATGCATGCAAGGGCAGGGAAATGGGTTAAAGCTTACCGAGAGGGTGGCAGACGAGAGCCTCCATCATGCCTGCACCACCACCGGCTGTCCAGAAACATGCACTTGTTAGCTCTTCATGCTCTCTTATGATTTTACTTTTGCTTTGCTCTGCATGTGATATGAAAGCACCAATTGGCGACCTCTCGTTCTTCGGAAGCCCAGCAGAGGAAAAAGAAAACGTACCGATGAGGTTAACAGCGGCCGAAGGCGGCTGCTTCTTGCCGTCCTTGGTCGCAACTTTTGTAGCCATGGCCGCGAGATTTTCAGTCTGGTTGTGATATTACTGTTGTATGGTGTGTGTAAAAGAGAGGTAGAGGACGATAGTTGTAAAGCGGTCAATGGGACTTTTTCTTCCGGGGCTCAGCTCAGCAGTCGCGAAACTCGTCCTTCCTTATCCTGTGCGGTTTTGACGAGGCCCTATCCATACAAATCGAAGTTCCTGAGGGAAGACAGTGGCTTGTTGCTCGGCCTGGTTATGACTCTGCGTCGGCTCCTGCTCGGCTGGGACTGCGGGAGACGAAGCTATCGTCGCGTAGTTTTGGCGGCGGGTGGATAATGCGCCGGGCTGGTGTAGCCGACGATGGGACGAGGACAACGGGGTATCACGAGACAACACTCCTTGAGTGAAGAAGAGGCAGCACGATGCTTTCCAATTGGGACAAGAGGAAAGAGGGAAAGTAAAGTAAACAAGTCGGAACAAGAAGAAGGGAGGAAAGGGAAAAAAAAGAAAGAGAGCGAGGCACGAGGTAGGAGAGATGCCGAAGTTTAAGGTACAAACCGGAGGGCGGGCATTGTTCTTGGGTCCGCGGTTACAAGGAAGAGCTAGCTAACAACCTACTAAACTACGGAGTACTGGCAAGCAAGAAAAGGCACATAGGCACGCCGGATGGGCCACGAGCTAGGATCGGAAGCAAGAGCTGTTAGGGTTTCTTGGTGACCTTTGCTCTTCGCCTGGGTGACTCAGTAGGGATCAACTCTCCCAGACGGCATCGTGCCGGGACTGACTGGCGAAGGGTCTCCACCTTGGCTGAGCTCGTGCTTCCGGGGAAAGGTACCTACATGAAGGAAAAGGCGCGCGTGCTAGGTCTGTGTGAACCTTTGGCCCGCGGCTCTGGGATGGAGAAGGCAGGCGGCGGCAGGAGACGATGATGGATGGATGGGGGCAAGAGGTACAAGTAGACTAGACTTGTCCCTAGCTCTCTCGTTTCTCCAATTTTGGCCCAGGTTTTGGGGTAACGACTAGTGAACTGGAGGAGAGGAAAGGCAGTTTAAGGCAGTTGGGTGGTCCAATCCGGCGGCCTAGATCGCCAGCGTCTGTGTCGTGGTGGGTGCGAGTTCGTCAGGTAAACGTTCCTCGGCGCAGCGGATATGGGGCAAATCGTCAACGTACGTACAAGTAGGTATGGAGATGAAGTACCCCCCCCACTGACACATGACATTCCGCCTCTGTACTGCTGGGTGACTGGCTTGACTTGGGTGTTGCGCTGAGCCGAGACGCCACCTGCGCCCACCGCAGCGCTGGCCCGGATGGCGGGTTGATGTCACAGAGTGCCAGTGCCAACTCTTGTCTCTCATCATCCAATGCTCCAAAGAAGCTTGTGATAGACAGCAGCTTCATTTGTGTCCTTCTCGAGCTTGTGAATGTGACATCAGCACACAGCCCAAGTCCAAGCCCAGTCCAGTCCAGTCCAGCCAGTGAGGAACAAGTTCAGGTACCGGAATGCCGCAGATGATGCAAGGAAATGGCAGCTGGAGAGGCCAATCAGGAGCCGTCTCTTAGCCGACTCGAAGCCGAGCTTGTGATTTTGCGGGGTGGCCTTGTGTCCAATTCCAGCCTGTCCGCTTGTGGGAATTCTCGAGCTCTTTCTCAAGCCCGTACGGAGTAATGTATCATTCTTCGTCCTGTGTGGAGACTTCCCAATCCTTGCTCCCTCTCGCCCAAGGGCCATTCCGTCACTTGGTTCGCAGTTGCTTTTGCTACCATCACCGAACGGTCGCCGAGCTCGTATGTCCGGCGCGGGCCTCACGTAACTACGGGCACTTGCCCATGGGCCTGATGTTGGTCTCCCGGCTGCTTCCGGGGTTCCTGCACCCGCTCTTGCTGCTTCATGCTCTTCCGACAGTTGTGGATTTGCTGGTGGCCGCAGAGTGCCGAGGCACGGCTGTGCTTGCCCCCATTCCCCATTCCCGCTCGGAAACATTTGGGCGGTGCGGCTTCTTTTGGGTCACCTGCGCGCCCGGTCACCCCCAAGATCTGAAGAATCGAGGGGCAAGTAAGTAGATTAGATAGCGTGATCAACTCTGATTGAGATGGGGAGGGTGGCATTTTCACATGCTAGATGTGCAAAAAGAGCTAGATAGGTATGCGCTGGTGCTGGGCCCAAGTCACGACGACATTGTCCAGTCTCATGACTCAGCTTCAAGCTTCCCTGTACCGTCCGTACCTTTTATGGTGCGACGCGGGGCGGTGTGTTTTAAGCTTTCTGCAGGGCGGTGAGTGCCAGTCGGTCACTGTTGGCCATATCAAGCTCATCACATGCATGCACGCCATTGTAGATTCAACGTTCAGTCTCGATTCAGTCAAGTGTTCAGTGTCTACTTCAGCCACGTAGAGGTAGAGCTGCTCTCTCCCGTCCCTCCTCCTCAATATCATTCCTCGCGGAATACGGTACGGTACGGTACACATCCGACGATAGATAATAGCTGGTCAATAATAAAGGGTACATTTCCAAAAACGCCCATCCGTTTTTTTTCAAGTGCCAGCATCCCAATTGCCCGCAGTGTGAAAGCAACTTTGCTGGCCAGCTCCGACCGATCCATCCAATTGTTTTGCGCCCGAATTCGAAAGAATCCCAATATTCCCAAATGCCGGCCCTCCCTGAGACCGACCGACCCGAAGAAACGACAAACGAGAAGCAAACCCATCGAGCGTCGTGAATATAAAAGAGCAAGTGTGAAAATGCCCGAGCAGCAAAATGGTATCTATGCCTAGCGCAACAACAGAGTGAAAGAGCAAAAAGAGACAACAATGAAGCAGACAAAAGCAAAGAGATGGCGCAGAAAAAAAGACATCATAGCTCGGTGGTCGGTGGTAGAACAAGCGACAATCTCACTCCCCCCTCTCGTCCATCTTCAGCTCGGCGTCCCCAGCTCCTCCATCCGCCCCTGCATATCCTGAAAGCTGTACAGCCTCACCTCGCCGTCCTCGCTCCCGCTCGCCATCCGCGAGTCGCTGAGCCCGACGCACGTCACGGGGCCCCGGTGGCCCGTAAACGTCCTCTCGCACTTGCCGCTGCGCGGCTCCCACACTTTCACCATGGCGTCGTTGGCGCCCGACACGACGCGCAGCGTGTCGCCCACGAGGCCCCAGATCCCCTCGAGGTGCCCGAAGAAGGTCTTGATGCACCGGCCCGTCGCGCTGTCCCACAGCCGGATCGTGCTGTCGAGCCCGCTGCTCAGGATGTACCGCGAGGGCAGCTGCCGCTCCGGGTCCGCCTGGAAGGCCGCGCCGTAGCACGCGCGCAGCTCGCCCTCGCACGCCGGCGGCGGCTGCTGCTGCTGCTGCTGGGAGGAGGAGGAGGAGGAGCAGCCGCTCGCCGACGACTCCGGCGCGGGGCGCACGGGCAGACAGGACGAGGCGGCGGTGCGGCCGCCGTTGATGAGCGCCGTGGCGGTCGCGGCGGGCGTGCCGCTGCGCCCGCTGGCCGTCGACGCGGCGTCCGTGTTGTCGACCGGCGCGCCCGGCAGCAGCTCGTCGTCGGGCTCAAAGTCCGGCGGCAGCGGCAGGACCTGCTGGACGTGGCCGACGTGGCCGACGAAAGTGCGGATGCAGGTGCGCGTCTCGAGGTCCCAGATCTTGACGCGGCAGTCGTCCGAGGCCGAGAAGATGGTGTTGGACGCCGTGCAGACGCGCACGTGGTTGACCCAGTCCGTGTGGCCCCGGAGGCAGAACGACTCGCGCGTCTTGAGGTTGAACACTTTGACCGTCTTGTCGATCGAGCCCGTGACGAGCCACTCGCCCTCAAAGTGCACGCTGATGACGCCCTCGGTGTGGCACTGCAGCGTGCTGAGCAGGTCGCCCGTGTGCCAGTTCCAGATCTTGACCGTGCTGTCGAGGCTGCCGCTGACCAGGATCTTGTCGTCGAACTGCAGCGCCCGGATGCCGCGCGTGTGGCCCCGCAGCGTGCGGATCTCCTCGCCCGTCTCGATGTTCCACAGCTTGATGGTCGCGTCGTACGAGCCCGTCGCCAGCATCGTCTCGTCGAGCTGCAGGCACGTCACGCCGTTCTCGTGCCCGCGGAACGTCTTTTGCGTGCACCGCCCGTACTTCCAGTTGGACCCGATCTTGAACCTGTCCCTGTAGACGTCCTTCCAGAACTTGCGCTCGCGCTCCGCCGACGTCCTCGTCGACAGTTCCTGCTGTTGTCGTTGTTGATGTTGCTGTTGCTGGGTCGAGGCGTCGGCAGAAGAGGTAGGCTCGCCGTCGCCGACCTTGTTGGTGCACCGCCGCTTGCTCGAGGCGTCGTCGTCCGCCAGCTCGCTCGCGTCCCGCTTGACGACGGGCGGGCTCGGCGACCGCGGCGAGAAGGGCGCCGGCACGGTGGGGGCGGCCGTCGGCCGGCGGTTCTTGTCCTCCTCCCGGGTGCGGTTCTTGTGCAGCTGCTGCTGGCGCTTCCAGTCGCGCAGCTTCTTGCGCTCGAGCAGCGGCAGGCCCCAGCCGCACTTTGTGCACTTGCGGTCGATGTGCTGCTCGCACATGCGGTGCCACACGTGGTCGTCGTCGGCGAGCTGGCGCCACTGGCGGCTGACCTGCGCGGCCTTGCAGAGGGAGACGGTGTCGAGGTAGCAGAGGATCTTGTACGAGATCTCGGCCGGCAGGGCGGTGATGAAGTCGATCTTGAGCTGGTCGTGGACCTCGCGGGACACGGTCGAGAGCTGCGGGAAGCAGCACTGCGTGATGATGCCCTTGAGCATCAGGTCTCTGTGCCTGGACGGGGCGGCCGAGAAGAGGGACCAGACGTGGGTGATGGCTTGTTGGTCGGCGGTGGGGAGTCTCTCGAGTTCCTTGATCGCAAAGAGCCTCTCTGTCAGTAACGAGGTTCTCTATAAGAACGTAGCAAGCTAGGGGAAATGTGAACAAAAAAAAGAGGAGACAAACATTCTGAATAGACACCATCTTGGACTCATCGGCGGCCCTCCGGCACTTGGAGTCCGGCCGGTGGCGGTAGCAGAACCTGCTGTTGACCGCATCTTTGTTCTGGGTTTTGATGCCGGAGGTTTCGGGGTTGGACTTGGCCAGAGGCGCATAGACCCTGGGGATGTGGTCCTTGAGGAAAGGGGTGACGGTGTGGCTGACGAGGGTGGTGGACATGTTGGGCAGCCTCGAGTGGTTTCCTTCTTCGGGCCGTCTCCTGTCGCAGTTGGTCTCCTTGTCGATCCTCTGCGCGCCTAGCTCGCCGGCATCGTGGTCGTCGGCAGGCGGTGTGTCGGGAGCGTTGTTGCTGCTGTTCTTTGCCTGCTGCGGTCTTTCTTGTTGTTGTTGTTGTTGGAGGTGGTGTTGGTGTTGAGGCTGGTTATGAAGGGCGGCGAGGAGGCGCTGGTCTATGTCGTGCTTGGTAGAGCTGTCATTCGTCATAAGGACGGAGCCATCCTGTCTCGAGGAGGCTGGCGGCAGTCGGGCGCTGGTATGAGCAACAGCAGTCCCGGAATGCCGGCGATCCATGATTTGATTAAGGAGTGGTGCAAGAAGGGGGCGGCGGGCCCTTTAGAGGAGAGGGAGGGAAAGACGCTGGGCAAGGCCAGGCCAGAACCCTGTCAGGTATCGCGTTGGTATAGAGTTCAATGACAACAGCGGCAGGGGGCGGTCAGGGCCATGGGAAACCACCAGCTTCGCTCGCTGGCGCGGCAGTGCAGAGGCAAGGACGGGACAAGAGGTGAGGTCAGATCCGGAGGTATGGCGTGCTGCCAAGGGCCAGCGGTTCGCAATGGGATTGGCAAACCCGGTCTCAAAGTGGTGTCTAGGACAGGATGGGGAATTCAGAAAAGTCGCCGAGATAGACTGGGCGGCGTAGTTCCAGAAGGGCTCTTTTCCCGGGCTAATTGCCTCGTAAAGCTGAAAGCTGAGGATGCCTCTGTGCAGCACCTGTGTTTCCCCACGACGTTGTATGTGAAGGGAAGGGGATATGTGCCCGCAGTTGGGAAGCAGGGTCGTCGTTGAGAGGCGTGAGTGGGAGTGTGAGTGGGAGCGGAGGTGTGAGAGTGCGTGTATGTGCGTGTATGTGCGAGAGACGAGTCCGAGAGAGGCAGTCGGGTCGGCGACGGTCCAGGATGGGGCACAGCATTCATTCATGAGACCCCGAAGGACCACCAAAGACCACCAAAGGCCACCAAAAGAGTGTCACAAGAGGAGCCTGAGATGGCGAAATCCGTCTTGGTGGAACTCAAACCAGGACGGCCCAAGGACAGCCTCGCGCCAGTACCTTAGCAAGCGTAGGTATTGTTTGATAATCCTCCTTTTGACGGAGGGATTGTTCGAGACCGCTCTCCCACAGTCGAGTCGTTGTCGCATGGTCGCCGATGGGCAATTTAGTGGTAGTTAATTGCGTTATCGCTCACTTTTTTTAGGCCTCGAGACTAAGCGAAAACCCAGTCTTCTGGACGCCCCATCTGTTAGGATCGGGAAGTGCCCGACGTGGCAACTTGGGTGGGATGGCGCCATTCGCACTAACAATTCAGCCATGCTCGCCACCCCCACCCGTCATATCATGTCACGGGGGATTAGCTGGTCCCAGGTGGCACCTGAAGTCCCTGGAATCCCTGGAGCTACTCCGTAAGGCGGCGTCGCTAGGCCCTCCCCTCCCCGCCTTTTCAGCGGGCTCTCTCGCCTCTAGCCACTGCAAAATGCTCCATCCAGGGATCACCGACAGCCTCCCCGACACCCTACGCGACAGCCTAAGATCCGGCTACCGACTCCCGGCATGTCCACAGGTCCACCAGGGCGTTTTCCCCCATCTTTTGCTGCTTGGCTGGTGTTGCATTTTAGGTATGGACCTGGACCCAGATCGCAAAGGAAGGGTGACAAGCTTGAGAAGCCTCAGAACCAGCTGGACGGGTCGGATGCATCTGCAGTGGGAAGAAGAGCAACAACCCGCGCCCGCTTCTCCAACCTGCGAGCTGCCTTCAAGGTTGCTTAGTATGCCGCCTGATAAGAAAATCAGCACCAAAGGTCGCATTGCATCCGCCCTGCTTACATTGACCCGGCAGGATATTGACCTTGGATTGCAATTGGAAGGACAGCCAGCCGCTTCTGTACACCAAAAGGGCTGACGAGAATGACGCCACTGATAAGAGACCTGGATATGAGCACAGTAGCGCCGAGATGGCACAGCACACATTGAACTGCGATTCATCGAAACAATCCATCTCTCGAGCAGGTAGCATAACTAATGTACATATTCTCGACTTACATGATAGCTGGGTATCCTTTCGCGCGTGCACAAGACCAGACAGACCCCTTGCGCCCGCCCATAGAAACAGCAAGAAAAAGAGACACAAACAGGCACTTTATCAACTCCCCCTGTCGGCGTCCTTCTTGGCGTCGAGGCAGATGCACATGGCCACGACGAGCGCCATGTCGACGCCCGGCATGATCTCCACGGCGTACGTCTGCCCGCCCATCAGCTCCCGCCCGACGTTGCCCCCGAACTTCCTGCTGATGCGCGCCACCGCCACGCCCTTCTCGTCCTCGATGTCCGCCGACCGCGACGCCCAGTCGCCCTTCATCAGGAGCGTGCGCGCCCGGCCCGACCGGTCCGTGAACGACACGTCCGCTTTGCTGCCGATGACTAGAGTAACGTTCAAACTGTCAGTTTTTTTTTCTTTTTTCTTTTTTTTTTTTTTGTATATCCTAACTGTCGTGGGTCAACGTACGTGAGAAGTGGCTCTTGACCTCGAGAAGCTTGGTCCCGCTCGGGTCGACGGCCGCGTACGTCGCGTGCAGGTGCATGTGCTCCTTGACAATGTCAAACAGCGGCGCGTTGGTCGCCGCGTCCGTGACCGACCGCCGGCCCTTGAGCGACATGGTCTTGCCGTCCACCCGGAAGAGCGGCGCCCCGCCGCTGGGGCCGGCGCCGAGGAGCGTGATGTCGGCGCTGCCCCCCGAGAGCGACATGATCTTGTCCTGCAGGACTATCGTCTCGGGCTTGCGCGCGATGTACTGCGGGAAGATGCCGAGCTCTGCTGCCATTGTGTTTGTGGTTTTGTGTTTGTTGTTTTCCGTCCTGTAGTTTGTTTTGCGTTCGATGATGATGATGATGTGTGTGTATGTATGAGTGTGTGTGATGTGTATCGTCTATCCGAGGAGGAAGAACTGGATTTGCAGGTAGGTCCTCTTGCTCTTAAAGACAGTTCTGCCTCGATGCTCTTAAAGGTGAATGTGAAGTGCAGTAAGACGTCCAACACAACGAGACGTCATCCCATGCCATATATAGACGTATTGCGAAGCTCCTGCATGCTGCTCTGCTGACAGGTTGTCCCATTTGGGAAACAAGAGGTAGCCCGGTGCTGTCCCTGCCACACTTGAGGTGACGACATCAGACATCAGGGTCCGGAGAGTGGATGTCTGGTTGGCTTGGCGGAGGCTGAGAAGCGCCGATCCAGCGAACCAGGCCCGGCCGTCAGCGCCCAGACTTGTGGGGGAGTGCGGCCTGGCTAACCGAACGGCCGCCCATTTCCCACCAAGGCGTTCTCGGCCAGCTCTGGTCTCGTTGTCCATAGACGTGCTGCACTCGTTCTAGATGCTAGAAAGCGAGGTGGCTTGTGAGATATCGACAAAACGGCTCGCCAGAGCCTGCACTGCCGGCCACAGCCCTGCCGATCCCTCCCGGGGTGTGCTCCGTAAAAAGCTTGTTCTCCCGCTTCGTTGGGCACGGGAACGAAGCATAATATCTGCGGGCACATACATACACACTGAGAATACAATGCAGAATCGTGATTGCGTCCAAATTTTGTCTCCGCCCTCAGTCTATTCTGGAAAGGAGTCTACAACACATCAACCCAGCAACGGCACGCTGGGCGCAGCATCCGTCGCAGGCCTGTCCGCGTCGAAATCAAACCTGTCCGGGATGCGCAGCCCCTCGCGCGCATAGTTGGAGCTCAGGTACCGCATCAGCGGCGCCCCGTCCCGCCACAGCCACAGGTCGCCCGTCTGCCGCTGCCACGCCTCCAGCGCGGCCCTCATCTCCGCCAGCGGGCCCGCGTGCTCTTCCTTGCCGGCCAGGTTGTCCAGCTCCAGCGGGTCGGCCTCGAGGTCGAACAGCTCCTCCGGCGGGCGGCAGATGTAGTTCCGCAGCGGCCGGGGGCCGACCATGGCGGGCCTGCCCCCGTCGGCGGCGGCGCTGCCCGAGTTGCGCATCCCCTCCCACGACAGCGAGGCGTAGAGGTCCATGGCGAAGGGGAAGTCGAGCTTCCAGCACACGTTGCGGTGGTACTTGTACCGCCGGTCGCGCATGAACCGCGTCGGCCAGTAGTTTGTGATCTCGTGGAACGTGTGCGAGCCGAAGACGCGGTCCCAGCCCGGCGCCGGCGCCGCGCAGTTGAGCACCGGCAGCACCGATCTCCCGAGGCGCTTCGGCGCTCCGGCCGGCGGCGGGTCCGAGGGCTTGTCGCTGGCGCCGGCCCAGTCGAGGAAGGTGGGGAGGATGTCTATGTAGGATACTAGCTGTGGGTTTCTGCCCCCTGGTGTTGAGGTGCCTGGCGCGCGGAGGAGAAATGGCAGGCGGATGCCAGGCTCGAAGAGCGTCGTTTTGGAGTTGAGGAACGGCGGGCCGTTATCGCTGATGAATAACACAAGAGTGTCGTCGGCCAGGTTCTCGCGCTCAAGGGCATCAAGAATGAGCCCTATGCCCTGGTCCATACGATAGATCGAACGGTAGTATTCCGCAAACTCCTGTCGGACTTGCCGGATGTCGCTGAGAAAGGATGGAACATTGATCTCCTCCGGGCTGAAGATACGATCTTTCAATCTCGGGTCGTAGTTCCCATCGACATTGCCAAACCCTCCACGGGTCTGTAGCTGTCTGTGGGGGTCGACAAATCCTACCGTCAGGAAGAAGGGTTTCTCCTCCTCCTTGGTCGAGCGGAAGAACGCTTCAGCCCGGTCCGCAATGGCCGCGACGTTCCGTGACTCGCTCTCCTCTCGCACCTGCCAGGGGTATATGCTGTCGGGGCCGACATGGATCTTGCCCAGTATCCCCGTCTTGTAACCCAGATTATTGAACAGGAGCGGCGCCGTCTCGACGTTGGAAAAGGTCTGAAAGCCGTTCTTCCCATGGCACAGGCCGTAGTTGCCATTCTCATGGGTGTGCGTTCCCGTGTAGACCACAGTCCGGCTGCCGCTGCACGAGGCTGTGCTAGTGAAAGCGTAGTCAAACTGCGTGCCGGCAGCAGCGAGGCGATCTAGGTTGGGGGTGATGTCGACCTCGGCGCCGTAGCAGCTCATCTGCTCGCGCCCGAGATCGTCCGCAATGAGCAGCAGGATGTTCTTGGATGGCGCCATGGTAGTCTCTTCTGGCGTCTTGGAATGTACAGAAAGAAGGAGAGACTAGCGGACAAGGGGCAAGGGGTAGCACGCGAGGTAACGTGCCTGGAGAGAAGGTTAAGGGTTGCCGAGGAGCACTTTTATGTGACGGCGGCATGGTTGCGGAAGCCGAGCGCGGGGCGCAGGTGCACAAAGTGAGCAAGGGCCCCGAGAACTGCAACGATATATTGGCTCTCTTGTCTAAAACTGGATCGTTCCATCCAATGAAGTGTTCGGCCATGCACCCCATATGCTCGGGGCTTCCGCCGCCATCTCGGGGCTCCGCCCTCGGCTCCCGCCTCGCAACCCGTTGTTTGTGGGGTACATAAACCATTTGCCAATACGCAGATCATAACTTGATGACCGTTACAACTCATATATAGGGGTTGCACCGTCCTATTCTTCTTTTTCTCTTGACAGTTGGTTTCTCAAACCAGTCCTCCACTGTCGTAAAGTCGCAGCCATGTTCGGACTCAGTCATTTGGCGCTTCGCCAAAGCTTCAACACGCGGCTGACGCTCGCCGTGCTGCTGATAGCGATCTCGCAATTCAACTTTGGATTCGACCAACAGGGCTTCGCCTCAACCCAGGCGATGGATGCCTTTGCCCGCAAGTTTGGCGACTGGAACCCCCAGAAGAAGGTCTGGTTCCTTGAACCCTCCTGGGTCGCGATGTTCAACGGGTTCAATTACATCGGACAGGCCACAGGTGAGTCGAAGTTTCTGCCTTTGAAGTAGGAGAATACTAAAGAAAGTTTTACATTTTTTCTCATTTAGGGGTCGTCATCGGCAGCTACGTCAGCAAGCGTTTTGGGAGACGAATGTGTGTCTTCTGTATGAGCATCTGGGCCATCGTTGCGGCTACGATCGTTATCACTTCGAAGAACCGAGACCAAATACTGGCGGCGCGTGTGCTCAACTGTACCGGATCAATACAGTCTCCGTCATACTATGGAAAGGGCTAACTGGCAATAGACATCTACATCGGCATGGAGCTTTCTGTTGTGCCAGTCTATCAGTCTGAGGTCACTCCGCCCAAGGCTCGAGGCTTCATTGTTGGCACGTATCAAGTCAGTCTATACGTAAGTGAACTGGGAGAGCCGCAATCGATATCTGTACGGTTGTGCTAATGCACGACTTCAGCTTGGAGGGCTAATCATCAACATCATCGCTCGCGCAACTGGTTCCCTCAAGGATGATAAGGCCTTTCTCATCCCCTATGGACTGTTTTACGTCGTCCCAACTTTTGTCGCTGCATGTGTCTGGTTCATCCCAGAGGTAAGCAGAGAATGCCACTTTCTAACGCTTATATCGTAACAACTACAAAAGGCTAACATATTACTCAGTCTCCCAGATGGCTAGTGATGAAAGATAGACGAGAGGACGCCCTCAAATCTCTGCACCTCCTCCGAGATGGCAAATTCACCGACGAAGAGATAATGGCGGAATTCGCACATATTGTTGGCGGAATAGAACACGAGCAAGAGAAGGGTAATTTCAGGAGCATCTTCCGGGGAGCACAACTCAAGAGAACGGGCATCGTCATTGGAGCGAATATTTTCCTTCAGGTACGTGATTGTAGCTGGGTCGATTTGAGTTCCAGCTCCAGCACTAATCACGATTACTACAGTCCACCGGGCAACTCTTCACTTCTATCTACGGAGCGCTGTTTGTCAAGTCCCTCGGCACGATCAACCCGTTCAATGTTACCATCATAATTGCTGTGGTCAACCTCTGCACATCCGTTCTGGCAATGGTTCTCACTGATAAGTTAGGACGAAGGTACTATTTCATCGCTGACCGAATTGATATGTGCGGGCGCTGATCATTATCTCGACAGGTTTCAACTTCTCGTGGGGGCTAGTATTCAAGTTGCGTCCCTGATTACTATGGGTGGTTTGGGTACTCCAGCCTCGCCATCTAACGGGATCAAAGCGGGCATTATCGCCATGATGGTAGTGTCGACCTTTGGGTACTCTCTCGGTTGGGCACCCAGCGCACACATCCTGAGCGCTGAGATCCCAAGCACTAAATCAAGAGACATGACATACCGGACAGCATCCGTCATTAACATTGCCGTCCAGTTAGTACAACTCCTCCATCTTGCCTGATCGACAACATTGACTCTTGATTAGGTTTGCTGTGTCCTTCTCCATACCGTATCTACTCAACGCTCCTTATGCGGCGCTCGGTTCCAAAGTTGGCTTCATATTTGGCTCCATCGCTTTTGTCTCTATCATCTTTATCTACTTTTGCGTGCCGGATGTGTCCGGGCGTTCGTTGGAAGAAATCGACTGGCTCTTCGAGTCTCGAAAGCCACTGCGCAAGTTTCGGGGTCTCAAGTTGGGCACAACTCCAGCTACCGCAAACAAAGTCGAAGAGGAAGATGCACCCGACTCTGTCCACGTCGACCTAGAGCAGAAATGAATACTTTGAAGAGGAGGGTCAAGAGATTGTCAACTAGTTTATGTCACTATGCAGTCCAGTGATCTCTCATGTGGTCTTTTTATTGTAGCCTGCCAATCAAGTGAAGAAGAATCTTAGGGGACCGTTCCAGGAGGCATGAATGGCATTTGATAGTACCGAGCTTCTTCGTGCCAACGCTTGCTCCAATCGTGGGCTTGAGGCCAAGAATCTGTGTGGGTTAGTCTGTTCGTCTGTGAGAAAAACCACGTACCGTGGCGAAGAACCTCTCTGCTCGAGTCAGAGAGTGAATTGCCCCACCTCTTCGAAACTGTACCTGGCTAGGTGTCAAAACTTAAGTCTTACCCAGGTGACTACTTGATTTTAAGAGAACTCGGTCTCCCCACACTGCCTAGCTTCTTGACGCAACAATCATCGGGTGCAATCGCAGCCCCTTGAATCTCAGCATGGACTCCTCCAAGCATAGCAGCAGGCGGTCCCCATACATTTGCGGGCAATGTCGAAATCGCAAAGTCCGATGTGATGCGAAAGGGCCCTGCTGCGGACAGTGCTCGCGGCTCAAGCTCCACTGCTCGTTCGCCGAATCCGGAAGCCCAACACCAATCTCGCTTTTGCGCCATCGCGTGAGGCACGCGTGCTTGCGCTGCCGGGCGAGGAAGGCTCGCTGCAGCGGTGACAAGCCGATATGCCAGAGGTGTAGGCTGAAGGGTTCAGACTGCGTCTATGCAGACTTGGACCAACCATCATCAGTCATCGAGATGTCGCCAGACACCACACGCGTTGCCGGCATGACATCCATGCCAATGCCAACTGCCGCTTTTGAAGACGACCAGTACCCTTCGGGAACGGCCATTAGCGAAGCGATTGATAACTTCTTTCGTCACGTACATTATATTCCGGTCTTCTCATTTCTTCACCAAGCATCAATCGTCGAGAGGCATCGTGCCGGTGACCTGGAGGCGCCTCTTGCTCTCGCAATCGTCGGCTTGACAGCCTTGATGCTAGGTATGAGCGACGACCTGGAACAGTTGTCTCCTCGGTATATCGATGTGGCCGAAGACCTCATCGTCAAGGATCGTGAAAGCCCCAGTGTTTGGAAGGTTCAAGCCCTCATCCTGATCATCAAGTATCGAGCTGCTTCCCGCCAATTCACGGCTGTGTTCATGTTGATAGCTATAGCTGTCAGGTTCGCAACCGCCCTGAGGCTGAACTATGAGGATCAGAAGATGCCATTCCTTGCCCGAGAAGAGTGCCGAAGGGCGATGTGGTCAGTGTACATGATCGACACAGTTCTGGCCGGTGGATACCAGGATTTCACTCTCTGCCCCGAAGAGATCCTGCATATACAACTGCCTAGTCACGACCGGAACTACAAGCTGGACATTCCTCAGACCACCCAAGACCTTCACAGGATGACTGCCAGAGCGGCAGAGCCTGACCTGGGCTCGCTTGCTTTGGTCATCCGTATGATGAGCCTCCGTCAAAAAGTCTTGCAGTTCACCAAGCGGGCAGCAGTGTCATCACCACCGGGGCTCGAGATCAGCATCCATTCCTTACAGAAGGAGCTCGATGGATACGTCTTACAACTGCCAGCCGCGTTTCACTTTACGGACAAGAACGCTCGGCTACATGCATGCGCCACGAGTTTACCGGCTTTTGTTACAGTACACATGACCTTGTTAGGAACGCACTACATTCTGTACCGACTGTTCATCAAAGGGCTCAAAGAAGCACTTCCGGATGCTGTTCTTGGTCAACTCGATCCCGACTTTATTCGAAGCTGTCATCAACACTGTCTCCAGGGCGTCAGGCGAATGATAGAGATTTTCCGAATCCTCCCGACACTCACAAGCCAACCAACCATCCTCGATGCTGACATGGCTGTGACTGTGTATCAGAGCGTCAGGATGCTACTTTATCTGCATCATAACTTGCCGGACACGGTTTCGCAGAGTGAAATGCTGGACGGCGTATGGGTGAGTCAGGGCTTTCTCAGCACAATGTTCTTTGAATGCGAGGCCGTCAGATTCATAGTAAGCAATTAGCCCCATCCGTCCGGGTGTTAACGACCTTTATTGACTGGACTCTGTCAAAGCGTCGGGACCTCGCTGAACTCATCAACCGGGGTGGCTCACGCCCAATCACTCCAGACCCTGATAACCTGGGCATGGGCACGGGGACGCAGGACCAGGTCCTGATTTCTCCTGCAGACAAGGCGCCTCATATCTTATCAAGGCACAGCTTCATAGGACAGATGCATGCTGCATCCAAGAATCGCATCCAGACTCGCCTATCTACCAGAACCGCTCTCAGCTCCCGTACTGGGACTCAGACCAGGGGCGGGGCTTCCGGCGGTGCTCGGGAGCCTTTGCGCGCGCACGATCAAATATCTTCCATCCCTACACCAATTCCTCAAAATAGCACTGGGATCACAACAAGTGGATATGGTGACGAGGACGCAATGAACAGCAGTCTGTTCCCAAGCTTACCCGATCTTGGGTTGCTTCAATTCGAGGGAGACTCCTCGATCTGGCTGCCCAACTCTCTATTTGATACTCACGACGGATCACTATTACAGTGAACAGATCGGGTATCGCGTCGGGAAAAGATCAGGCACGCTGTGATGTACCAGCATTGGGGCGTGCCCGACAGGAGACCAGATTTAGAGCTGGGCCATTTAATGATCCCAGCAAAGGATGTGTCTCCTCCAGCTTAGCCGTTTCACCAGTGGGAAAACAACAAAAAGCAACGATCAACTTGCGGCGACTTCCGACTGCTGATTAATTTCGTTGGCTGCCTGCTTATGCTGATCTGGGATGTGGCTTGTTTCCAGGGAACTGGAGGCTTGACCTCGCTTACCAGTAAGCCACATGAGAATGAGCGGGAGCTGCCTCGCTGCATGCAGAATACAATGCCTTTTTGTTCTTGAATAAGCCATGATTGTCTTCAGTGGGGGAGATTGACCAAGAATGGACAAGGATATGATTGATCAAGGCTGATCTTCTCGCGGCAGCACCCCTGTCCCCTACCCCGATGATCACCGACCACTCTCCTTGTGGTTGGGCAGGTTCTGCACCTGCAAGCCTCGACCAGGGTAGCCGGAACATGAAAGGGCAGCATCCTATTCGTCCACAGTCTGAAGTTCTGCTCAAGCCCGTCACACGACAGGACATAGCAACAGGGCACGCTCAGGGTGTCACTGCAGCTCGTCGGATGTTCAGCGCGGTGCCAAGTGGGACGGAGGCGGTACCAGCTACCCGGTAAAGAGAAACAGGGCGAGGAATTCCTTCGATGGCGAAGCCGTTTTTCATCTTGCAGATCAGGCGAAAGAGCTGGAATCCGCATCCTGTAGGATAATTCCGATTAATTGAACTTGCGCGGTCATGCACAGACCGGGGGTCCTTCAGCCGCATATCCGTTGCAGAGAGCCTATTATGCTCGCACTTTGAGACATCAGTGCGTAATATTCTAGAAGTTGTACCACCGAGGGCTACTTGCCATCGGCGTCGGGCCCCCAGCGGACATTGGAATGTGCCGCTCTCGTGATACTTCGAGCCTCTCGTAGCCAACAATGCAACACCACAGGGTCCCAGTGCAACGGTAGCGAATATTCGCTAATCTATGTAGATCCTTGTTGTCTCAGTCTGTTGTCGCATTCGGACACATGTTGATTATATCTTGTCAAAACCCGTGCGGTTCGCGAGATCGACTGCAAATGACCACATACCCACCCCATTGCCAGTGTGTGAGAACCTGCGGTCGCAACCCATCACGACGCCCATGTCCACTTCTCAACAACGAATCATCACTGCTTGCAAGATTGGTGCCGCAAAACCGGTTCTCGCGTTTCCGCGGCATGCAACGCATGCATGTACCTCTCAATTTGTGAGGTCATTGCAGGATGCGGGACAGGAAAGCTGACTGGTCCTTTTTACCGGCTCGAGCTCCAGCGGCGTCAGCCACAGAAAACGGTTGTTTTTGAGAGCTCGGATCTAAACACAAAAAGTTGACCTTTCTGAACCCACTCAGCTGTGGCAGATCGAGAGTTGCAGCAGGGTCCATGAAGATCGGAACTAATCATGCAGGGATCTGAATGAAGCTGAAAAGCCCCACATCTCAACTGCCTCCCTGCGTTGTGACGAGCCCCTGGTACTGGTCCCTGGTCTTTAAAAGTCCCTGTCTCAAAGGCCAGTTGATAAATGGGTGTGGGCCGGATAATGCAAGATCCGAGCGTCTTTGGCCAGAAGATATTGATTTTGCTTTTGCCATCACCACGATATAGAACAGGGCATATGAATGGATGTATCGTTTTTCTAGTCGGGCTGGTGTTCGGAGAAACAAAGCTCTGATGATGGTTTCAAGAGGGAGCGCCAACCATGGCCCCCTGTCCTGTTTAGTAAACATATGCAGAACCTGGTACCAACGTCATTCTCTCTCTATTGAAAATACAGAACCTGATCATATCGTGGACCCGGCATGCTGGTTCTGACGTGACGCCGCCTCCTAGTTTGTGAAGCTCCTCATTTACCGTGATCCAAGTGCAAGTAAACTTTACTCTGAACTGGCCCTGGCGTCCCACTCCCCCTTGGCGGCCACAGGTGGGGGATACCCTCGCTGTGGCTCCACAGGATAAAGCATATATGATACTGTTGTTCGCAAGCGCTCAAGGAACTTGAGAGGGAGCTGTGAAGACCTGGCCCTCTAATTCTGCCAATGAGAGTCTCCACCGGGTCCTGGTAAACTGTTTTCGAAGCATCCCGGAAAGTCGGCACCCGCGAGGGTAGCGGGATTCACCGGCCTCTGCACAACCTTCTCTCTACCCGTATCTTGCCACTTGGAATTTGGAATTCCTCGGGGCAATATCTCATATTTGGCCAGCACCGATCGACTAGACTACGATCTGCGGGTACACCAGGGGCAGCTGCCGGGGAAGTACCACATTCACTCGGATCCGTACTAGTCTATGCGGAAGCAGCCAGAGGTACGATCGCCGTCGACTAGCTTGTTTTTATGTACACTTCCTAATTTGGTGTAGTGATTGATCGCTAGGTGTCCAAGCTTAGGGTCATGGTTGCGTGACGTGCTATCTCGATCCTAGCGTTCAGTTGCTTGCCCTTGAAAGTTGATGACAAGCCCTGGCCTTCCTATTCATCAGACTGAGACCGGAGCGAGATCCTTGATCACACTCTACTCTTTGAATCCATACTGCGTCTTAACTGCGTCAGGGCTAATAACGAGGCTTGGGATTCCTTCCTCTTGGCACCAAAGCTGAACAGACCCGGGAAGTGATGATTCCATCCGTTCTAGGTCGAGACAAAGTGGCGCTTCTGGCCCGGCCGCGACTACCGAAAGAACTCTTTGCGATGATTCAGCTGTTACCTCATAAATTCACTGGTGTTACACCTCGATTAGTGCAGAACTGAGGCTCAAGACCAGTATATAAACTCTTTCATGAACCTAACAGAAGGGGATTTGTTATCTCCTCTCAGACAGCCTGCGACAAATCGGATACAAGCAAGTATCAACTTCAACGGCTTTACACTCTCAGACTTACCCTCCCATACCACCACGATCACCACCATGGCTTCCATTGTGGTTGAACCCCCTTCGACCGTTACGACGGGAACGCAAATGTACCCACCAGTAGTAGCCCGCATTCGTATTTCGGGCATCCAGGATGGCGGAGCATACGTCTATGGCCAGGCAATTCTTCTCGACGGCGCCGGCAACGTCCTGGCTAACCAGCTGGGCGGCACCGTTGTTGTCACTCCGACTGTTTTAGCTGATAGCAGTAGCCGTCGTGGCGGAAGCAGCAGCCGCAACAACAGCCCCACGTCGCTTTACTTCGCCTTTCTCGACCTTAGCATCGCCTGGCCCGGAGTGTACAGCATACGCATCGACATCCACATGCTCGACTACAACGATGCACAGGGTTCGCGATATCTGGCTTCGGCCGAGACCCAGACTATCACGGCGCTCGACGAGTCCGTTGCGGTTGGTCGACCTTGTGAGTATCCGGCATCATTCTCTCCTTTCCAGATCAGAAAGGCTAATAGGTTCTCTAGCTCAATCCGAACGCGACATTATCCGTCGCCTTCAAGGTGCTGGCGTTCCCATTCCCAGCTGATAAACTACCCAATTTCAATGTCTCGATTCCCCGGTCTTGCCATAGAGGCACGCAGGCAACTGCTGGAGGGGTTACTTTGTTTGTTGCAGCGTTTTGAATGCTTTTGGTCACTGAAAGAAGCTGGCGTCTGCTCAGCGATGGCTTTCAGCGCTTTGACTCTTGCGGGAAATCAGCGTTACTTTTGGTCCTAAATAGTTTTATAATCATAATTACATGCATTCATGTCTTTGACCACTCGTAACACTTTACACTGAAAGGCTTCATTCACAGGTGATATCACTGTTTAATAGCCCTTAACACTTGGAGCTTTCTACAAGAAGATCTTGCACAATGAATAGAAGGGTACCCTAAACATGAGACTCCCTTAGCCGTTTTGGAAACCCCTACTATGTTTTCTCGCAAACTTGCAAACTGCCAAGTGACCCAGTCGCATCCGACGATGTCGTTTGCTAATGCACGGATCACATTTGTGCCATGCGTCAGGCGGCTCAGCCGTCGTCACACACGATGAGCAGCTCCGCGTCGAAATTCCCGAGAATCATCGGCATTCCCTCTTTGCTTCTTTTCGGTCCTGTCCCACGGACCGCCAACCACAAGCACACGGCCCCACGTCATGTCAAGCCACCACCCACACATCACACTCCGCCGATCTTGGCCAGAAAACGTCAGCCCAAGGCTGTGGAATTTGGACCCTGGTAGCTACCAAGAACCTGGTAAGAATGGCCGATGACGCTGGAGGAGCGCACTTGAAAGCCCACAGCCAGCCACTGACGAGCGAGCAGTGTCATGCCTATCGTGTAAAACTGCCCCTCTGGCGCAACGGCTTCTTCGTCATTCGCCGAGGCGGGGCAGAACTTCTCGGCTTCATCAAGTTCCGGTCACTTGGACCACCATTTGTGTCTTGGCAATATGAGGAATGCTCATCCGATAGGTCTTGAAGAGTCTGCGATGACAGGGCGCCCAGTGCCGTGTGCAAGGGTGCAGTGTCCAAAGCGGAGATACTTGCGAGGCACACACGGTGTTCATCCGATTCTTTTGGGGCGTTCACCGACCTAGGAGAAGTGTATCTTCCATCTTCTTTGGTTCACTCTGCCTACCGGACATTGAGCTATCCGAGATAGGGCGATGCAACCAGGGTCCTGATGATCCTTGTTGACAAGAGGCTCTTGCCGATTGGGCGCCTCCTTACCAATAACATCTCCTCTGTTACAATCACCGGGCCAGTTCCCCATGACTTGAAACTAATGGACTGCTGATCACCAGAGCCTGATGGGGCTGCCAGTCTCCAAATACGCCATTCGCGATATTTTGATTAGTGATCGTGCCGAAATGGCACGAAACGACACACAATCCATTGTTCTCTGTTGGCAGCCATTTGCCACTTTCTTCGGAAGCGTCTCCGGTCTATTTCATCCAGTCATTTCGATACAGCGAAATACATGACAAGGCGGACGGGGACTGGATTGGCCCCGATTCCACACTCCACTTACCCGACAACAGGGGTGGCGCACGCGTCTTGGAATAGACACGTACTCACACCTGTCTCTTTGTGAATAGGTGTTCTTTGTTAAGAGGGCTTCTTAATCTCAAGGAGGTTTTGAGAACTGGCAACATCGTAGAATTCAACTCGACAAAGGGAAAGGGAAAGGGTTCTGACAGTTTTAGAACTGGAAGATGCATTGGATTTCACCTCGACAGCAAAAATGAGCTCCGTTCTTGTGGGCCAGCCGCTGGAGGGTTAGCTCTCAACATCTTCCAGGACTAAGGAGTGCCTGTGTAGTTACAGGGGTACGGAGATCAGGTGCATAGCCAGGTCAGGAACACGGAGCATGAATGATGCATACCTCCATCTATGCACCCTGGCACTTTCTTCGTGATTTCCTTCAACGGTGACCAGTCATCATATTTCATCTTTATCACGTGGAACAAGACGCTCATTGTCAGTGTCATGTACGTTTTTTTTTTTGGACAATGTGAAGCTAATTCCAGAACACTATGCAGGACAAGACTAAGGAAACAACAGGTGAATAGCAGATAAAAGCAAAAGAGAGAGACCTTAGTGATACAGTGAATGATAGGAGAATCCGACAAGAAAACTACTCAACTTCCATCCTCGGAAGGGAGTGATGCTGGTGATGTAGGGGCCCGTATGCTTCAATCGTGGGTGATCACCGATGTGGTACCCTTGAGATGCTTGGTCTTCTTGTTGTAGATCGGCCAGCAAATCTCGCCCTTGACCGTCTTCCCACTGCAAGTACCGGAGCCTGTAGAAATAGTGTACATCAGCACGCGGAAAGGCCTGGATTGTGAAACGAGAAAGACAGGATGGCAACTCACCGACGGTGCACTTGAGAGTCGAGGTAAAGCCGATCGATCCGCTCTGACCCTCTTCGAGGTTAAAGGTGTAGCCCGTGTTGTCGCTCTTCTCCTCTGTCTCCTCCTGCGTGATGCTTGCGCCGAGCGACAGGATGTCGGCAACACCTAGGTTCATGCCGGAGCTTTGCGTCCACGACTGCGACCTCGTCGTCTCAATCTTAACTTGGCCGGGTCCCGTCGCCTCATCAAGCACGATCTGGACGTTGTTGGCGGGCCTGGTGTAGTGATCGGTCTGCTTCCAGTCACCGTCGCACTTGCCCTTCTTCTTGCGCTCCTCGATGGCGCGCGGCACCGCCGTGGGGATGTCTGCGACCTCGTCGGGCTCGATGACGGTGCCGTTCGCGTCGTGGAGGTAGAGGCCGCCGGCGCCGCGGGCATCGAGGGCGCGGACGTAGCGAAGCTTGGAGTTGTCGCCGTCGTCGTCGCCGATTCCGGCATCCACGCACTTCTTGCCGCAGCAGTACTGGACCATGAAGGTCTTGTCCAGGTCCATCATGGCGCACGCAGCGTGCGAGAAGCTGGCCTTGAACGTGCCGCAGGCTAGCTTGGTGGTGTCTGCTGGCGAGCGGACGATGATCTGGCAGTCCTTGTCGGGCTGCGCCACGTCGAGGTAGACCTTGTGGCCGCTGAGAAGGGTCAGGCAACGTGCCTTGAGGGAGGAAGCAGGCTGGGCATGCGGAAGGTTGACTTACCCGCCCTTGGAGCCACTGAACCCTTGGCCAGGGAAGATGTTCTTTGACTGATACACGACGCACTTGGGGAAACCCGTGCCTCTGCTACCGAGTTGAACAGGACACTTTGAGCACTTGCTCTCGGTGCAGAAGTTGAAGGTATCAGTTGCTGCGGACACTGTTTGCAGGACCAATGCAGCCATGGCCGCGGTAGATGTGAAGGAAGGCATTTTTGCGGATGAAGCTGAGAAGCTGTGCTATTTCAGTTTGATGTAGTTGGTGAATGTTTTGGAAAAGAGTTTGGAGTGTGAAGATAAAGTTGTTGATGGTGTGGTGTGGTTTGTTTCCAAGTCGCCCCCAGACTCGACTCCCGCCCTCTACTTATACTCGAAACAGTCAATGTCTGTCGTAGAATGGCGAGGCTTGAGAAACTTTGATGTTTGACATCACCCAGAAGATCCATTAGCATCTTTGGTCGTTCTGATCTGCATCAGTATCCAAGACATAGCTATTCTTGGACAATGATTGCAAGGGTCGATGGACTGCTTTGACCTCAGCTTTGAGTTGGAAACGTTCATATCCTATGATGTTACTCTGAAGTCATAACTGAAAATAGAGCTCTGAGGTCAAAAGTCTCGTGCACTGACGGAATCATAGTTTCGGTTTAATAAGCCTAGATAGACGATCAACATATCAAGCAAAGATGTCGCGTGCTGGCGGAAGTAATGCGGCTCCTTACGGCGACTACGCCGCGTAGATCCATACAAGACAAGGTTTGTTGAAGTAAGCTTTTTGTAGTAGCGAGTGATTGTCACAACGCCTTAGTAGCGGCTGAATCTCGATGGTTGACATATATCGTCACCGTTTGCGGCACAGTTATCCATTTCCCCCTGAGGGGCTGGAGTAGGGTTGCGTTAGGACGTAGACGCGCCGCGCGGGAATAACGCAAACACAAGCGCCGGCTACGTTGAACATCGACTGCACGTTTCAATAGCTCATCCCAGCAGACTGTTCCGCTGTGACGATTTCGGACGAGCAAAATAGACACAACGATGGCTGAAGTGGGCAAATTACATCAGCCTGGGCCCACGTCTGTGAGTTTAATGACCAATGCCGATCGTTGGACTGGTGAGAGGCAGAGAAAAGAAGCATAATTATGCGGGTCTCTGAGGCGAACCAGGCTCAACTCAGAAAGGACCGAGCCGCACCGAGGCCAACTCCACTCGCTCGACGAGAATAGAAACATTTGATGCGTTGGGCAGATCACCAGCCCATTGTACGGCACGGTCACAGTCTCTCATATTATGACGGTGAGTGGGATGAGGTTTGGGGTAGCAACCGCGATGCATCAAATACCGATTGCATCATCACTGGCACAGCGCTTCTCTTGCATTGCCGCCGCAGTGGCTCATTGCACAACGTACAACGTACGTCGGCTTCTGAATCGCGCGCTTGACGTCAATACAACCAGTCCCTACACGCCGCAAAAGACATGCAACCGTTGCACCGAGTGAGCTCAGGAAGGCGAGCCATACTCACCAGGATCACTGCTTTGATCGTGACGTACTGCGCAGCTCTTATTGAAGATCGGATCTCCATCTCCCCTTGGAATATTAGTTTCTATTCTCGGCAACAGAGACTTTGTGTGTATGACTGGAGCGCTCACGATGAGCGAGATGGGTTGCGGGATGGGGGCTGACGGAGGAAAGAGAGAAATATAAAGAGCACCATGGTTGCCCCGATATGAGACGAACAGAAGACCATCAATCACATCATCACAACAACAACAACCAACTCAAGACCGCTCACAACCCTCAACACATCAATCTTATCACAGACTTTGATTCTACATTCAAATCTCGCACACCCACCATTCTAAACACTGCCAAAATGAAGTTCACCGCTGTGGCTCTCGCTTCCCTGTCCCTCTTTGGGTCCACGCTTGCCGTTGATTCTTGGTATGTTGTACACAACAAAACGAAGTTCCTTAATTATTTCATGTGACCATGACTGATTGATCATGTAGGGAGATCTACTCTTTCCGAGGACCTTGCCCAAAGAGCGGGAAGATCAACAGCAGCGACAAGACTTGGGAACTTCTGACCCTTGGCGAGAAAGACATGAGCAACAACTGCCAGCCGTTCTGGGCTAAACACAAGGGCGACTCTGTCTCGGTCTTTATGAAGGGATTCGAGAAGTTGGGGAAAGAGATGGTGCTGTACACCAAGCCCAGCACCGGGCTATGCGAAAAGAACAACGAGATCCGAGTCTTTTCGGAGGATGGGTGCATCGCGATTCCTGACGGCGTGAGTTCTTACCAATCTGACGTCGAACAGTCGGACTTTGATGCTGACAAGCCATTCACAGTGGAACCCTGAGTACTTCTCGGTCCGGGACAAGAAGAAGAAGCGCGCTGAGGAGTTCAGTGCTTGAGGCTACGGGCCAGGGACGACCAAGCAGTGTTTGCAGGGCGGTATTTGACCAGTTTGCATATTTCAGTCTGATAGTTCTTGCGGGAGGAGGATTGTACGATGGACAAAGATAGGTATCCGAGGGAATCTGCATGTTTTTCACTGTTCTTCGTACTTGTGATGTTCCTGGACCTTTGAATGAGATGCAAAGTGAACACTGTTAGCGCAAGGGGTTTGTACCGGAATATTGAGAAATGGAGAGTAAAACGAATAGCTTCTCGGAAGATGCCGCAACGAGGCCCGGCACGTCTGTGTCTAATCGATGATGATGATGCAATCTTCGTTGGGCAGGGTTAGGGTTCTGGGCGGGATTCGTCTGATGTTTGTTTCGTGGTGGGGCAGGTGGGAAGTTGGAAGGAGCGATGAACCTCGCACGGTTGCCCGTGGTAGCCAGGACGACCCCAAACAGGCTTAGCGCCATGCCAAAACAAGGGGCCAGCGTCGCTCCCCCCCATAATAGCATAATGTCCTATCATCAACGAAAACAAGCGCCGATAGTGCGTGTGTGTATGTGTCGAGACAAGGAGGGCCGCCGTTTTCTCCATCCGCCTCCCCTCCTCTCCGCCATCGCCATCGCCCACCGCCGCAACACACGAGCCTGCGATAGCGCCCCCTTCGACACTCTGGGCCTCTTCGACATCGCTAGGTAGGCAGGTAAGTAAGTAATTTCGACAACTCAGGCGGCCACGACCACGAACAACGACGACAAACGGGGTCATCGACTGCCCCGAAACCACAAACGTTCCGGCCGACTCGTCATCCCCTTTCGCACGCGGAGGAGCAGCACTTGACTGTGTTGGTCGGCACCACTCCTCCCTTACTCCTTGGGCGGATATCTCAAAAGTATGCCGATGCCTCGCGCATGCGCAATGCTCTAAAGGACCTACTTGGGCATCTGTGTTGACCTGACCGACCGCAGGCGAAGCCGCAAGTCGCGCGACATCTTCACCAGAGCCACTGTCGACTCCTCTGTGGACGGAGTCTGCCCTCTCTGGATCCGGCCTGCGTCATTTGCGCACGACTCCCGACCGCCCTTTTCTCCTCCTGCCCTTGGCCCTTCCTCCCGCAAAGCGCATTCTGGTTGGTTTGCGACCCGTTGTGCAAACCACCGGGATCAGCAGCTAGACCATGGCAGAGCCACCTTCGTCTCCCCCGTCGGGAGACGCCAGCGCCGAGGACGCCCTCGCCTGGTACAAGTCACAGTATGAGCAACTAGAGCACGAGCTGTCAGAGTTCAGAGAGTCGAGCAAGGAACTGGAAGCGGAGCTCGAGAAGGACTTGGATGCGGCGGACAAGCGAGAAAGAGGGCTGCGCGAAAAGGCGGAAGGGCTTGACTACGAGGTCGAGGAGTGGAAGGTGAGCACATGCAACCTAGTTACTGCCCCGTGTAGTGTTTGCCGGCGAGATCGAGCTGACCGCCATGTGTCTGCAGCGCAAATACAAAGAGTCTAAAGCCGAGGCGAACGCCGCCCAAAACACGCTCGAGAAGGAGATCACGACGCTTCGCGACGCAAATAGGACACTTCAGCTGAAGCTGCGCGACATAGAAGTGGCCAACGATGACTTTGAGCGACAAGCGCGCAACACCACCTCGTCGCTGGAGGACCTGGAATCCAAGTATAATGTTGCCATCGAGCGGGCTGTTATGATGGAGGAAGAGATCAAGATCGGCGAGCGCGAAAGAGAGACCCTGCGTGTCGAGGCACAGCGCCTACGTGAAGAACTCTCCGAGCTCAAGATCGAGGCAGAGATTATGCAGGACAAGATCAAGAAACAAGAGGCTCGCCACTTGTCGACCATCTCGACCGACATCTCTATCCCCGAATCGCCAACCTTCGACCACTCTCCGAACTCGACGGCGAGCTCGCCGCTCATTACAACCCCTCCGGATACCAAGTCGCTGTCTACGGCAGAGACGCTCTCGGAGCTGCAGGATCCTCCCTCACCGCCCATGTCGGACGTGTCGGCGACCCTGCCCAAGATCTCGACAGCAAAGACACCGGCTCCAGTCCAGAAGAAATCGCGACTACCATCGGCGGATCACAGCATCACGCCCAAGCCTCGGGGTTTCAACACTTCTACGAGCACGAGACCGACACCCAGCACCCGCAACCTCACCACCTCCAGCACGACTCTCCGTACTCCGGCATCGCGCACCTCGGCAGCCAAGACTGTCCGCTCGACCTCCCACAAGATACCCGCTTCCAACTCTCTCTCACATATTCGCTCGCTCACTGCACAAATGCAGCGCCTCGAGGCCAGAGTGCACTCGGCGCGCTCCAAGCTCCCGGGACCAGTCAACACCCCGCCGCGCGCCTCGCCCAGGTCTTCCGTCCTTGGTGGAGGCAATGTGCCGTCTACTGTTACAATCCGCTCTAGGAAACGGACTGTTGGCTCCACGGCATCGAGCATCGCCAACGACGACACCACACCAACCAGCCATGCCTTTAACCAGAGCCAGTCGGGCAAGAGCCACGTGCCTCGTCTCTCCACCTCCGGTGTCAGCCGTCTATCCTTTGGGCCGCTGCCCAACCGACACCCTGTCGACTCGGATGCGTCTGCCTCTCGGCCCAGCTCGCGAGCTAGTATCTCGTCGTACGCTAGACCGGCTAGCAGAACGGACAGCAGAGACATGCCCCCACCTCGGCCCATGTCGCGGACCTCGCTCGGCGGCGCTCGCACACCTATGGGCAGACCTCGCAGTTCCCTGGGCGGGAGCATGCACGGTCATTCGGCCAGCATCAGCGGGCTGCCTGAGGACGAGTCGTTTGAGGGAGAGTTCAGGACGCCGAGCCGGAGGGGCACGTATTCCAAGTTTGACACCGAGGGCAGCGGCTCGGGCATACCAGGTCCTAGCGGGATCCCGATGCCCAGCAGCCGGAGGCAGAGTGGCGGGCCTGGCGTGACTGGGAGGAGATCGACCGGTGGGCTGCGCAGCACCGAGCGTTGATGAGACGGATAAAAAGGGTCCGTGACCGAACGAGACGGATGGACCTGACGACAAGCCGTCCTGGCTAGACGACATGTTTCAAGACTACAACAAATCATTTGATTATTTCCTTTTGTCAACACGAATACCACCCGCTGCTATTACCACCAGTACCATTACATTGCCTGGAGTTCTTGCGCTTTCCATCCCCTCTCGTACGCGATCATCTCCTTTTGGGCAACACTACTACTACAACTACTTTCTTGGGTAATCCTACAACTTCTCTGGGAGATCGGAGGCTCGGGGGGAAAGACCGAAAAGGGCTCGATGCACAAACACCTCGTTACCTGGACATTACTACTCTTCTCTCTCCAACACCCTTATCATCATTCTTGTTTATTGTCTCTCTCTCTGTCGGAGGATCATATCTCTTCACTCTTACTCTGAAACCTTTTTTATTCCCCTGTGCGTGTTGCGGGCTTGGGATGGGCCCGGGCCGCGCGTGTCACGAGATGTAACGGGTTTTTTCTTGCATGAAATGTGGCTTTTCTTTTGTCGTTTGTTGATGATGTTAGAATGGAGGGCGAGACTGATGGAGGAGGAGGGGGAGGTAGTTCATGAGGAGGAAATGAGATAGCCTGGGCGAATGTCCGAGACGCGTCGAGGTAAATACGCACATGAGAATGACGTTGTGGATGAATACATGCTGCCATTGCCGTGCTTGACCGTGCTTTTGTGACTGCTCGCTGATGCTCTCGATTGCCCGCCACTCACGTATCGAGCGAAACCATGACAACAAGTCTTTTTCTTTTTCTTTTGTCTACGCAACAAACGCACATGCTGGCAACGCTACGATCTAAATCTTGACACTCTCGACCAGACACCCCTTTTGGATCTATGCTCTACCTGATGGGAATTTCCTGCTCAGCAGCAGCTGGCGCCTGCTCGCCCTCCTCCTTCTTCTTGCCGTCTCCGCCCTTCTTGCCCTTGCCCTTGCCCTTCCCTTTGCTCTCGGCCTCCTCCTTCCTGGCCTGCTCCTCGAGCGCCTTCTTCTCCTCGGGCGTGAGGGGTTTCGGGTTGGGGTTGCCGCCCCAGCGCAGGCGGCGCGGCGTCATGAAGGACTCGAGCACCTCGTCGGTGACGGTGGCGCGGCGCTCCTGGAAGTCGCGGACGTAGTCCTGCAGCAGGTCGATGGCGAGCTTCTTGAGCTCGCCCGTGAGCAGGTCGCCGCGCTTGTAGTCGTCGTAGACCTTGGCGAGCTTGGCGTCGTCGTCCTCGAAGTAGGTCAGGTAGATGTACGAGACGTCGACGTCCGGGTTGCCGCCGAGGCGGCGGTGCTCCTCGACCGAGACCTGCCCGCCCGAGAAGGCGTATTTGTTGATTTTGGTCTGTGGTGCCACGGGAGGGAGGAGAAAGGGGGTTAGCAAGGTATTGAGGAGGTGCGAAGGAAAGGAAAAAAAAAACATGTGTTGCGTGCGTACCTTGATCTGCTTGGCGGTGTCGGTCATAAAGATGGCCGAGGTGGGGTTCGAGGACGACATCTTGCCGCCGGCGCCCTGGAGCGCGGTCAGGAACTTGGAGTGGATCAGGGCGGGCTTGGGCGACGGGTTGCCCATGCGGGGCGCGATGTCGCGCACGAGGCGGAAGTAGGGGTCCTGGTCGATGCCCATGGGGATCAGGCAGGGGATGGAGGCGATCTCCTTGGTCCGGACCTCCGAGGGCGTGTCGGACCAGATCTGGGGGTACGAGGTGGCGAAGGCGGCGACGCACTGGACCGAGGGGAAGAAGATGCGGCCGATGTTTGTGCTCTCGTTGAAGCCGAAGGCGCCGCGGACCTGGTTGAAGGTGACGAGCTTGGAGAACTCCCAGGCGTTCATGAGGAAGTGGTGCGACAGGTACTTGAGGTCGCTGTAGATGAAGGTCTTCTTGACGTCGAAGCCGAGGGCGATGATGTCCTTGGCGTTGTCCATCGCGTAGCCCATGACCTCCTCGAAGGTGAGGTTGTCCTTGAAGACGGCCTTCTCGTCGTCGGTCAACATGAAGACGAGGGGCACGTCAAAGACCTCCTGCAGCCACTGGGCGAACTGCATGGGGATGGTGTGGCCGAGGTGCAGGCTGCCGGTGCTGGGGCCGCGGCCGGTGTAGAGGAAGAAGGGCTCGCCGCGCTCGTACCGGTCGAGGATCTTTTCAAAGTCGCGGTGGGAGAAGAAGAGCCCCCGTCGCATCCAGCGGTGGGGCTTGCGGCCGGTGACGCGCTCGAAGCGCTCCAGGAGGGCCTGGTCGATGAGCTGGGTGTTCCATTTCCTGCATGAGAGGAGGGTGGTAGTCAGCAAGGAGGGAACGTCTTCAAGGAGCGGAAGGAAGGAAGGCAGAGGAGGAGAGAACATACTGGGAGAGAGCCTCGTAGTTAATGGCAGCGACCTCGCCGTCGGCACCCTGGGCACCCTCAACGGACCAGGGATTGATGTCTTGGTCCTGGACCAGGGTCGCTGGCGGGGCACCCTCTACCGTGCTCGGATCGGCCGCCATTGCTGTGCGCGAATGGAGGCGATGGTGTCGCTTCGATCAGGAGGAGGTATAGACTTGAGTTCGAGGCGGCCAAGCTGGGTAGTGGACAAGAGAAATGCTCCAGTGTCGAGGTGTGCGCGTGCGTCGTCGATGCGAAGGGTGACTCGCAGAGCAGACGGGAGTGACTAATTCTGGTCGGTGCCCCTCTATCGCACTTTATCTGAAGGGTGGATCAATCGAATCGAATTCGTGGTGCCCCTCTCCGGCGCCTTATTTGCTTGACAGGAGTTACAGCCGCTACTGTCGTAGTGCAGTGCCTAGAACGGAAATTTCGGAACGAGAGTCGAATCAAAGCCAGCAACTTTGAAGTCGGCTGGAACAAGGCTCGCAGTGTAAGTCAACCTTTCAAACTTAGCGAGTACTTAATTCGAAAGTGCGGGTTTCCATATTACATGCTTCTGGAGCCTCACCGTGAAGCCTCTTAGTTACCTTCCCAAGGCCCTGCTTTCACGGCTGGCAGATCAACCCTGCGGGTTCGTTCTGTCAGAGCCAATGTAGTTCCGAACTTCCGGTGGACGCAGTTCAATTGATCTCTTCACCCTGCGGAAAGACGATTACGCAAAACAAAAGACAAAATACAGCAAGTGGCCACGTGGGAGATGAAATTGGGTACTGGCTTATCTTAGCTTCCCTTTCATATGCCTGACTGTGTAAATTACTCCCTGGACCTCTTTAGCTGGAGTAAATTGTTCACCAATCGCCACCTCTCAGTTCATAGTCATTACTGCCATGTTTGAGAAATCTTACTAATACTTCGATGGCTCAAAGCCGTTCAGGTTGCATGTTTTCGATGCTTCATAGTCGGGCTGCTCCGGTGCAGTGGCCATTAGTCAGGGTGATGGTTATGGCTGAAATTAAGACGGGGAAAGGGGGATACAAACCACACTTTCTCACAAAATCTGGTGTCGACGTGCTGGTATGGATGTTCAAAGACAAGAGATGGCTCTTGGATCGCGGCTAAGGGCGACAAGATGGAGCTCATCTCCTCCCTCTCTTTGAAAAGCTGCATGTCTGTCCCCTACACTCTCAGGGGCTGGGCAGAGGTCAGTTCATTGACACACAGTGGGTATATTCTGGACTTATGAACAATACACTCATCCACAGGACAGCATTGTATCAAGTTTTCATACCCTTCATCCTGTCCTTTTGCCGTGTAACGAGGCTGGTGACCTCGCTTATCTCTCCCAACGAGAGAACTGCATCAAATCTCGAGAGACGGTGCAGCACTTCACAGTTGCTCGTGCCAAGATGCATTGGATATCCGAAACCGTGCGTGCGGGGCGTCATGACAGATCCAGAAATGGTTGTATCAAGAGGCGTGGTGCCTCATCAGCACAGAGTCGAAGACTTGACCCCGATACCCAGCTGCTTGGGTTGCTGCCTCTTGGCACACTCGATCGAGAACCCAGCCGCCCAACAGCGAATATTTGTCATCGGACATGCTAAAGAGTCCTTCTAGTATGCTTATGGGGGGCACCTACCCAAATTCATCTCAGGCCTTCAGCTCGGGCTTGATCATGATGTTGTTGCGCAATGCGGAGTGTGATGGTGCAAGATCGGCGGAACCTCCCGAAGGGTCACGTTAGTGGCTTATGCAGCGGGCCGTTGTCTCTCTGTATGGAGTACGTGGATGCGTCAAGACCTGCTCGGTCCGTCTAAGCCTAATTTCGCGCAGAACTGGCAACCAAACCAGGAGTAAACACACATATCCTTCACTGTCGCTCTATGTATTTGAAAAGTAAATCTCGTTATCTTGTTATCTTTTACTTTTTTCGTCTTCGTCTTCCGGGTCTGTTCATCTTGGCACCCATCCTTCAACAAGCGTGTCAGACGGTTCACATGCATTTTTCCCTTGGTCAGGAATATTGTAGGATATCTGGGTGAACAGAAGAAGCATGGCCCCAACCTGGGACCCCAAGACGGAGATGCCAGATCTCAGGGGCAAAGTTGCCATTGTCACTGGCGCAAAGTAGGCTTAACCTTGACCTTCCCTTTCGCAACCACTCTGGATACCGTGACTAATGCGAGCCTCGTAGCGCTGGGATTGGTCTTTCGACAGTCAAATTCCTTGCCCTACGCGGTGCTAAGGTATATCTTGCAGCACGAAACGAGTCTAAAGTAATGACTGCTATCGCACGACTGCTCAACGAGAACCCCGATATCCAGCCTCGCCAGCTGGAATGGCTACCGTTGGATCTGGGAGACCCAAAGGCTGTTGTGGCATGCGTTACTGAGATGCATCAGAGAGAAGACAAGCTTGATATATTGAGTAAGCCGTCACTCGATCACGCATGCACTTGTGTATCGAGATACTCACGGACTTTCCTAGTTAATAACGCCGGTGTTGGCCTAGCTAAATTTGAGACCAATGATGCGGGATGGGAAATGACCATGGCTGTCTGGTATGTGAAACATTCTAGGAGCTTGTCACGCTGGCCTATTGTTCTGACTTTTCAGTCATGTCGGTCATTTTCTTTTAACCCTCGGGCTCTTCCCCCTCTTGGAGAGAGCAACTCAACAAAAGGACGCCGATGTCCGAGTTGTTACTGTAAATACAGTTTTCATCAGCGCCCTTTTCTTCAGAAGCTTGAATGGTGATTACTAAAGCCTCATCTGGTGCGTAGCTGTCATCTATTGTTTCAGCTCTTATGCCTCCACACGATCTCGACTTTGGATTCGACTCCCGCACTTTTCTTCGAGACCACAAGACCTTCAGCACGTGGCAGTCGTGGATATTCGGACTTCTTGCGTTTCGTGTAGATCTACCACGCTACGTTATGGCAAAATCTGCCAATGTGCTCTTTGCCAAAGAACTCCAACGCCGATGCGACGCGAAGGGTATACCCATCATCTCGACGTCCATCCACCCTGGGGGGGTTGCTACCGACGGCGCGATGGCCATCTTCACTCCCCTGGTCAAGCCCCTGATCTGGCTGTCCGCAGTTCCCGTTGACAAAGGCGCTGTAATGTCACTGTTCGCGGCTACGGCACCTGTTGTGAGAAGCAACGAGGCTCGGTACAAGGGGAGGTATCTACTCTCACCCGGAGAGTTTTGCCCAGCACACCCAGTTACAGAGGATGAAGTGCAATTATGTGGGTTATGGGAAAACACCTTGGCAGCTGTGAATGACTATCTGGCGGAACAAGGACTGAATCCTGTACATGATGTGTAAATAGCGGCTAATGTAACGTCAACGGGAAAAAAGGCAAGATAAACATTGCACAGGGGTAGAATAAGAACTGTTGAGATGAATCTTGCTATGCCGAACACAGGTGTCCTATTGAGGGTATTGCCGCATACCGACTTGTGTGCATCCATGTCCACGAAGTAGAGCTGTTATTCCGCCACACAGCAGGTCCTGTTGCCAATCTCGTGGCAGAAACTCCAAATAAACACACCGGGCCGCCGTTAAAGGTAGGCCGTGAGCGGGCCGCGACAGTGCGGGGAACCTTGGTACATTCCTTGTCCCGACTCCAATGGATGAGTGTTGCGGGGTGCCCGATGCCTGAACAGGGCCGTGTGACGCGTTTGCCTACAATGGAGTAGTTGGGCTCTGATGAAGGTAGGCTCAACGGAGCGGCTCGGGGGCCGTATCTGCATGGGGTGATTGATCTGACTTATATTTCCTCGTCATCTCCACCACTCCTTGGATGAAAGGTTGGAGGTAGTATCTCACATCATGGCATCGCAAGAATTCACCTACAACATTGCCTATACTGTGCGCGCCAACGAGGGGGCGAAGCCAGAGGAGTTTCTCACGCACGCGGAGCTATGGCAAGGTATCAAAAGAGGTGCCCGTCACCCGGGTGATTTTGGTTCTTTTGTCAACAGCTGCAAGGTCGTATCAGGGGGTCGCTATGAGTTTGTGAGGGAGATGGTCATCGGCGACGGCGCCGTTCACACTAAGGACGGGACAACGATCCTGCAGGATGTTCTCGTACAGGAGGGGTTATATGTATGTCTATGAGCCATGTTTCACACACAGGGACGTAATCCGTTATTAACCAGGGGTGGTGAAATAGGTTGCCGCAACGACCCGTGATACTGGGGCAAAGAGCACTCTCATCGTGGCCTACGGGAGCAAGACGGAAGAGGCAAAGGAAGAAGACGACCCCTACCTTACTCTGTTCTATGAACTCAAGATGGGGAACAAATCGCCAGCACCAGGGAGCAAGGAGGCGGAGGCCATCGTGACAAATTATAGGTCGCTCGCCAAGAATATGTGCAGTGACTCTGTGAGCAAAGTGAGGGCTTGGAAACTGGAGGGCAAGCTCACACAGTGGGAGGAAGATGACAAGAATGGAACTTGGTAGCCTTCAATGACACCTAGATACATGTCCACTGTTGCGGTTCGTTTTGTTTCATCTCCGACCGGTCCGCCTCCAAACCACGGAGGCCGAAAACACAAACTTGCTCGAGGCCTCAACACCTCTGGAAACTAGGCCTAACTGGTCTGCTCCGCGTCACATAGCCGCCACTCGGCGGAGCTTACCGCATAGAATGCTCGTCAGCCAGGGATGGAATCAACAGTTCGGACCTAAACTCATCCCATGCCGAGCGAGTACATCTTCTCATAAGACCAAGTCGTCACTTGCATTATATCAAGATGACGCCGTCAACCAACGAGAAGTCATTGACCGTGAAGTGCACATAAGCAATCACAGAAAACGTGACCTTCTTATGGAACAATCTACCAGCAATGGCCAAGACAATAGCCACATTTATTAGCTGCTTCCCATTTTCTCGCATGCCCTTATCACCATAATCAAAAAGGGAACTAAATGCCTCATACAACCCTCGTTTATCTTTTCCGTCATTCGCATGCGTAGTGGATGCCTGATTTGTAATTTATCAACATGGTTCATGGAGGCTCTATTGTGGGATGGCATCCAGTATGTCCATCTAAACTGAGTGCTGGTGAACTCTGTCAACCGTTCACACATCGTGGCCGAATCTAGGCGCCTGCTCCAGAACAGTCCTAACAGCCTGGCGGCCCAGCATCTTCTCAGACCATTTGTCGATATGTGGCCAGTCGTGAATGCTGACTCCGAACAGATTGAACATGTATGGCATCGAGAAGGGCAGGTAGGAAATATCAGCGATAGTTGGACGGTCTTTCAGTGCAATATACGCTTGTCCTGACTCCGCTAGCCGTTTCTCCAAAATGTCCCACTGCCGTAGAGTGTCCTTCTTTAGTCTAGCGAAGAGCGTCAGCTGATACTACTCAAAGCATCTTTCAAAGGGATGCTGCACTCGCTGTTCGATGGTCTCTGGAAGTTGCACAGGGTTCTGCCTGTTCGGATAGCCGCGGAGGAAGTATAACCAGTATTTCGCAGTAGGTCTTCGAGAAGAATTAGACATTTCTCGGGTGATCTAAAACAGTTGTTTTCGGAGACTTCCATCTTGACGAGAGCTGTCCAAGAACTTACCCCAAGGCTGCTGTCTGGTACGATGTCCAGGCCAAGATCCTGCCCTTTTCTGATGCATTCCTTCCTACCCACTTACCGTCCTTGTCGAAGCGCTCACCAAGATACTGGAGACATGCCGTAGATTCAAAAACAATGACGGTGTCCCCAGTCTCCGGATCACTGTCTTTAAGGGCTGGAACCATTCTCTGCGGATGAATTTTGAAGTACCAGTCATCCTTGGTGTCGATGATAGACAGTACATGGGGCGCATCTAACTCGAGGGCCAGGATCAAGGGTTTAATGTAGTTGATGTACGAGGTTTGATCGGCTGCCATTTCGTAAGATTCTGGAACTTGGTGGACATGGTCAATGCTGCTGGTGGCCAAGACAAACCTTTGATGATGTACAACACCATGTTTTCACCGTCCAAGTCCACATCCCCGTGATGGATTGGTCCTATCGTCCCGGCCATATTGGTTGCTTTTTCACTCGTCACTGGCAGATCAAAGAGAGACTGGACACGTCAATGGGTACATAAAGAACACATCTAGGAACACAACATTCGCTTTAATCGCCAAATAGATCTGCTTGCATATGGTTCGTCAGTGGGCTGACTAAAGCCGCATCGGCCCGAAACCATCACTTCGGAACCTTCTGACTTGTACGGAGCGCAGTGGACCCCCGACGACTTAAAATGATTGATCCGGGTCCTATTCCTTTGCATGATCTCCTTCGGTAGGCTCTTGAGCTCTTTCGCCATTATCGCAAGCTTTCAAATCCTGTCGTGGGCCATCGATGGTATTGTGCTCCTTGGATTGGAAAGGTTCACATGGTCGGAGGTCAATAGCTTGAACCCATGCGTTACGAATCGGAAAGATACCGTGCATGACCCACCCGCTTGCTTCAGCGAGAGTGCGCCACTGCCACTCTGTGCGTTCCTGTCCATTCGCTGTCATCATCATGTTGATGTCGCCGTAGACCGAAAGCCTAGAGCTTCTTCGGTCCGACAGAACAGACTCGAGAATGACAAGCCGGCTTCCCACCCCCACCCTGATGGCTGTCCTTATGTTTCGCAGGATTTGGAGTGATAGGCTGTCGTCCCAGTCGTGTAAAACCCATTTCATCGTGTAGGCATCGAAAGGCGGCACTTCTTTGAGGAAGTCGCCGGCGATCAGGTCCGTTACACGGGCTCCGATGTCGTTGAACTGGCCCCCAGTCCCGAAGAACGGACCGATGTGGTCAATGACTGTGGGGAGGTCAAAGATAGCACCTTTCATGGTCGGAAAACCACGTAGAAGCGAAGCAATCAAGGCTCCGCCACCGCCTCCAATGTCCATGATAGTGGTGTTCGCCACCTCGTGCCAGGGATAATCCTCCAGTATCCCCGGGGCCATCGCATTGGCACCGCCACCGAGGGTCCGATGGAGTCGTGGCACCCAGCCACGCCGGTCAAAGTATGTGAACATGTTGTCATCGGTGTCAAAGACAACCTGTGCAGCACAGCGAGCCTGCCCATCCTCCTTCACAGCTTTCGGGATCCCGGTGGCGATCTCGTAAAATTCGTTACCGTACAAGTCCACCCAGTTATGCCATTGTGTCCAGTGGTCGCTTCTCAGGAGCTCCGAGACATGATTGTTCGCATATTCTCCAGTCAACTCGTCATATGCGAATATATTGTTGGTATACAGCGGCCTGAGAATTTGACCAAGTCTATTCGGCTTGGCCTGAGCCACCGAGGCTAGCTCAGTCAACTTCAAACGGCCGTGGCTTAGGTGATCAGCAATGCCGAGTTCAACCGCCGCAACAAGGCATTTTGTGGTCGAATATCCTGAGGAGGAGTTTTATTTAGCAGAGAAAAAAAATCCAGGCCGCTCTCGGGTCCTGGTACGTCAGACTGACCTAGAAAATGATCTGCGAGTTTCAGAGCACCAGGTTCGAGTAGATGTTCAATCGAGCCAAGGAGGTCCACAATTCTGTCGGCGCTTGCCGAGATTTCCTTGTCCGGAAGCCCTGAGCCATCGTGAAGGCATTTAAACAGCTCTGCTTTTGTCAGTGGCTCTGACAGAAGACGGTTGAATGCATCCAGTGAACATTGAAGCGCATCGAGAATGTGGGCGATGGGGCGCCTGGGGCCTGCTGGAGGTGGTGTGTCAGACATAGCCGAGGACTGAGATCCGAGGTCTCTTATAATTCTTTGTCTTGGATCATCCTCCCGTTTGCTGCGTCCATGAGCATTCAGGATCTTCTCAGAGTTTTGTACGTTTATCTTTCAGTACTTCAGCGGAGCTTCAAGGAGCCCGAAGGTTGTATACGGTACCTCTGTTCGGTGGCCTTCTGCAGCGATACGGGTGTGTTCCGGCCCACTCACTCGGGTCCTTCCCATATGATCTGCGATACGTCGACAAAGTTTTGCATGAGCCGGTCACTAGTAACTCCTCCCCGCAAAGGTCTTCCTCATCGATATGCAGGCCTCTTGAGTCCAAGCAGTCCCCTCTCTCGGTTATTTCCTCGTCAGCACTCAGCATTCCCCCATGTTCCGAGAATACGAGACTGGTCCGAGAAAACAACTAGACTGTCTATCTAGTAAAGATAATGTCAACCTTGATGTTGCTCAATGTTATCATTGTTGGTGGAGGTGCCGTAGGCCTCGCAACTGCGACTAGTCTCGCACGACAGCTCTACAATGCCGTGGTCTTCTCCGACGAGGTTTTCCGCAATGTGCGAGCTTCTCACATGTATAATTTCCTTACGCGGGACACACCAATGTCCCAGTGCCTTTCGTGCCAAGGCCAAGGAAGACTTGCTTGCCCGCTACAAAACAATCCGATTTGAGACTGCCAACATCATTTCCGTAAGTAAAATAGAGGCCGGGCACTTTCAGGCGACTGCTTTTCGGAAGCACATAATATAATGATTTGTAGCCTCATGTACAGGTACTTGCAGTGCACACAGGTTTCAACATGATGTAAATAAGGCTCTCATTGATTCCTCTTCACAAACGGCTGAATCGAACGGCCTAAGTTAAATGATTGAATGACACCTCCAGTCTTTTCACATGTTGGTCTCTAAGTGCTTATAATTCGAACATAGGAAGCTTGCACCACGCTAGTATCCCAAGGCTACCTCTATTTTCTGCAATCCATCCCACAATGTCTCGGGGAGTACAGCTACAGTGATTCTAACCCAAAACCCACCATCACCTTCACACCATCCAGGGCTACCGAAGCTGCGTCCCAGAGCTACCATGACATCAGCCTCCTCAAGCCTCTTGATGATACTGCTCTCGTGTTCTTTCTCCCCCAAGCGAACGAACACAAATGGACCCGCATCTGGGGTGATAAAGGGAGTGTTCCAGCGTCGGAATCGTGCTGCTGCAATGCTGTGGGCTCCGGAGAGCCGCATCGACAAAGTCGCAACTACATCAGGGAACTGCTCCGAGCATAAGAGATGCTTCGTTGCCAAGGAGCTCAGCGAAGAAAGATGCATGCTAGACAGTAGTGCAACCGACTTTAGAATCAATCTAGACCGTGATGACTGACTCACCAGCGCAGCCTGCGAACGATCTGTTAGAACTGAACCACTCGCTAGTCTAACGAACTTAACTTGGTTGCTCTTCTGAACCTACCATGCGAATGCCGCTTGAGCACAGATCCTTACTAGTGCTCCATAGAACGTGAACCATTGCAGTGTTCACGGTTGTGTCTGGTGTTTCTTCTCCAGTGGTGGAGCGGTGAGACCAATCCTGGATCTTCACCCTCTTGACACCCGTGTTGCCTATTTCGTCTTCGGGAAGCAGCCTCTTTCTTGAAAGTGACGTCGGTGGGGCAATATGATTATCTATCGATGTTGTGGTGGACAGGGGCTGCTTCATTATGCTAAAAGCGAGCGCGGAAACGAATCTGTTGTCGGCAAATTGACTAAGAGCGTACAGCTCGTCGGATATGTAGTGAATGTTCCTCTCCTTGCAGAAATTCGCTACTTCCTCGAGAACATGTATTGGGTAGCATTGCCCGAATGGATTGTGAGGATTTGTCATGACCAATGCTCGGATTCTGCTTTTGTCTGGTGCAGTAGACATGGCCCTATTGAGAGCAGGAAGTAGGCTCTGGTCCAAAGGGCGAGAACTCTTGTTGAGTGAAATACGTTCCCAGTCAACTTCGACTGGTACCACGTTGACACGAGGTCGGAGCCGGAAGTGGAGGCCAAATCCATCTATTTAGCAGCAAAGTCAATCTTAGAGCAACCCTTCACTGAGGAGGGGGCGGCGGGTGGGGAGGGGGGTTTGCCACTGACTCCAATAAGGAGCAGGTACAAGTACACTGTCCCCTTCGTCACAGATTGTTGTGAGCAAAGCATCCAGACAATGTGTTGCACCAGGTGTTGCTACTATCTGCTCAGCTTGAACCAACTGGTATGGGTGAAAATAGTTATTGAAAAGTTGGCAGAGTGACTCTCGCAGCTCTATGTCACCGCCCAGAGCTTGTGAATAGGAAAGTGTCTAAATCGCGCTGTTTCAGTCTTACTCAAGGTAGATCACGGTTTGGAAGAAGCATGATAAGCACCTTTGACGTGATTCCCTCGTGAATTGCCGTTTTGTAGATATCTTGTAGTTCCCTTCTGACCAGCCAGTTCTCCGCTGTTGCAAGGTCTATCTTGTTTGTACGGTTCTCGAGAGCACTAGTAATGCCGGGAACTATGGAGGCAACAGTGTCCTTCATACGCTCCGAAAGCTGGTCTAGGCCTTCCATCGTGAGAAGTAGTGGGTGCAGAGCAATGCAAAGGTCGAGCAGACTGTTGAGAGCCTAGCTATCACTATATTCAGCCGAGGACGAGAATCAAGGTATTGCCCCTTGTTGGTAAATTCGGAATACACACGTCGCCTGAGCTTTCATGCCGCGAGTAGTAGAACAAATGTAGGAACAGCCAATCAAGATGGCGTTGTATGCATGCTCCATTTCTCAGCAACCATCTGGTTATTATCCTGCCGTGAGATGGGGGGCCTCGTTGCTCGGGGCCCTGTAAGCCCGACGATAGCGGAAATCCGAGGCGTTAATGCTCACGCGGCCCGATGACATTGTTGCCAGCCGACCCCGACATTGTAATCATTGAATCGCGTTTCTCAAGCTGGCAACACGCTCCGTCACTGCAAACCACGAATGGAGAACCGCCACTGATACCGGCTAACCAACGTAATTGCAGTATCCAGGGTCATACATCCACCTGCCCTGTCCTTTCGCCACAGTTATTGAAGTTCAAAGCTCGTAACAATCTCAGATGCAGAGCAAGTAGGTAGGGCTGTAGACTGTGCGTCTCGTGGAGAACAATATCAAAGCAATGAAAAATTTATCATGCCACAGTAGTGACCAGTGATCACCATTGGTGCCGTGCGCCACTTGTGGCTCTCAGACCCTAGATACAAATGCACACGAGGATCGCTAAGATGCCACAAGAATTAGATGATTCAGAGTTGCTATAATGCATCTTTCAGACCCAGCGGGCCTTTATATCACCCGAAAGTCTCCTGACATATCGTCCCGGACATTACGGAGTATTTCTAGTCTTGTCAGCATGGAAATATTGCCAAGAAGACCGTTGACATCTTACTGGCGCCAGTCGCTCGGAGGAGGTGTCTCCTCCACGTAGTGTAGGCTGCGAATCGTCAAGTGAATTCATACTCCAAGAGTAAAATAGCCAGGGGGCAATCTAAATCATGCTAGCTCCACCAAAGGTTTACCCAAAACTCTATCTGGGTCGAGTACGTGGCCGTACGATGGCGTAGTGGTACCAAAAGCAGTGATGTCCGAGGTCTGGAGGGTCTGCTCCGTCACGAGAGTGGCCATGCAAGATACAATACGCTGCAAGAGATTACTAATATCTCCATGCGAGAGGCAGGTATGATCATACTCCATCCTCAAGATAACAGTCCTATCCGCAGCTACCGTGAATTCGCACATGAGCTTGAATTTGGCACCTTCGGACCAGACAAGACAAGGCTCGAGACTTGGTATGTCTATGCGAAGCTGTTGGGCTAATCGAGGCTCGTGAAATGCCACCATGACATCAAAAATCGGATGATCAGGATACTCTGGTGTGAAAGAAACCACTTCCAATAGTTGATGCCATAGAATCCCGTGAGAGAGCGCAGATTGGGTTGCTTGCTGCACCGTACTGAGAAAGTCCGACACGCTTTTCGAGGGCCAATTATGCTTTATGCGTACTGGAAGAGGCTGCAAGAAGAGACCGACCGCTTCAGCATGCTCTGTGCGCTCACGATTCATGTAAGGAACGCCAAGTACCACATCCAGAATTGTTTCGAGCGTATCGGAGTCTGAAGTGTGAAGTGCGAGGGCCACACTAGCGAGGGCTAATTGTTGTAGGCTGGTGTTCGCAGACGAAGGACAGCGTAGAATCGACCGGCTGCTATCAGTGTCGAACCTGAAAACCATGGACCGGCCTTGGTAGTTGTTTCGCTGGGGCGAATTCCTCAGCAGTCGTGGTAATTGAGGTGGCAAGTCGACCAGTTGACACCAGAAGCCAGTATGGTCTTCAGAGAGGTTTGATCCCCACAAGCTCGAGTCAGGATATATCGTTATAGTTGGGGGTGCTTCAAGGCCATGGTATACAGAAGATGCCTCGCGGAGGATGGTTGACAGTGTGGTATAATCTGCGGCAACGTGGCTGATCACGACGAGGATCTCTCCAGCAGTTAACAACACGCGAATGGGGTGTTCCCGATCCAAGTGGAAGGGTCGATTTAGCTCTGACCAGACGTCAAACTTTGTCAGCCGCTCAACCTTTGGGGAATATTCAGTGGTTATTCGATGGTATTTGGATGCGAGAGGTGAGCCAACATGACGGTAAAGACTGCGGAGTATCTCGTGTCGACCCAGTACTGTGTTGAACGCATGCTCGAGACGCCATGTGTCGACATCGTCAGGCCTCATACGGCCGAGAAACGAAACATTGAAGCACGCGATGCCACTTCCGATTCGATACTTGCTGAGCCAGTCCTGTTCGATAGGCGCGACGTCTTTGGAATGTCTAGGAGTCACATCGACAGACTGGATGATCTTGCTGTCAAATTTGTTTTGATCGATTTTCTGGGCCAAATCCTTGATGGTAGGGTTTGAAATGACCATGGTCAGCGAGACAGCGATAGCGAACTGCCGAGTAAGATGCCTCGCTAGTTTGATCTGTTCAATGGAATGGCCTCCAACTTCGGTGAATCTTGTGTGGCGGGTAATCGATAACGATGCTGCTGGTTTGCCGAGAACCTCGAGAAAGGCTGCTGCAATCGTCTTCTCCGTCTCGGTGACCAGCGTTTCCGTGGGCAGAATGCCTTTTGATGTATGAATAGACGCGATGGCATTGTAGTCGGTCTTGCCTGCGCCAGTAGTTGGAATATGTTCCACCAGAACAATATGGCGAGGGACTGCATAAGGTGGAAGTGTTGCTTGCAGCCTTTCGCGCAAGTCGACGAGGTCCAGCGTAGCTGGCTGCATCACGGCCACAAGTTCGTCCTTGGTGCCGCGGGGCAAAGTGACTGCCACAGCCCGCACCTCTCCGATGTTTCTGGCAATTCTTATCTCCAGGTCGTCGAGGTCCAAGCGGTACCCTCGCAGTTTTATCTGTCGGTCGGTTCGGCCAATACACACGACCTCACCATCTTCATTCCAGTAGCCGAGATCGCCAGAGTCATACATTTTCTCTCCATTACCGGCAATACTGTCATCCCAAAATCTCTCTGCCGTCTCCTTTGCCATGCCGAAATAACCTTGGGATACTTGGACGCCAGCGAGAACGATGCGGCCAATCATTCCTGGCTGTGCCAGTTGCCGTCGCGAATTCAAGATGTACACGCGCGTCGTAGGATTCGGCTTGCCAATGGTTACGGGATGGCCAGGAAGCAGCCGTTTGATTGTCGCACCGCAGGTCGATTCCGATGGGCCATACATGTTGTAGAGAGTCGTTGACACGGACCACCTGTCAGACACACTTTGCGGTACGGGCTCTCCAACTAGATAGACCTGAGCGGGAACTGATTAGCAAGGCCGATTTAAGGATAATAGAAACGCCTACCCATCGGAGATTGGGAAACTCGGTTGGATCTAACGCGCGGGCTAGCGATGGTGTCAGGATAGCCGAGTCAGCTTTGCTGAGCGGTTCGAGCGAGTCGGCCCCTGCCGCGAGTACGAGGGTGGCCCCATGAGTTATGGCGGAGAAAATCTCGTGCATACTCCCATCAAATGCGACGGACATGATCTGCGAAATACGCACACCCGGTTTAGCATTCAATCGAACCTCGAAGTCGCTTTGGAATGCGACTAGACCAGCATGTGAGCACACCACAGGCTTGGGAGTTCCAGTAGAACCAGACGTAAAGCAAATGTAGGCTGCCGTCCAGGGTCGAGGGGAAGCTCGGCGCTCAAGCGGTTCTATCTCAACCAGCGACATGGTCTCGACGGACACGGCGACCTTGCTAGTTCTGGGAACATCCGTCTGTAACTGGTCGTTGGTGCCTGCGATGAACACCTTTGCATGAACGGCAGACACCATTGACTCTCGGAGTTTCATCGGCAGTGCTGGGTCGAGCGGGCAGTAGGTGCAGCCAGCTCGGAGGACTCCAAAGATCGCACCGATCCATTTAGTTGACCGATCGGCATGCACGCAGACAACGTCTCCAGGAGATGTGATTTGAAGCAGTTCCTGAGCTACTTGACCGGACATTGTATAAAGCGCCTCATAGGACAGGCTTACATCGCCCTGTTCAACAGCAGTTGCATCGGGATAAGCGTCTGCAGTTGACTCAAACAGGGTCACCAGATCCTGTGTAACGGAAGCTCTGGTTGTCAGACCGGAGATACAGTTACCCCATCTCATAAGCTGGCTATGAGAAGGGCATGAGAGGAGAGCCTGCATAATATTGCCGACAGTTGTTTCCAGATTTGTCAGCGACGACAACGCCTGTTCGTAACATTCCACAATCAAAGCAGAGTCCCGTCGACTGAATCGATCCGAGTGAAAGTCGATGGTTGCCACATTTTGTTGATTCACTGTGACGCTGATAGGTATGAGAGAGTGCTGTGCGATACTCGTCTCGAGGGGCTTGAATCGATGGCATGACATCTCCCCAGGCTCTTGTATTTGTACGGACAGCGCCGAGTCATATTGCCGAACAAAGCCGTTGTCGGTAGTGGTCCAGCTGAATGCTTCCAGCTCAACCAGACTGTGGAAAACTTGTTCCAGCAAGTATCTGACGTTGTCGGTCCTCCTCAGGGTGAAATAAAACGGAATGACATTGATCAGTGGCCCAATGGCTTCTAAGGACCCGGGAACGTCAATGCCACGGCCGCTCATGACTGCTCCGAAGCATATACTATCTGAATCCGTGAAGACAGCGAGCAACAAGACCCATGCCGCATAATAGAGAGCTGCAGGGGTGATGTTGGCGCTTAATGCTGTTGCCTCCAATAATGTGGCTTCCGTTTTGACATGCAGCGTATCCACTGAAGCATCTTCCGTCTCGTGTGCAGAAACAGCACGGCTTGGGCGAGGAAGCAGAAGCTCCGATCGAGCTTCCTTATGTTTGGCAATGGACTTTCTCCAGAACGCGTCTCCGGTGGCCTTGTTTATTGATTGATACCTGCGCAGATCCCGTGCCCAATCCCAGAAAGAGGGTCCAGGGGTTGGGGTTTGCCCGACTGCCAAGGCTTGGACTTTCGATAGCAAACGATTGAAGGAGTATGCGTCAATGAAAGCATGATGTACGACCCAAGTGATGGTTGATGTGGAACTGTCTTTGCTTCCAGACTCGCATACAGTTGCATCGAGGGAAAAGCCACTCCATTGTGCTGGTACTGTCGATGAGGCTGTCCGCATAGAGACTAATTCGCTGAACCAAGAGCCACGAAAGATATCCTCGAGCTCGATTGCCTTACGCCACGCCGTTAGAAGTACAGGAATGCTCTCAGATGGATGACGCTCAGTGTACGTGATTAAGTTGGACCCGCAATGAGTGAGTGATTCGTGTATGAGTGAAAGCTGCATCTCTGTGAGAACATCTGCCTCACTCTGAGCTATAGAGCAAGTCTGCACAAGTGGCGAGAGTGCCAGATCCTTTTCGACCGGTAGATGCAAAGCGTCTGGTAGAGATCTTCCGGATGGGCAATCTGAAAAGGTTGTCTCCGATTGAGGCGAGCTCATTGAGGTCAGGGATGTCGCTGGACTGTCTGTTCTCTGCCCGCGTGAAGGCCGGTCGGTGGTAGGAGAGACACCAGATGATACTAGCGATTTGAATTGTAAATTGTTGAGCAAATCGCCCAAGCAACGACATTTGAGTATAGACTCTCTCGTGATGTGGTATCCTTGTGACGCGAGTGCCGATTTCAAGATGGTGGCTCTGAGGGAGTCCCCTCCGTTCGAGACAAAGCTTTTGTCAAAGTTAACCTCTTCAACACACCTTCCCAGGGCTATAGTCACTTCCTCAAGGACTTGAGAGTCCAACACATAGTCTGCCAAGGTGCTGGGCCTCATGTTGAAAGACGTTCTCGGTTCGGGTGCGAAGAAGCGTGAGCGCAACGGCTCATGCGGGTGATTGGTTGTAGGATAGGTCCAAATAACAAGCCCCAATGCAATCACCTTTGGATCTCTCACCTACTTCAAAGAACTGGCCTTTTCTTAGTGATCTGTGTCTGGCGGAATCTCACCCGTATTTCATAGGATGATTCACGATAGGCCATAGCTCTTAACGGCACCCGAGTCGAGTGTGGACCTGCGTCTAATGCGTCACATGGCAACGTGGATAATGCCGAAGTAAGTCCCAGCAGGTTGTACTGCGAGTGCCCAGGGCCCGCCACGAAAGGACAGATTATCAGGGCCTGATGGCGACAGGGACTGCAACGGTCCGTTGGACGTTCGGCAGCGTGAGGCCAGCCGAGTCGCCGTTCAAGCACTCGCCACCTCTAGCTCTACCTTTACCTCTGCCCCCTTCGCTAGAGTAAGTGGGCCGAATGGACAGTGAAGGCCTTTCCCAAGGAGATTAATCTCTTGTGCTAGATGAATACCTATCTCTTCTTCTGCATCTCTCTCGTCTTTCAGTGAACACCCTTCCTCATTGACTCTGCTTCCATCAAAATCGACATCTGCTCCTCAGTCCATACAGGAGAAACATCGTCAGACAGGATCATAGCGCCCCTAGCTCTGTACCGTTGCGCGGTCTCTTCCACTTCCCTCATCACCCGTATCAGATTTAGTCCTAAGACTTGCCGTAGCTCATCCTCACTGAGACCTTTTTGGGCTAGGCGGGACACAAGATTGGGATAGGCTGCAATGTCATCCAGTCCACTTGGCCCATTCAGCATCCCGTCGAAATCAGAACCGATCCCAACATGTGAAAATCCGATCTTCTTTCCTGCATAGACAATGTGATCTACAACCTGGTCCAAGGTTGCGTCCTTTTCCCCATCAGAGTTGAGAAGGGGGGGAAGAAAACAAATCATGATCAAGCCGCCATTGGCTTTCAAAAGATTCAAAATTTCGTCTGTAACATTTCTTGGATGTGCGCACAGTGCAAAGCTATTGGGCCATCAAGAATGGGAAATGCTTAGTTTTGCGCGAACGGTGAGCCTTAAGGTTGACTTACCAGGACGAGTGAGAGAATATCACAGGAGCAGTAGATAGGGCTAGAACCTGACGCTGAGCTTCATGGCTCGTATGAGAAAGGTCAAGGATCCTGTACCGTGCATTTAGTAGGTAAGACTTAATTCATAGAGTAGGGCTATACAGTTACTGACATTCCTATGCGATTCATCTCAGCGATGATCTCATGACCCTCTGATGATACACCATGATGAAATGGAGTTCGTGATGTCTAAATGTTGCCAGTTTCAGAAGCCGATCGCAAATCATGTCAATGTCGAGTAAGGCAGTGTGATGGATGTTTAACCTACAGCTGAATCTACGTAGAGATTGTTTGAGTCGTGAGCCAGTGTCACATATCGTACGCCCAGTCGATGAAACATGCGGAGGACACTAGCACTATTGGCAATCTGATGAAGCCCTTCCACACCAATCAAGCTAGCGATTCGACCACTCCGAAAAGTGGTCATTATATCTTTGGACTCGGTCACAAAACCGAATGTGTCCGGGTAAAGATTGAACATATTATGGAGGAGGTCGATCTGTTGCAAGGTCGTTCTTAGAGTGTCTAGAAGAGGCGCGGTCGAGAAATCATCTGTTTTAGAAGGGCTTTTCCCCCACAAGACACCATCAGCCAACGACCTGGCACAGATAGCGCTTGCAATCCCAACAGTGGTTGCAGCTGCCAAGAGAAGGGACTCACCAAGGGACAAATGCACTCCACCATTGGCAGCCTACTCGACTCTTCTCCAGGCGTTGTAAATCAGTTTGGCCGATAGGAAGATCGACCAGGTCCACCGTGTTCGAGTGGTCAAGGCGATTACGCAGCCAGCCACGAATCATCCACGCAAAGTCATTGTGACCGTCTGTCAACAAAGCGTCAGCAAGACCGTCATGAGAACTCATTGGCGCAGGGGACACCATTTGCAGCAATACAGACCTGTTAATGGGACTTCACGTAGAATTTTACTGATATTGATCTCACCACCCATCGGAGGTGCCGTCGATTCGGTCATCCTCTCTGGAAAGGCTTGAAAAATGGAGATCACGTCTTGTTACGAAACTTTGGACGTAAATTACTAGACTAATAGAATGGAGCGCGCAACTGGAAGATAAAAGTTTCTAGAGCCCAAAAATTCCATGGATCGTGATGATGGGCATAGACTGAAGGTAGGTATCAGTAGCCAGATGTTGTTCCTCCATCACACAGCCATAGCTTCCGATGAATGGCATCATGGTGGAGCCACATCGTTCTGAACAGCAAGTTGACGGCCACCGCGGCCCATTCGGGACTGGCATCGGCCTTGGCTTTAACCCGCTTCATAGTAAAACTTAGGATCGGATGCCAAAAGCACAGAAACATTCGAATGGCAAAAAAGTGATGCAGCCAATGTAATGGAGGCGGAGTGTAGCTAGGCAACGACTGCAGATAGTCCACGTAGGACTGCGGCAACCCTCGCTCCGTAGCCCCATCAATGAGTAGATTCTAACACCTGTCAAAACACTAGAACTTGCCAATGAAATCTGGAGGAGACTGGCTGTTCTCACCATATAGCGTACGCTGGGCATTCGTACTGGTTCAAAGGGGTTCCTGGCCAGTAGAGTCGTCACCATCAGGCTGGGCTGAGACCGGGAAGTCGTTCCGGCGAAGGTCGGCCGTAGAGAGCCGGCCGTCGTATGTTGGTACCCTGGACCTTCCGAATGGTGCATGATTTCGGCCTCCAGGGTGACTTCCTGGTAGCCAGTTCCGGCTCCCTCGGAAATTTTGAGACGACTGTAGTCGGCAGCCGAGAGCAAGTAAGCGACCCCATGCACTGAGGGCTCGCTGCACTCGGCAGGCTTCCGGCGGATCCCAGCCATGGCGGGATCAGTGTACGGCACCCCGAAAACGTCGAAAACAAGAATGTGAGAGTGCACTATGACGTTCTCGGCACCCTGCGGCTTCAATCCGCGTTTGCTCATCACGGCCGCGGACATGTTGGACCCGTAGGCAAAGTACCAGATTGAGATGCCATCCATTGCAGTATCTACTGTTTGAGCTAGCAGCGTCGACATGAATAGCTAGAGCAGTGTGATGTTCTCAAAAATTTGAGGAATGCCTGCCGAGTCTGTTTTAATCGTTTTCGGGCTCTATGAATCCTCGGACTCCGGACCAGGCGGCCACTGTGCCCCGAGACCTAAAACTTGGACTGTAGATGATTGTAGGTCTCCCACCCCAAACGTGATGAGGACACTGTAATCCAACTTTTTTTCACATCTGAACAAGGGAAAGCAAGCTGGATGCATCGCGGCCAATACTATGAAGATGGCGCTCAAATCTCAAGTGTCGCGCCTGATGGCAGACCTTCCTCCGATTCTTCATTTCGGCGACTCGTTAATGAAGCCACTTATCGGTATACTGTTATCTGTACTATTTGTCTGGGTGGTTCGAGCAATCTATAGACCTCCGAAAAATAGGAGTCTACGAGTGTTCAAGGTCAAGGCTAACAATGTGGTCGAAGTTCTGGAGGAAGCTCATCGGCAGGTACGCAAAAGCCTAACACCCAGCTGGGGTTTCGGAAAGCCGCATGCACCCATGTGTTGACCATTTCCAGTGCCCTAATGAACCTTTCATGCTCTCGCTCCCTGGAATGGATATGGCTGTACTCCCCGCGTCAGAAACGGAGACGATTCGAAGCCTCCCAGAGACACAGGTTTCCATCAAGTGAGTACACATCGGACAATCTCCAGGTTACAGATCTGAACCTAATATGCAACTCAGGAAGCATCACTACGATGTTTTCCTGGGCGAGTATACATACATGGGCACCAAAGCAGACGAGTTCGACAGTGCTATGCGTAACGTACTTACTCGAAATACACCAACAGTACTGGCATCTTTTGCCGCCGAGGTGGATTACGCTGTAACCCAGAATATCGGACCTTGCGAAGACTGGACCTCTATCAAACCGCGGTATGCCATGTCACGTATAGCATCTCTGATGTCTGGGAGAGCTTTTGTGGGTTTGCCATTGAGTCGCGACGAAGAATGGGTTGAAGCTACTGTCAACTACACGCAGACAGTGTCCTGGGCCTGGATGATCTTACATATTCTACCCCAACCTCTCCGCTATCTTGTTGCTCCTATTCTACCTCCCGTTAGGAAACTAAAGAGGCAGCGGACTATTAATGAGCAAAAGCTCACCCCGCTTCTCATTGAGAGGGATACACACAGTCAATGGCACCAAGACAACGCGGCCGGCAAAGTCAAAGGCGGTAAGGAGCCAGGAGGCGACATGCTGGATTGGTTCATGTCCCAATACTCCCATCCTCCATCCATCAAAGAGCTAGGACGAGACCAGCTTCTGGCCACTTTCGCATCAATCTACAACCTCAGCAATGCCCTGAGTTATATCGTTTTCGACTTGGCTGCCACAAGTCCTGAGGACATTGAAGCCATGAGACAGGAGGTAATCGATGTCCTAGGTGGTTCAGACGGGGTGATTGACAAAAACTCCCTTGTCAAACTCCGCAAGCTTGATAGCTTCGCCAAGGAATCCCAGAGGCTCAGTCCTCCGTCATTAGGTAAGTGCGTGTTGTCAGCTATACGTTGACACTCTGGTTGGCTCTTCTTGCGGCCTTGAAATACTGATGACGGCTGCCCTGCAGTGAACATTCCACGAATCGTCACAGACCCAAAGGGACTGAGGACCTCTACAGGGCATCTCATCCCCACAGGGACCCGTATGACCATCAACAGCCATGCAATTAACAACGACCCGAACATCTACCGGGAGCCTGGGAAATTTGACCCATTTCGGTTTTCTAGACTCCGAGAACTTCCGGGGAACGAACTCAAGTTTCAACACGCCTCGACCGGGCTGGATAATATCAACTTCGGACACGGCCTGTGGGCCTGCCCTGGACGTTTCTTTGCCAGCGCGGAGATCAAGGTAATCTTGGCACACCTGCTAATGCGCTACGATATCAAACATAAGCCAGACGCGAAAAGAAGCTGGCAGAAGCATTATGGACTGGCAATCCTTCCAGATAGCGAGGCCGAAGTACTCTTCAAAATCAGAACCCAGTAGTCGCGCGCGACAAGGTTGGGTCGCTCCGCAGAGACCCATAGCTAAGCCTTGGATAGTGGATAGCAATCTGAAAAATCCTGATTTGGCCGTTTTAGCTGGAATACACCTTCCTTCACGAAGTCAGGCTGTTCAGACGCGGACGTTGTCACTTATATCCGTATCTTGACCCTCAAGTAACGGGCCTCACCAAGCTGTCTGGCTAGGGCGGAACGAGTCAAATCAAAGTGTGTCATCACTCAGTTGGTTTATCTTGGTCACATGTGCCCCGTCCTCATCGCCAAATATTGGTTGATGATCCATGCTTTTTGACCCCACAGCACTTGATATTAAGATATAAGAGTAGCTGTCGGTTCGGCCGTATTTGGTGGGTACGTACGTATCTGGGTGTCGTTAGACTAGTTGTTATAATCTCATTCTTATTCTTATTCTCTCTATCTCTATAGTATACGACTCCTCCTATTTAAGGTTGCCCCCTAGCATCAGCACCAGAGGCCTTCAGCCTTAGGCTATTAATAATCTATCCTATATATAGCTAGTTATTATATAGCTACTTTATAGCTATATATTATCTATTCTAATCTATAGTAGATAATAACTAAAGTATAATTATATTTAATATTAAAGTTTTAATATTAATAACTCTCTTTTTATAATTATATATTATTATTTTAAATTACTAGTTAGTTTAATAGCTTATATATATTAATTATATATAAATATCTTAATCTACTTATTAATTTTATATAAAGATAGATTAAATTATTTCTATTATTTAAATAAATAATAAATAAAAAAGTCTCTTATCTATTTATAATAAAGAGTTTATTATATATACTTTAGTTTATTATCTTTATATATATAAATAAGCTTAACTTAATAAAAATTAATAAGTATAATATATATATTAATATTTTTAATTTAAACTAATCTTTTTATCTTTTTATTAATCTTATCTATTATATTAAATTAATAATTCTTTTTATATATCTCTTTTTTCTATCTTTTTAGAATCTTTTTAAATTCTTTTTAAAATCTTTTTCTCTATCTTCTTTTATTTTTAATTATCTTTCTTATATATTAATAATCTCTTTATTATTTTATATCTAATAGATCTTCTTTTTTTTTAATAATTCTTCTTTTATAACTTCTTTTTTTATTATATAATATTCTTTTTTTTTATATAATATCTTCTTTCTTTTTATATATTTTCTTATTATATATATCTTTTTTTATTATATATAAAAGAGATTTCTTCTTATCTATTAATTTTTCTTCTCTTCTTTTCTTTTTCTTTAATCTTTTATTCTTATATATTAATATCTTTTATGTGACGATCCTTGATCCCAAGAGGCAAGACTACTTCGTAGGATCGGAAGCGTGTGGGTTTATGTAAGCAGTAAGTGATGGGCGCTGCTGAGCAATGGTGGTTGACTTGATCGTAGCTAAGATAGC